TTTTTTTTGGGTAATGAGTAGATTCTTGATTAAATTTTTGATTCTATGAAGAATATGTAGTTGCTGATTGCTAGTAAAAAAATTAACTTTGGTTTGCTTCTTAAAGATCTCACCAGTACGTTTCTCAGTTGTTAAATGATAGGTTCTGGTAAATAAAATTGATTACAGAGTGTGCATTGTATTATCTACATAACAGAGAAGCAGATCACGTGTACTATAAGTAGTGTCTACCAATATTTCCATTCTCTCAGTGACTACCATGCTCTGAAAGATTTCCTCTTCCATGATTGGTTGCTGGACAGATGTAAGACATAAACAACTCTATTTGTTCTATTTGTTCTATTTGTTCTATTTGTTCTATTTGTTCTATTTGTTGTAAAACTGTTCCCACAAAAACATGGGGATTCATGCAAATTTGCAATGGACACTTATCAAGAAGATTGTACAGACAAGAAACTGTAAGAAAACCATTCACAGCACTTGAAGACATTTATTAAACTTTCATCAACTTTCCAATAATTTTATTCTATTTTGTTGTAAAGTGGCTTGGCTGTCACTGAAATATAAGTGAAGTATTGACATGCTTTGACACACCTTCAATCAACTGTCAACTGGCTATCGACCAATGGTCAACTAAATGTGAAGTAGCCATGAAATAGTGGTGAAGTGTCAGTGACAAATCCATGTAGTATCAACATTTTTCAGTGGAAAAATTAAATAACTTTTGACTTATATATGTAGAGTGACTGTTGACGCATAACTGAGTGTCTGTCGACCAACTATCAATGAATTTAACATTGGTCTCCTATCTGACAATTACTTTAACTAATAGTTTTATTTCTAATTAAAATCTTCCATTTGCTGACATGTGATTACTTGCTGCAGGAATTTCCCAATAAAGTGGTTATGGTTACTGGTAACCAAAATTTGAGTGAGTATTTTCTTGAAACTCAAAATCTTTTTTTCTTTTTTTTGCTGGAGATCATTTTTATCAAAACTAATTTAGCTGAAAGAACTCTAAAAGATTTCAAGGTGTTTGCTTAAAAGTTCCCAAAAAGACACAGAAAGATCCAGAATTATGGTAACCATCCAACATTCTATGATACTGAACACTTTCAAAAGTCAGTCTACAGAAACAATACCAGATAATAATTATATTGTGTGTATCAAATTTCAGTATGCACATTTTCTCATATTTTGATGCTACAATCCAAACCCTTCTTTGCCTGGCCATTGTATTCCATTTGAACATCACCCGTTGACTTACAGTTGCTTAAAATATTTCCATGATTGTAATGCCATGACCTTCATTAACAGAGTCTTCTTCTGCTTGTAATTTGAAACAAACCGTTCACAACAGAATACTGGCTGAAGCTTTGGTGGGTGCCAGGTCTTATTGAAAGCACTGGATATTTCAAACACTATATCTACTCCCTACATCAACCACTACATCAACCCAACACTACCTATAGTACACATGATCCAAAGAACCTAACTGATACCCCATTTTTCAATTGGTTCTGTCATAATACTGGAAGGTGGAATGTACACAAAGAATTTACTGCTAATGAACCTATATTCTACAATTTGTTACCTGAGTTGCTTGGGATAATCATCCAGAAGTATGCAAAAATGCAGTTTAACCCTTCAACTCCCAGATCTGATAATCAATTCTCCCCTATGGCTACTACATATTTCCTTTTAAATTAGTTACAAGAATTTGGTGTTTGATCAAGTTGATATGTTTGAGTATTTTCATTACCTGTTTGCTGGATAATGTATGGATATTGCAGGGAGAAGGTCAATCACTTCTGGGAGTTAATGGGTTAAGGTTTATAGACTCGAAGAAAAGTTTAGTTAAGAGTAAGTTTATTTTTGTTTAATATAGTTTCATCTTTCAAATAAACTGTTCATTAGGGTGGCATGAGAAAACAGGTTCTTAATCATGATCTATTGGAAGACATCAAACAAATAAATAAACAAATTCCATGATGCCATGCATCTGTTCTGGAACACATAATTAAAGACATGTCCTGTGATCAGTTACTTACCAGACACATAGCATTATAAAATATATCTATTTATAAAGAGTTTATTTATCTAAATTGAACTGTAAACTGCTTGATTGTTCTTGGCTGGACATGTTCTTAAATATTTGGGTATTAAAATGGCCACCTTCTGTCACAGTTCTTACATGTAGATTTTATCTGATTGAATTTCCCGCAAAATATTTTGAGCTATACCTATAGAATGTCCGACCAGATCACCGGCTAAGCTCGCAACAAAAAGAAGAGGAAGGAGAAATAATTTGAAACAATACGTTGGTCAAGCCGTTTTTCTTTAGGTTTTCATTCCTTACCTCAAGCAGTTGATCAAGACATGCCGCGGCAGCTGAGAAATCACATGCGGTCTCCACCTCAGGGTTGTTCGGCCTATGTGACATCTCTCTTCCATCCAAACACCATCAAACAAGAGACACTGTGTACTGATGACAGACAATTTATGTTCATAGCTCCTTTGTGTCCTGTTTCTAGCAACAAAACAGGCAGGTCAGTTCATGATAGAGCACAGTATTTACGCCGCCATGTTTGATACTAGTTTCCAGTCTTTTTCGTTAAACGAAAGTGCGTCACGCCACACACTAGATTGCGTGACAACACACATTAAGCGAGCGGCGCAAAAAACCTACTCAACAAGACTGCCATCCAGCAATAAGATTTTTGATCCTTCTTCATGTAATGATCAGGATACGATGTTTTCGTCCTTGACTATAGTCCAGACACCAATGGAGTCCACATAACTTGGTTGATTTCCTACAGACTGAGATTTACATGTGAAAAAAGCCCGCGAAAAATTCGTACGAAATATACAACCAACCAATCAGAAAAGCAAACGACTGTGGAAAATATATCATTCGTCCAATCAGAGACACGAACGATTGTACTTTAAAGTGGTGGGCAATAAGCGCGCGGTTTTCTGTAAAACAAAATGTTTTTCTGTAAAAATTTGGAAATATTTTTATTCCCCAAGGAACAATTGATGACTTCACAGATGAGCAAGAAAACAGAAACACGAGAGCAAAGACCGATAAGATAGAACTGGATATCATTCCCCAGGGCCCCAGCCTCGCTGCTGAATGGGTTACCCTTGTTGAAAGTCACTTACTTACTTACTCCTGCTCAACTCAATGAAATGCTCTGCGATTTCGCTCTCAGTGTCAGAGCCAAAGATGGAAATGACTACGAGGGATGATTGCTGGCTTTAAACAATATCTCAAACGCAAAAACTTTTAAGCTAGTATCATCAGCGATTTAGCGTTTGAGAAAATAACAAAAACAAAAAGTATATAGTTGTCAACAGACTGCTGAATCATCCGTCATACACGTCTTTTTAATTTTTGTCTTTATCTTTACATCTAGTTTTTGGTCTAAAGAGAGACAATTCATAATTTGCGATATGGCGCGTGCGTAACTTCGTCCGCAAGAAACTCTGAGGACTTGATAAAAGTGTGCCGGCAGAGGTCTGGGAGGGGCCTGGTATTATTCATATTCTTATACATGCAGAGTAATTTAGTGATATCAATTGAGTTGAAAACGTAAATTGGCCACCGTAAAGAGTTTAAAGGCTGACGTTTCGAGCGTTAGCTCTTCGCCAATCGCCAATCTCTCTAACATTGGACTAACGCTCGAAACATCAGCCTTTAAACTCTTTACGGTGGCCAATTTACGTTTTCAACTCAGTTGATATCACTAAATTACCATGTTATACTCTCCCACCGACGCAGAACCACAGTTTCTTTTGAAACTTACCACCCTCATTTATATTCTTACACAGACTGACTGACACCCTTGGTTAGAGTAGATTTTAAATCTTAAGCTATCACCGCCAACTCAAGGTATATATTAACCCGGGGTTGTTTAAGGAAGCCGTTTAAGAACTTTTTTTGGCCCATAGAGAAAAATGTAAACTCTTGGCGTGGGTTGAAAGACAAATCCTGAATTCCCCATGGGAACTCACGCCTCGAATCTTCTAATTTCACCGTCCAATTCGCTATTAATTGATCAAGAGCTAGGTCGACAGAAAAACTCGTCAGCAAGCCAGGCTATGTGGACGAGCATACATACATAATGAGACTCGAACAGGTCTCCGGGATTTGCCAGAAGCGGCGAAATCAACAGGATTTGATAGTTGATGCCACGACTACTACATGAATAACGAACACCACAGATTGGTCTTTGAACCATGCAATGTTTAAGTACTTCTTTGTCAATACACTTCTCTTTTGTTTCATTGAATGCAGTGTTCTACGCGATGAAAAAGCCTAATTTTCATCAACTTGTTTGTACTCAGATTGTTCAAACAAATAAAACGTTGGTATTAAAAACAACTGGAGATCAGTTAAGCTCTGAAATGAGTGGCCTTACTTTACTATATTCAACTTTCGCCGGCGTCAATTAGCAGAGCACGAGAACAATTGAATAGCAAATAAATTATTCACATTCTGACATTCCCAATGGGGAATTTTGTTGATGAAAAGACACACAATAGAAGAGAGAGAAAGCTCTGACTGTGCGATTAATTTCAGTCGATGGTGCCTATTCTCTTCTTTATATGTCTAAAAATGCATCACGCATATTAAAAGAAACTCAGCTGGAAGGACAGACCTTGAATCTTTATCGGTACAATTGATTTGAGCTGTAAGCACTCATTTGCAGTTCGAGCATGCATGTTATTTGCAGGGAAACCGAAATAAATTTGTTCTTAAAAAATTTGCAGTAAGCCTTACAATGGGCACTAATGAATATAGGAAAGAGCTGTTCATATGTATATGACGGTTTTGTTTTCATTTTAATCCTCATAACAATCCAGCAAGCCCAACCCAGAAACATCACTACTCAGTGCATAGCAACGTTTAGAGAGACCTCTTAGAAGTTTACTCGAAGGAGTATCACTTTTTGATCGTCGTATTTGACCCAGTTGACAGAAGTCAGTTTGTAATCATGAATACCAAACTGTTACTCTTCCTGGTAGTTGCTTCATGTGTGCTTTTCACCGATGCTCGCAGTATATCGCGCCAGAATGCCGACGCAGTCGAGGGCAATTTACGCAAGGGTGTCCGAAATGACGCTGATAGGGGAGAGTACCCGGCTAAAAAGGGTAAGCCACTCATGACATTCAATGTTGACAGAACGATTGGAAACTTAACATGTAATCGTGTCATATTCTTGTATAAGATCAGAGAGACTGGCAATTTCGAATTGAAATTTTTGATGTAAAAGAATGCGTTGAGGGAACTTTTTGCTGTACTCAAATCCATGCAAAAAGTTGAGCCAAGAATATGCTTATGGGTGAATCTTATCAATGGCGCCGATAGAGGAAGCATATGATGAGCGCGCACGATTCTCGTAGGATGTTATATTGAAAAGTTTCTCAAGGTAGTAGCTTATTTGGCATAAGTCAAACGGAGGAGGCGTTGGCTACAAGCCTTCGCAAATTAGCCGTTATAGTAGGGTTTTGCCTGTTCGCTAGAGCATTTCAAAGGGTTCAAGAAGCCTTTTTTTCCTGGTCTTTTTTCAGCAGGGGGGGGGATAAAAAGCAGTGAATTATGGATTACGAACAACGGAGATAGTTTCTGGACAAACTTTGTTGCTGCTTCCGTTCAGGGTATTGAAAGATAATTTGCTTTTATTATCTGAGTTGATTATGTAAATTGGCCACCGTAAAGAATTTTTAAAGCTGGCGTTTCTAGTTCTGACGAAGGACTAACGCTTGAAATGTCAGCTCAACAAACTCTTTACGGTGGTCAGTTAACATGATCAACTCAGTTAATAAAACCAAATCGTCCATGGATTATGGCACTTTACTCACGAGAATCACCTTTTCGTGTTTAGTTTTTAAAAGAACCTATAAAGGTAAAGACCAAATCTGAGGAAACACTGTATTGTTAAACTTAAGGAAAGGGAAAAAGTTCTTGACGGTGGCAAAAAAACAGGCAACATCGACAGTCCTCCTAATTCCACCCCTTTACTTTGACAGTGTTCTTGTGTAGATGTAGAAATATGACATTCAGGGAAAATCACCGATGCATAAAATGTGAAGGGCTTTGTTTGGCGCGATTAAGCATTACGCTTAGGTTGCATTGTAATATATCTGCTTCTTGATGCCTGCATGACTTCTTGTAAATTGATGAAAACGAGATTAAAAGATTTTCACTTGGTTAAAATTGAAACCAATCACCCCTAAACAATTCTGTTTGACCAATATTCCACAGCGGAAGCTATTCGAGATTCTCTAAAGGAATTGCACCCATTTGTTTGTCTTATATGACTTCTGAAAAAAATCAAATGTATTCCTTCTACGACCACAAAGCTTAGAATTTAACCTCATGTTTCTTCCACCAATCCCAGCCTTCCTTCTCTTCTTTTGAATGAAGTAAAAGGCAGCATTTTTTGTGGTGAAGATTAAAAGTTAATTTTTCCTTTCGCCGTGAATGTTTCAGATGAATCCACTGGAGCCGATACTCAGGATGGCATGGTAATAGCTCGCACTATAATTCATAGGATGAGACCCACAAAGAACAAAGTTGAACAGACAGCTCCTAACTTTTCGTTGACAGCTCGTGGTATTTTGGGTAAAGTAACAAGCAGCGTAAGCTCGGCATCTAACAAGGCGAAGGAAACAGCGAATAAAGCGAAAGCCAAAGTTGAAGAGTTAGGCAAGAAAGCGAAAGGTAAAGATGAAGTACATAGTTTTCATGCATTTTTGAGCTCTACTTCCGCTGCTCGTACATTTTGTTACAATCCGTTCTGAATCTTGTTTAGGAGCTATTGAAGAAGGAAAAAAAAAGGTGGGTTCCATCACAGGAAAAAGAAAATTCGTCGACACTTTGTTGACAGCTCGTGGTATTTTGGATAAAGCAAAAAGCAGCTTAAGCTCAGCATCTAACAAGGCGAAGGAAACAGCGAATAAAGCGAAAGCTAAAGTTGAAGAGTTAGGCGAGAAGGCGAAAGGTAAAGATGACGAAAATGGTTTTTATGCATTTCTATGATCTACTTTCGCTGCTCACACATTTTGTTACAATCCGTTAAAAAATCTTGTTTAGGAGCTGTAGAGGAGGGAAAGAAAAAGGTGGGTTCCATCACAGGAAAAAGAGAATTCGAGGCATTCTTGGAAACAAGTATGGGAACGCGGGAAGGTAAAGAGACTTGACCAAAGGTTCTGAGCTTATCCTCGCTTCCAGAGTCCTCGTTTCTTTCAGTCATGAGATTGGAGAAACGAGCGCACCCATTAGTGAAAACGAGCAGCTCTGGGAACGAAATTGTTCTGAACCTGTGTAAATTTAGCAATCTGCGCATGCGATGTGATAAAGAAGATGGAAACATAAGACGGGGCAATGTTAACGGAAAAGCTCATATTCTGCAACTGAAAAATAGACTAGAAACTGTTATTGGAGGTCTTTTTTTTATTTGTCACATCTTACTCGCCACTAATTGAGACCTAAAGCCGAGGCGCCCGGATACTTTCACACCTGAAAGATGTTCATCGCCTTCGACAACACAATATTACTACTCACTTTTCCTTGTTAGTCGCCTTCTATGCTACGAATTTACCCTCATGATTTGTATTTATTCGATTCCTTTTTCATTTTTCCCCCTCGAACAGATTTAATGGGAAACGTTTCAGCGGGGAAGGATTAAAAGTTTGTTTTTCCTTTTGTCTCCTTGTTTCAGATTAAGCCAGTGGAACAGATTCTCAAGACGAAATGCCAGATAGACCAAGAAAGAGGGTTGAGACTAGCAAATAGTTGACACCCTGTGTCTGTTTTTGAAATTTCTAATTATATTTGCACTTAAGCACTGAGTTCCCCATGAGTTATACGACGTGGCCCAGAATATAACTGAAAATCTCACTTTGGTAATTCCTAAATTCAAGTTTATTGTTGTACACATTCATTAACCCTTTCATTCCAAGACATGACCAACCTAGCTTCTCTTCAACATATCATTTTCAAGCAGGACTGTGATGGAAAGAATGCAAATCATCAATCATAAGGTGTAATTTGATTAAGCAACAAATTATCAGCGCTAAAAGTTACAATGGTAGAAGGTAAAAACAATCATCTTGATCCTAGAAGTAAACAGGGTTAAGAAAGAACAAGTGAACCTAAAATTTAACCCCAATTGCTATCTTTCCTCCGTATCTATATCTCAATTTTTTTTTTACCAATTAATGGTATCGATATATCTCTTTTAACAGCTTGATTACTTGTATTTATGTGTGCATATGAAACCTCATTTCGTCAATAATATTTTAAGAGCACAAGGGGCTTGTGGGTTCAGGTAACTTAACGGGCCTGTAAAGCTGTTCTGTTTTCCTTTAAGATAGAGGCTTCAAAAGGTTTGAAAATTCCACAATAAAGGTCTTAGGTAACGAAAGAAAATGGGCTGGTTGAGGTGCCAAAACCCTCCTCTCTAATTTTTAAATTTTGATTTGAAAAAAAAAATGGCTTTGGGCGCGTCAAGTTACCTGGACTGATTCGAGAAACGGGTTGCAACGCAGTTGATTCACATTCTCATTTGTGTCGATGACTCAGAGTAATCCTAGTTTTTAGATTTAGCCCGTTTGTTAGTATCTGCAGTTATGGAATAGTCTTTGTTCGAATCGGAGCCCCCACGTGAAGATACACTTCGTTACACGCACCAAGAAAATTGTAGCCATTCCCTTGAACCGCAATTGCTTTGCTGTTCAAACAGATTAGATTCACAGTCGTTACACCAACTTCTATTCAAGAAGAGCATCGCCCTTTGTGGAACACTTGTTCAGTTGAACTCGAACCGCAGAAATAAATACACCTTATTCGACGGTTTAACATACAATACGTGCGGAGGTGAAGCGAAATGTCTGCTTGTCTTTAAAGTCAAACCACTGAATGAGGGATTTATTTCTCTGTTTTTACTTCATTTTCTGGTATTTTGGCTTCTAGCTTTCGAAATACTTCCAACTACTTTATATAGGCCAACACTTTTACATGGGCGTCATATCGATTGAATAAAGTGTGCGTCAAAGACAAAATCAACAGAAGCGAAACCATTATAGCGTTTTTTATGACCAACAGAAAATCGGAGGCGCTTAAAGTTCGTTTCTTCAAAAGTCAGTCTTAAAAGAACGGAGAGAAAGAATCATAGTTTGGGTTGAACCTTTCATAAAGATTGTAAATGCGTGACTTTCAAACTTGCGTGAAAGCCTATGTTTTGATTCCTTTAAATAGTTTTTCTCCCGCTTTCAAATCGCCTGTTCATCCAAAGTTAATTTAAAAGATTTCACGGCGTATAGGGACTGATATTTTTACGAATTGATCAAAGTTTGTCCCTGTAATATATCCCTGGATTTGAACGATTTTCTTGGTATTTCATCGAGCCTTGATGTTTGTTTGCCGCAACAAAGATTGTTCAGTTCCAATTAGCAAACTGGGATTTATCTTATCAAGTCTTAAAAATGGAAGATAGGCATGGTCGATAATCGATAAGGACTGCAAACGAAAAACTTGAAAATGTGGCCTCACCTTTATCAATGGTGACAAGGCCGAAAAGGAAAATGAAAGGTTTGAAAAGTCACAGTACACTGGTCCACTTTCTTTTTGGGTCTCTTTAGAAAATTTCTAAAAGAAATTGAAGCCATTGGCTAAATTCGTTTTATCTATCATCGGGTGATGTCTCCACAAAAGTATGCAACGAGTCAGCGCGTGGTGTATTTGATTGCAAGAGACCGGAAAATAAGTTCCAATTCCAAATGGATGTTGTTGTCATCACGTCAGCTGAAACGTGACGCCTTAAAGTGAGACGTCAAAATAGACTCAGCAGCAATTTAGTGTCGACGTCCTGAAATTACAGAGTTCCGATCTTGGCGCAATATAGCTATAATTTGCAACATTTTTGAAAGATTTCGATTGGAGAAGGAATCATGCGAGTAGTCTACCAACTGCTGTTGTGGATATTTGTTTTCTGCCGTTACACAACACAAGAAGGTAAGAAGATATGTTTCTGCTGTTCAACGCAGCATCTGATAAATGCAAGCCGATCGGTGGACTTCTCTCTCGATATTTTAACTGCTTCTGTTATTACTTTTAATACATTGAGTCTCATGATGCGGTATATTCTGGCGTGTCTAAACCATTCAATGGTTGTTTATCGATACGTGCGTATAAATAGCGTGCATGGACACATGTTTAGCTTTTTAGTTAAGGAGAGGATGATTTTAACATTTCGTACAGAACTTAAATCGATGGACGTATCCTTTTCTGATAAAGATTTGTAGAACTCTAAAGGGACTTGAAAAAGAGGGAAAACTGGAAAGAAGACTGATATAATAATTAAATGAAATTAAGTGTGACTGAAGCTAAGCTGAAGAGAAATTTTCTAGACTTCCCTTAGCCTAAGTAAGGGGATACTTGCCAAAAATGTCACGCTGTTGTTATTTAACTGACGTCATGTGAAAATTAAATCTTATGAAATCGGTGTTATAACGTCATTATTGCGGTCTCCAGTTGAAAATCAGAAGGGTTAGTTAGAAGGGTTTGATGATTTCGAAATGTACCCTCTTTACCAGCTGGGAAGAACTGTTGTTCCGAACCATCAAAAGCAAGAATTGTTAGCGCTACTTGCAACTGTCGGTGCTCTGTAATTTTACAGATGCTGCTCACTTTAACCTTTAGGCACACTTGCTCTTGTTCTTCTTCTTGCTCTTCTTATGAAAAACCTATCTTGTGTCGAGTGTATGAGTACTCCCAGGGAAAGGTTTTTTTGGAGATCTGCGGAAGCCTATCAAGGAAAACTTTTGAACGGCCGAATTAGCATCTTATCACATGAGAAATCCAATCGTAAATGAGTCGCTGTTTCAGCATTTTAGTGATGAGCTGAGCTCTGAATGTATTGTGAATATTTCCGCCTGTGGATAATCCAATTCTGTCGAAATTTGCGAGGCACGTAGTGATTAATTTTACACCTAAACCAGACTTAAAAACCAGTTGTTTCCTTTTTTGAGAGATGTTAAGATTTTAATTTTTTGAATGAAGGCTTCATGAAAACCTTGGGGCCTAATTTATCACTTTCGCATCTCCCATAATACATTCTGCTGCTGCGCCATTTTCATGTTTCTAATTTCTCTTGCGACAACTGTGTGTGCCCAGAGATATAAAAAGTCCTGACCAGTGGCGGCTATGATTGGAGAAGTGTAAGAGGCGGATGTACCGCGGTTAAAAATCACAATATCACATGTTTTAATTTATCGACACTTTAGCAAAAAGCTGCCGCGATGACCTTGGAATGAAAAGTAAAGGAATACCAGACGAGAGTATTGCAGCATCGTCTTCAAAAAGTGCAGATAACTCCCCACAGTTTGCACGTTTGGACGGAAAAAAGGCCTGGTGCTCTGCGCCAACGGACAAAGAGCCACACATACAAATCAATCTGGTCGAGCCAAAGTCAATAACTGGCATAACGACTCAAGGAAGCTTTTCTGATTGGGCGTGGGTAACAAAATATGAAGTCAAGTATTTAGAAAAAGGAACTTGGAAACACTACGATGAGGTGCCTGAATTGTTATCTATTTTAATGATTTTTCTCCAGCTCAAAATAACTCATATTATTTTTTGCTCTTTTTGGAATTTCCGGGAGAAATCTGGAAGTAATTGATTAAATCGTTTAGAAGTAAATGAATCAGTGTTACTCCTCAGCTTAAAAAAAAACTGCTATTCTTCAAGTTAGGAAAATGTTAAGTTAATTTGTCACGAGAGATCCAAAGCTTTAGCCGCAGAGGACAAGCGTACAATGCATACTAGTCAATCAAGTTTGGATTCAAAGGCATCAAGGCAAATTGTAATATTATGAAGTTACCTTAATTGGCATGATGCAATTAAGCTAGTTGATGAGCTCAATTTCTGTCAAAATTTCAGGAATTTGAAGGCAACAAAAATATTAATGGCTTGAAGCCGAACACCTTAGATCCTCCAATCAGAACACAGTCGATTAGAATCTATCCCAAGGATCCAGTGATGTTGGATAGCACCGATCCTAAACCCTGCTGCCTAAGATTAGAGCTGTATGGATGTTCTGCACCAGGTATCATTTGAAGATCGCCTCAACGGCATTTTATCTTCAAGTCAAGTAATTTATAGGTGTAATTGCCAGGTACTGTCTTAGATGAGTACGGATATGTATCATATTCGGAGGCTTAAAAGTCTTATTAATGTTGTCTCTGTAAAATCTTTCGAAGTCTTAACCGCTACATAGCTAAACGTTTGACTGAGATATACAGACCTTCAAGAATTAGTTTCCTCTTTTATTTGTTGACTGGAAAGCATGACGTATTCTTGTTTAATGCTCTACATGTCGCCATTGTTTTGGCAAAATCTTGTTAAAAGATTGACTACTATTTTTTAAACTTAGGGTTTCAGCGAAGGGCCGTTGTAAAGAAGTTCATGGATCTAGGGGGCCAGACACTTAGGGGGAGGGGGATTTTGGAGAAGATCACAAGGCTTTTAGGGGGATTGGAGGGGGGTTCACGTGTCACTAACAGAGTTTAAAGGAGGAACTATGGAAAATTGATTGCCGATTAACTGTCGATGGGGGGAATCATAGGAATATTGCAAAGCCTCATAGGAGGATCAGGATAATTTTATCATGACACAACCAAAATCCTCCGACCTCTGAAAAGGCGGGAATTGGATTCCCTACATACGGTTCCCGGATGTAGTGGTCGTATTGGTTCCACGAGTGTTTTAGTTTTCGGTAAACCACTCACGCCCATACAATAATTAGATTTATAGGGGGGCATTTTCTATTGTTCCAGCCGACTGCAAAAACCCCGGACATCCATCCAACGGAAAGCGAAATGGGAGCGATTTTGGTCATGGTAAACAGGCAAACTTCACCTGCATGGAAGGTTTCATGCTAGTGGGAAGCGCAACATCTGTTTGTCATAAGGGTACATGGAGTCATACCCTTCCTCAATGCAAAGGTAAGTTGTGTTACTTTGTGATGTGGGTTCATGATTTTCCTTGACTGGCCCTCTTTGCGCTGGAATTTAGAATGCTTCCGTCCTATCCCATTTATTCCATAGGATTATTCAGAGAAAGTAATGCCGTTTGAATAGCATTTTTCGTTTCCCGCAGCACTTAAGTAACAAAGATGATGTAAACGGAACAAATAATATTTTGACTTCTTGTTGATTACTTTTCTTCTCTCTCCATTCGTACCGGGATTCGTACCTCGGCGATTTGAGGGCGCCGGTTGAAGCAAAGTCTATTTGTAATTTTTTTATGGCTTTAATATCTGTAAGCATACTTGTGAGCGCGGGATCGATGTATTATTGGTACTTTGTGAGATTACTAGAATTAAAAAAAAACTCTCTTACTAACGATCGAAATGCTATCAATTCAAAAGGAAATTGAAAATAATTTGTATGAGGCTTTTGGTGCTCGTCTTGAATCTTCAAATTTTCATGTTGCTATTCGTTTTTTTTTTGTCTGTTTTTCATAACTAAACGTGTAAAAAGCTACCTGTAAAGATCCTGGAGTCCCAGTGAATGGAAAGAGAAAAGGAAAGTCATTCGTCGATGGCGACACAGTAGAGTTTACTTGCGACGAAAACTTTAGCCTCTCTGGTTCATCGATCAGTCGTTGTTTGGGTGGAAGGTGGAGCGCGGCTTTGCCAGAATGCAAAGGTTAGAAAATGCTTTATCATCTCTTTATCTCATACCTCATGTTGAATTACTCCGACAATCAAAATACACTCAAAAAATTTTGCCCATGTTAATTTTCCATCACCTTGTTGAGAGCCTTTAAAAAGTTACTGGAATCCTCTTGTGTAGCATTCTTCCACCAAAGAGAATCAAAGGATACCAGGAACAGTCAGGCAACATGACAAAATGTTGGAATAGCATCATGACTCGAAAATTCCTAATGTTAAGAAAGGCATATCAAACTTTGCCTATTGTCATGGTTGTATTCGTTTTAAGTCAATGGCTCTATTGTTCATTGTCCTCCGAGACCTTTTCATCGGATGGTTTAAATTGCGCTCAGCAAGTGTTGAGTTCAGGCGAGGAAAACTTTTTCGGTTGAACAACTTTTGCCCAAGGTTCTTAGGCATTAATGTAGCTCAAAACATTTGAAGACAAAAATTGGATTGGGAGGGAGGGAGAGGGGATTGATGGAGACGAGTTCAGGTAGATATGCAAGACAATATCGCATGCAGACATTGCCTTCGTCTAGGAAGCTTGAAATGTTTCTCGTGACCGTCAGCAACCTGCATTTTTTATTCAGTGTTAAACAGCTTAGCTTTCCGTTACTGTATCTTAAAAGTGACTTTAAAGTGATTGTTTAAAAAGAACTACGTTTCCAAGTAGCATGTTGTGTGTTTATGCGCTCTCAAGTTTAATAACGTTTGGTTTTGTTTTGTATACAGCTTCTTGCCCAGACCCGGGTATACCTGTGAATGGTGAAAGGGTTGACGGGAGTTTTGAACACGACAAGCACTTACAGTTCAAGTGCAAACAAGGATTTTGGCTGGTAGGAAGTCAACTGATCTTTTGTAATGAGGGCACGTGGAGCAACGAAATTCCCACGTGTAGAGGTATGAAACTCCAAAACTTTACGCGTCCTTCTTTAATGAAGTTACGATAACACCATAACAGTTAAAGGTCCTCTAAGGCTTTGACGCAGATGTGACCAAAATATAACTAATCTTGGCAATATGAATACATTATCTAGCAAATGACGATGTATAGCAGTTACAAGTGAGAATCAATACAGATCTTTGGAATCTTAGGAATAACACCATCACTTGATATGAGAGCGATCTTCGCAATAACGACCATGTCGGGTCATGAATTATAATCCATCTATTTTAGGGCCAATAGGTGATCGTATACTGGTTGCTAGCTCGGGGATATCCTAACTTAAATAACATCAGACGTAACAATCGTTTGTGAAGGTCAACCTTGCTTTACGGCGACAAATGGAAATGCAGTTCTGAAACGCTCCTTCTAGGGTAACGTACTGACTCTCTTTTGAAGCTGTTTGTAGAGATCCTGGAGTGCCAGAAAATGGAATCAGGATCGGAGACGATTTTGGAGATAGCCAGATGGTGGCTTACAGATGTAACGAAAACTTTAACTTGGTAGGCTCACCTACCTCGTTTTGCATAGCTGGACACTGGAATACAACAAAGCCAACTTGTAAAGGTAAGCAGCAAGATAACGTCAGGAATGACGCTACTTGAGAAAACGAAGGTTGTTCTCTTAGCCACCTGGTTAGGAAAGTTTTCCCCTTTTGCTCGGTCTGAAAAAGAAACTCACGACTTCCTGGGGATCTCTTCAATTTATGCACTGCTCTTTAGAAAAGTTTTTCTTTTAGTTGAAGGAAACGTTTTCTTCTTTGTGAATTCTGCCGTGCTGCTCTCTAAGGATAGCGAGACTTTTGCTAACAGCCATGTACACCATAAAATCCCGCAATCATTTTACATTCCGCACGGAACCAGATATCGTTTTCGTTTAACGTCATACGGGAACAGTTTTAACTTTCTTTACTTAAGAGAATGATTTGGAAAACTTACGCCGTTTATGTAAAAAGGAAAAGCGTTTTCAGGCGTAAATGTCAATTGCAGCATCCTGTCCTGATCCTGGTGTACCGAGTCATGGCAGAAGAATCGGTTCTAATTTTGGTCACGGTGGCCTGGTGACATTCGTGTGTTTAAAGGATTTCAACCCGATAGGAAGCCAGTCCATGACTTGTCACGACGGAAAATGGAGTTCTGTTGTCCCTGTTTGCAAAGGTAATCTATGAAAATAAATTTTGTCATCACGCATAAACTCGATCCCCAATTTTGCGACGGCGTCACGAACATGCTGAGAAAGTTCGCTGGAACTATGATTGTACAAAAGGAGAAACGTAATTCGCCTGAGAGATTTCAAATTTCCGGTAATTTTAAAGCCTTTGGGAAATTATCAGAGATAACCAAATATGTTTTAGTCTTTTTCTATTTCCTACGTTTAAGCAGTCTTTGAAACTTCTATTCGGAAAGGAGTAAATTGTCCAATGCCGAAGTCTTGAGAGATTTAATAATACTTGGCATAAAATCAGTCCACTGTTCACCTGGCTGTAGAGTCACTGGCTTTTCAGTATCATATATGTCTTTTGTATGTCCTAAGCATCATGTAAGGACCCAGGCTCTCCCAACAATGGAGTCAGACATGGTAACGACTTTGATCACAACAAGCGAATATCCTTCACATGTCTCCCGGGATTTCAACTGACGGGGACTTCGAACGCGGTGTGTATCAATGGAAAGTGGAGTGCATCCATGCCTCAATGCAAAGGTGAATTGTTACGAACTCAATTTATGATTACCGTTTAACTTTTATGCCTTTGGAAAACCTGTGATAAAAGGAATGCTGCTTTGTTTCGCCCTAGGTGCGAAATCTAACGATGCAAGTTGTTTTATCCTCAAGATGAATGCCATACAATGTAACTTTATTTAAAGTCGAGACTATTCCCAGTTAAGGAAGCGAAGGTTTCGTGAAAAAAGAAAACTCGTAAAACTATTTTAGCCCCCTCCTTCCGACCACAAAAATCGCACCAATTATAAAACGGTTACTGTTATTTGCGACTCCTTGAGTAAGGCCTTATTCTTACCCTTCTTGGAGCCAAATATTAGCCAAGAACCAAAGTACAATTTGCCGCCGAACTTGCCAGATTTTTTGAACGATTTTAGGCTCAGACCCTTCGATTTCATTTCGGTTGCTAATATAATAATAATATCTATTAAACATCGAATCAAATAAACTCAACACAGTCTAGAATTCACACTCTCAAATCAATGATCAGTATCAGTCAAATCATTGAGACAAGATATTCCGGTATTCACATCGTCATTCTGAATTATAGCTGTTTGCGTCGATCCTGGTAAGCCTGTTCATGGAAACAGAATAGGGAATACCTTCCTTGATGGTCAGGCTGTGGCATTCAGTTGCCAACCGGGTCACACACTGATTGGCGCGTCGATTCTGCGGTGCGTTGCTGGAAAATGGAATAAGCCAACACCCGAGTGTAAAGGTAATTTTTTTAAGAGGCGTTTAGCAACACCAAGATTATTTTGCCTCCAACCCAAGCTCAATTGTTTTTTCCCAATATTCAATATGATATAGTCGAGTCTATTATGTCTCATAAACAGTATGGTACAACGGTGCGCCCTTATTTTGATTGGCACAAGTCGACTGACCAACTAATGGTCACTCTGCCTTTTCGAAATTGTACCTTACCATGTAAATTTTTTTATTGAAATGCTTTTAAAACTAGCAAACGATAGAGAGGGCTTCGCGTTACATTAATTGAGTGTCATTGTACACTTAAGTTAGAAATCTATTTGGTAAACATAAAAAGATTCGAACGTCTGTCATATCAGTTGATCTCATGTGTTATTGTATGATCCTTTTGACTCATTACTCAGTCTTAAAGTCCAGTCGAGTCACTGTTAATAAATTCGTATTTTGTTTGTTCATTTCAAGCCTCGTGTCCAGACCCTGTTGCTCCTATAAATGGCCGAGCTATTGATCTAAAGCCTGGTTACCGTCACGGAGAACGAGCGAAGTTTTCGTGCGATTCAGGTTTTAAATTAATAGGATCATCAAACAGCAGGTGTCTCGATGGAAACTGGAGCTCGACGGCTCCCTTATGTACAGGTATAGTTCGGTTACGTCTTTTTGATCGACTCAAATGTAATTGTCGTCCAAAGGAGCACATAATACAATATAGCTAGTTTAATGAACAAATTTAAAGTGAATGGTTTCGTGATCTTAGCCTGTAAAGTGCTTACAATCCAACGACAATGGATCATCAAATGTCGTTAATATCGAGTTGAAGTATGTTTGCAAGCTCAAAGTAATCAAAGTCAATTCCTTACGAGTCTACATCCATACAAATTAACTTACAAATCAGTTAAAATATTATCAGTTTCCTTTCGCGGATAAGTGATAAAGCAGTCGGATTCATTTACTCTCTCTATTGCGTTGTAATTTGTTAGTTTCCAGGTTTCATAGATCATTAGCACAGTAGCTCTGCTGTGTTTTTAAACTGTGAATTAATTCATCCTACAATCTAGCTGTCGTCATAAGTGAAGAAAAGAAGAAACTGTTTTTGCGAAAAATTTTTGCATTTTCGTCAGTTTCGTATTCGGAAAGACAGGACGTTTTCAGATCAGAAGTTGTGCTTCCCAATTGAAACTCTAACTGTTAAATTGGAGTGTTTCGCACTCATGATTAGGACAATGACTCTTTCTTTTGAGGAAACCAAACTAAAGGGGACGGACTCTTGAAACATAAATAAGATGACATAACTCTTCTGTGTGACTCTCACGCTAGATATCGACGAGTGTTTAGAGGGGGTATCCCGTTGTCACTCCAACGCTGAGTGCTCAAACACCATTGGTTCTTTTACGTGCAGATGTAACGCAGGCTCAGCTGGAAATGGCAAGACTTGTTTGAGTAAGGAAAGATAACTTGATTGCTTGTTATACTCCAGAAGTAAGGCGTATTCAACCTTATACCGTATACCGCGTTTAAAAATCTTAAGAAGTTCTCAAGATGGTGTCTTGAGTTGCCCGCAGCCTTCTCAACATATCTGGCGGAGTGAGAATTTGTGATGGACTATTTTCGGAAGTCGCACATCAACATAAAGATAGCTTAGCATATTTTGAGGTTCCGTAAGATTATGTGATTATTGATATCCTTATTACTATTTGCAATCATGCGTAGTATCGGCTCAATGCTGCCAAGCCGGCTGAAAAGTGTGTATTTGTGAGTTTTACAGAATGCTATATGTCCCATATAGCTGTTTAACTTTGCCGAAATTATTCAACCCGTGGCTGAGAGGCTATGGAAACCTTAATCCTCCTATTTTCTTCATCAGAGAACTGCAATGATCCAGGCACACCACAAAATGGTCAAAGAAACGGCAGTGATTTCGTTCATAAAAGTAAAGTAACTTTTACATGCCAAACTGATTTTAAGCTTGTCGGAAGCAGTAGTATTACTTGTCGTGATGGAACATGGAGTGGCAGAGTTCCTATATGTATGGGTAAGCGAGGATAATAGCACTTAAAATTATGTCAGTAGTCAGAATCTTCCACATACCTTGCGCGATCCGAAATCACAAAATTCGTATAAACTTGATATAATCGGGGTGAACAAATTTCAGTTTAACGTAATTCAGCGTAAAACACATTTCTAACTTGTTTCATGACAGCAGGACCCGTTCAGCAAATTTTTGAGTGGGATGGGTAGAGAAGAACTTATAAGCTTTAGCCAACAAGGGAATGGGGCATGCTCAGCAGGAGAAGTTATCTTTAAAAAAGTATAGGGAAGAAGGTTGGTGGGGGGAAGCCTCCCCCCTCAGCCCCTCCCTCCGCGCGATCTCTAGAAAGGAACAACCTTCGCTACCCTTTTTCCCAAATATCGCTTCTTTCGGAGGATTGCTACTTTCCTTTGACTAAAACACGTAACTTCAAGTAAAAATTAAACAGTCTTATCAAAACAAACGATAAAATTAAAACAGACAAATTTCGCAGTAACAGGTAACTACGCGATACAATGGTCCTTGCTGTAAGAGCTTTACGGTGTTTTTTTTTAATGAGCCAGCTGCAAAAATACAGGAGTTCCACGAAATTGCGCAGGGACAGTTCAATTGCATGAAAAATTTACGCACGCTTTTCCATTCTAAATTACACTCGAAAAAACTAGATAATCTATACCTATTGAGCACGAACCAAGGTTCATAGAGTGTTCTCTCAGTAGTTTGAAGACATCAGTCCCAAATCTTATCATAAACAACACCATTGGTAACCTACCAAAAGTAATATATAAAAATTAACATGATTCGACCAGGTAGACCACGTTACGTCGGCAAAAATCAACTCTTATGGTTTGTTCCGGCGTCCAATCGATTTGTTTAGAAACTTGCATGCGACCGCGACATTTAATCGGTTCTTTCAAAGATTCTAACTTCCAAGTTTCATTTTTTCTTCTCTAGCCAGCTGCAAAGATCCAGGAGTTCCACTGAATGGTTCCAGGACAGGCGACAACTTTCAACACGGACAAGCTGTCAGCTTTTCATGTGATCGTGGCTACACGTTGATTGGTAGGAAGGCAATAAGGTGTCAGAAAGGAGTATGGAGTTCATCTTTACCGCAGTGTAAAAGTAAGTGGCTATGATTACTAGCAGTTGTATTAGATGCTCGACTATATAGTTCGAAATCTTGGTCACTTTGGAGGTATGCTGAGTGACCTTCCAGTCCGATTTCTTTAGTTGATACAGAGTAAACAACGGCAAGCTGTCTAACAAAAAGCCCCAATATTTTGTTACATGAATGTCTGTTTACTTTCTACTTATCTTTGCTTCCTTAGTGAGCTGCAATGATCCAGGTAGGCCAGACAACGGCCAAAGAAGAGGCAATGATTTCCACCACACAAAGACAGTAACGTTTACATGCCAACCTAATTTTACGCTTGTTGGCAGCAGAGCTATAACCTGCCGTGATGGAACATGGAGTGGCAGAGTTCCAGTGTGTATGGGTAAGCCATGAGACAACTGGGCATACTCCTTGAGCGACCAGAAATCTCTGTAGTATTCAGTCGAAAAACTGCAAGCCGGTAAATGGCATATATGTCGATTGTTACTCAGTTAATTTCTTTTGGCCTGCTTTTCATGCTTTACCATGGTGATATCTTTATTTCACTGAGTTTAACTGAGAAGACCTAAGCTTAAGAGCTTCTTTTGATTAATAAGAATATTCCAATTAAACCGTAAAACGAGCTGAGCTTTTGAGCACTAACAGGCAAACGAAATGTGCTATACCTGTCATTAGTCACTTTTTGTTTGCTGATGTGAAGAAGAAGGCATTTTGAAAATCTCAGGGAGGTCGTTACTTAACTGTGAAGGGTTAAGTTTGTGGAAGGGCTTGAAGGTTGTGAAAGGTATGAGCAGTCCTTAGCCCTATGATGTTGTTTCCTTTGTTTTTTCTTTTAGCGAGCTGCAAAAATCCTGGAGTTCCACGTCATGGTGTAAGGCCAAGCGACAACTTCCAACATGGACAAACAGTCAATTTTGGCTGTAAAAGTGGCTACACATTGATCGGTAGTAAATCAATAAGATGTCAGAATGGAGTTTGGAGTTCATCTTTACCGCAGTGTAAAGGTAAGAGGCATTTTTTCTAAAGGGATTTTGACACACAAATCTCACATGGAATTTGTATGCTTATATCTTTTTCCTTCAGAGACATGCGATAATCCAGGTAGACCGAAAAACGGCCAGAGAAAAGGCAGTGATTTCCGTCACGGAAGGAATGTAACTTTTACGTGTCAAACTGATTTTAAGCTTCTCGGTAGCGAGACTTTAACCTGCCATGATGGAACCTGGAGTGACAGAATTCCCGTATGTTCAGGTAATCAAGGATGATAACAGTTGAAAATAGTGTAGTTGTAAGTGATGAACAGAATGACTTAAAAGTTAGTTTCACATACTTTATGTGTTGGATCCGAAATCACAAATGAATATGGCAACTTATCAAGCAGTCTGAAGCAATTTTACAGGTTTTACTTTCGTCTCGCCCAAAGTGCTGTTACCATAGATATGTTCTTATCTACTTACCTACTTTTGAGGTTATAACTTTAAATGGGTCGTTACGTTCTTCGTTTCTAGCCAGCTGCAAAGATCCAGGAGTTCCACTGAATGGTTCCAGGACAGGCGACAATTTTGAACAGGGAGAGACAGTCAGTTTTTCATGTAATCGTGGCTACACTTTGATTGGTAGGAAGGTCATAAGGTGTCATAAAAGAGTATGGAGTTCATCTTTACCACAGTGTAAAAGTAAGTGGCTGTCATTTCGAGTCGATGTATCGACTTAAGAATTTCAATTTGAAAATTTCAATCACTGGGGAAATTACCTTTGCAATAAAAGACACGTATTTACCGAGACGCAATGAAGAAAAATGCGCTGAAAATAACCCTCTTCAACTGAGTCTTTTCAAAATTTTTTTGCATAGCACAGTGGGTAAAAAAATGTCTCATCCTTGCTTAAGAAACAAAATTGAAAAGCACACAGTTAAATTGAGATTACGTGAGCGTCGTTACTCGCCCGACACCCCTACTCCACTCCATTATTTTTTTTGCCGTGGGATCCCTCATGATTGACCTACCGATTTACTATCTCGCCATCACTGACGTTTATTTTTCCATGGTAGAATCCTGCACTGATCCTGGTAAACCACGGAATGGTCGTAAAATTGGGGGAGATTACCGTCACGGAAGGACCATGTCTTTTATTTGCCAACCTACGTTTAAACTGGCAGGAGTGAACAGAATCACATGCCGTGATGGGACATGGAGTGACAATGTCCCCACATGTAGAGGTAGCTTTTAACCGAGGTTAAAGTCAACATAGAAGAAACAATGACTGTGTCTTTTCTGGAAGCGAGTTAACAATGAAATAGGAAAAAACAAAAAAAATGGAGATAAATTTCAGCTTGTCTGTTAATCGTGTTCTTTTTTGAACTTTTATAACCTTCTCGATTTGTGCTTTCTGCGCTTCCTAAAACAGAGTAAGCGAGTGTTTCCTGTGGAGAATCCTACACTACTATCTCATTGGCCTTTAGCAGCGGGTGTATCCCAGGTTTTTGTCTTCGTTGTGGTTGTTTGAATCGTCATTAAACATTGTCACGTACAGCGAGGAGAGTCATATGCACCCCTCCCTCTGTGCTTTCACAGAGTAGGTTAGTTAAAATGCACGAATTCCCTCAAAGTACACTGAAGTTCCTTGAAGGGTTAGAGAACTAACTAAATTCTCATTTTTCTGTTCCCAGCGACATGTCGAGCCCCGACCAACATTAAACATGGCTCTTACATCGGAAGTAAATATGCTGGAGACAGCGTCACATTCACATGTGACGATCAGTACTTTTTAGATGGCTCTTCTGTCATCACTTGTGTTAATGGGCGATGGAATGGAACTTCACCCATCTGTAGAGGTAAAGTAAAGTTGAAAAAGTGCGTTGGTTACGGTTGCTTCGGTTCTCGCTAAAACATGGCTGATATTGACACAAAATATCCCCGGGTTCTATTAACACCATCAGGCTTAGATAATGCGAAAAGAAAAAAAAATAACCAAGTCGACTGCAGTGATATATACTTATGTCGATAAATAGATTAAAGATATGCAACCACTCTTTAGAAATATCCTAGTGGACGAACATCACTTTTCGGTTTATTACTTTCCTTCCAGCTCCGTGCTCTCCTCCGATTCCACCAGCTAACGGTTTCGTCTTTGGCGATAACCACCAACACCAATCGCTTGTTCAGTTCTGGTGCGATCAAGGTTATACATTAGAGGGCCCACCATCCCGTGAGTGTATCGATGGAAAGTGGGACAAGAAAGCTCCATACTGTAAAGGTAATTTACACTACACATGATGTCAATACCAAAGTAAAAGAGACCATCGGTACTTTTAGAATTTTTGACCTGGCAACACCTCTTCCAGGTACTAACATTGCCGAAAGTAGCATCACCGTATTAAGGGACTTTTCTATTTAAAACGGTCTATTTTCATTTTCGCATGTATTTTTCAGTTTCCAATAAAAAAGTGCAAAATTTGTTTTGGATATAAAATACAATCTGCCATGAAAAATTGGCACACGAAGCGAAATTAACCAATTCCTCGTTTAACCTGTCAACCTCCTTTATGACAACACAGTCACAATATTGTAGTGTTAAGACAGCATATTGCATAGTGGTTCGAGAGTTTTGAGTGTCATCCGGAAGCACAAGAACGAAGCTTTACTGAGTTTACTCTTCGAAGAAACAACAAGCGAATGGGGACCGAAAAATAATTGTTGAGTATGCTCTTTTACTGTTAAGAAATCCTGCTGTGAGATTTATTCAAAACACCTTTTCAGACACCAAATCATGTAGAAAGCCTACCCTTCCGCCGAATGCATATCTTAGACCCTCGCAGTCTCAGATGGAAGTGTTTCCTAATGGTGCAAGATTGTATTATCTGTGCAATCCAGGATACTGGCGGTCTGGATTTTCCATTCAAAGATGTGAGAATGGAAAATGGACCAAAGCGACTCTCAGATGTCGACGTAAGTATTTTAGAATCTTTCAATTGCGTGAAGGAAGTGTATATTTAGAGCACTGAACTGTAGCAAGACAAACAATTAAATGAAGAAACAGCATCTCGAGTAGAATAGGCCACTTCCGAGTTCTCGCGGTTCAGTGATCTGGGGACGAAATTACGGCGCGAGAACGAGGCTAAAGGCGAGGTCGCTCTCATCGGTGTGAAGGATCAACTGCCGTGGTGGTGAAAATGAGCGAAACTTTTTTAAAATTCAATGTGGGAGAGTGAAAAATTATTTGTGGGAGAGCGGCATACAGTTAAGTGATGGCAGCAGAGGAAAGAAAAATGCAGAACTGTTCGATTTATACAAGAAAGCTGCAGCAATGAAGAAAATCAAACTAACCTTGTCTACAATGGGCTATTACGTAGAAGGTTTACCCATTATGTTTAAATTACGTCCCCAAAGTTTGTTTTCTTTTTCATCCTATGGGGGAAAAAAAATTGATGAGCGCCCGTTACCTTTCCTTATCGTTTAGACATCTGATTTTCATTTAATTTGAGCCAGGGTTGGGGCAGAAGGCTGTCAAAGTCACTGCCAAGTTTCACAACTTCTTTAGTGACAGTCTGGAGTAATATGAATTCAAGAGTTATTCACAAAATCTGTTTCCGTTTTACTCTTTCGCACAGCAAGATCTTGTGGTAACCCAGGATCGATTACAAATGGCAAAATAAGCAGCTACGTGTTTACATACAATAGCACAGTCGAGTACTCTTGTCATCCTGGATATTCAATTGTGGGATCCAAGACTCGTTTATGCCAAGCCAACGGAACATGGAGTGGAACATTACCCCGATGCACAAGTGCGTTTGCCTGTTTGTTCGCCTTCATTGTTTGTTTTTTTTTCTTGGCTGCCGTGAAATTGAACTAACCCCTTATACCGTTAAGTCGCAACACAAGAGTATTTAGATTTCTTGAAACCTATCGAGGATGCGAGGCACCTAAAGTGAAGACGAAACAATCGCCCTCGCCTAAAAATTTACTGCGACTTCAGAAGAAAACAATACTTCCTTAGAGCCTCTAACTTAACGGGGAAAGTCAAAAATTGTTGGAGTACAAATTAGATAAATTGCATGAATCTCAGCGGTTCCTTTACTGGAATCGTTTTTCGCCGTAGGCAATATTCGTTCATTGTAGATATCGACTGATGTAGCAGCTAGTCTACTTCGCCGACGGGATGTCACGGATATTTAATGGGGACTGACTGAATAACTGACAGAGTGACTTCCTCAAGGACTGATTGACTCAGTTATAGAAGACGCTTGTAACACCACCCTGTAACTCGTTCGGACTTAATCCAATAATTCATTTAAATTCTTTAAGAGGTGAAATGTCGTCCTCTTACTGCTCCTCCAAATGGAAGGATTGTCGAATCTTCCACTTCCCTCAACGGAAAAGTGACATTCCGCTGCGTTGGCATGCGATATAAATTGGTTGGACCGTCAACACGGACGTGTCTCTCAAATGGACAGTGGAGCGGTACACAGCCATCATGTGATTGTAAGTCCGTTACAAAAATTAGCTTAACTTGAACCTCTGATGTACGTTGAGGTTAATTGGTTCTGTGAGCACCTTTACTGACACCAAGGGGAAGTTATTGGAGAGACACAAAAGAAAACAGAAATTTGGGTCGTACTCTACCTGGTCGCAGCAGTGTCAGAGACCATAGGAACATTGTCAATTTAGTTCCGTGACTTTATTCTCCCTTTCACGACTGAATATTAAAAGATATCGATCCCAGCGGTTGAGTTGGGTGTGTACATTGTTGTTACTGTCTCCTTTCATCGACCACCAAAGGAATTTTCCCATTGATGGGGCTTTGTGTCCATCCATTTTTAATGTCTTGTTTTTCAATACTTAACTATGAAGAACTATTAATTTCTCCAGGTAAATATTCCGCTTAGTTAATTACGTTTCAACTTTCGGATATTTTTCAGTGATTGTTTGTCCGGATCCCGGAATTCCTGTAAACGGCAACAGATTCAACCGCACTAACTCTGTGCGATTTTCTTGCAAAGGAAAATACAAACTTGTTGGAGCATATATAATCTACTGCATGAAAGATGGCACCTGGAGCAGACCTACGCCTAAATGTTTAGGTTAGCAGAATTCTTGATTTGTTTTCTGTAATCACAATGAAAACGAAATAAAAAATGAAACGCAAAGATAAGTCAGTTGTGAGTGGACTGAAGAGTTCCCCGTGCCTTGTTAGGTTAATTTGTTTGGGAGAGAATTTACTCTATATTCATCATTTCCCATACACATTTGGTCGTTAATTCTTCGTGGAAGCTATCGAGTATCGGAAGGTCATACGGCTTGTTTCTGATAAAGCAGAAATCTGTCTAAGGTGCAAGAAGTGCACTAGTGGCGGTGTAGGCTGTGGACATAGATCAAGATCTGTTCATTCATAGAACGGTCCCGTACTTGTATTTAGGGTTTATGAAAAATCCACGAACACCATGTGGTAAATACTATCAATCAAATTATACTGTTTTTCTTTTGTCAGTATTCTTCATACATCAAACGTATCGTTTCATTTTTCTTTTGAATTTCAGCCCCGTGCCCAAACCCCGGCACGCCCAAATATGGCAGACGGAGTGCAAGTGATTTCAAACATAACCGAAAAGTTCGATTCCGTTGTAAAAAGAATTTTCGACTTGTCGGCTCTAAAGAAATAACTTGCAGAAACGGACAATGGAGTGGAGCTACACCTACTTGTCAAAAAAGAAACTTGCCTTGAGAAGGGAAGAAAGGACAATCAGAAAAAACTACTAACAAGGAGAATCGTTTTTAAGCTTTTAAGTATATAGATAATATTATTTTTGTTTCATATTAACAATATCAAAGATATGCTGTAGGTTTGAATTCTGCTGTTTCTATAATATTCTTGCTTCTGTAATTTATTGTTAATGGCTTTTATCATGTTTCCGATAGAGGCCGGCAGTTGAACCTTCTACGACGCCTACCGCTCCGGCGAGAACAGCCAATTTGCTGTAGCCCCAAGATACTTCCAGTTGTAGGAAGATTCAATTTTAGTTACAACAAATTTTAAGCATCATTAGATGCGCAGGCTAGACAACAATTTGTCCACAAATAGTGGAGTAATAAAGCTATTAAAGACATTTAAAGTTAAAAATACCAAAAATGATTCTTGTTTTAAAATTGTTCTCTAAATGTTGCATTGGTCTCTTTAACTATTCTGATACTTAGCACTTAATAACTTGTCTGGGATGTTCCTCTGGCTAGTTCGCGGCTTTTCCCTTCCTTAAGATTGGCAGACTGTCTGTGGTTGTCCTTTGATATTGTGCCATGCATTTCATTCGTTGAAGAGCCTCAAGTGTTTCTCTTACGTAGAGGTGATTGTCCGGAAAGTCATATTGGCGAATTGCTGTTAGCGCTCAACAGTAGTAATCTTCAGCAGAGCTTATTTAGGACTTCCTCTCACTGATAACCAGGGAAGTACAGACTCCGCCTGACACGTAACCGGTTACTAATGTCGCATCTGATGTTAAATGCCCCTTCCACGAACTGCTTGGCTTTTTTCGAAGCCCTTGAAGAGAAGTCGTCCCAAATTGTTTAAAATAATTTCGACCTATTCTTGCTTTTCTCCACAAATCTCTATTTGAAAGAGAAATTAACAATGCTCCCTGGAAACACTCGTCAGCCTCATCATGATGGAGAAGAATTAGCTCTTGCATTTCCTTATCCAACTAAACATTCTGATACATCTTTGTGTATCAATCCATATATCTCGGGAAGGTAGAGAGTGCCTCTTAGTAAACCTCAGTTACGCGATAAACTAAAGTTCGCAGACCTAAATAGCGTAGACATTCTGCCACAATTTGGTGTTTGTTTGTTTTCATACGTCGCCTAATGATCACAGACCTCTCTAAGTATTTGATTGTGAAAACGAGTTCATCGAAATCAATCGAAGCACGTCCACAAAAGAAAATTAAAAGAGGCAAAGTCTCTCCACTTCACTTTCATTTGCAATGAAATGCTTCACTTTTTCCAAGCTCTGAACAGCTGGACGTTTGCCATAGGAAAGACATGCGGTCGCACATGAAGTAAAGCACTAAAAGTCACCAAGTGCTGTAACTGTTGCAATTTGACCATTAAATTCAGGGTTTTTGACGAAGGAGAGCTGAAACGAAATTACATAATCAAGGGTAGCACTCAAATGCTCCATAAAAATTGGTGAAATTGAGGCCTCTTGGCTATTTCTCGCGCTTACTGCATTACCAATTCAGAAACTAAAAGCTGGACTGGACTTTCCCAGACGTCAATGATGCGTGAAATACAAACAAAACAGCACGAGATTGTTGTAGTGTAGAATGGTAGGGACTAAAATAACTCTTTTGAGTTATCAACTCAACTTGAATGAAAAAAGAAAAAAGAAAAAAAAAACATTTAACGGAAACTTGGTGGACGCGTCCTCCCCCTAGTTAGCATTTTCTTTGAAGAATGCGTACTAGTGAGTGAGTGAAATTAGATGTAACTCATCGCCTGCTGTTTTAAAAGAACTTTCCATCCACCCACAGAGACATTTTCAAATAAAAGGAACGCACTCAAAGTTAAGAATACGGAAAACGAGGAAAAAGGAGGAATAGTTTTCGATTGCAATAAATAAGACTTAAAACTTATACAGATAGCTTAGGGTAGAGGGTTTATGCGTCCAGTTAAGAACAAGTAAATTAATAAAGAAAACCAAAGATTTATTTAGCGTCTAAACTTATAAAATGTTTTAATCTCAAAACAGAATTTAGTCTATGTAGATACAAGTATTCCAAATTCTATACAATAATCTTAATTTTAAAAATGATGGAACAACTACTCTTTGAAATAATAAAACTGGAACTTAGCGCCCCCCGCCCCCCCTTTAAGAACTAGATTAATCGTCCAATCGATACATTGATCGTTGCGAATACCATATAGGACTGATGTGGAGTTCCTAAAGGGTCACCCGCTCTTAAAAAGTGCGCGAGGTGGCCAAGCCGACATTGGAAGTAGGTTCAACTTTTCACTCATTGACAATTTTCTGCGATAATAATTTCAATTATTTAAATTAATGACTTAACCTACACGAGTCACCAGCCGAAAGAGACATACTAACCAATCGGAGGGCACAAGCCTGTCTTTTCAGCCAATCGGGAACAAGAACAAATCGAACCTTTTTCCCGCGCTTGCCTAAAACTGCATTTATGAGGTCGAGTTTTCCCGCGAGTTTCACCATCGCTATACGTTTCCCCGTTTTGACCTGTACTCAAACGTTTTCAGCTGGCGCTTGTTGGCCATTACAAACGCAAAATTCTTGGAGTTGTAATGATTTCTGTCATTATCACCTCTTTAACCCTTCGCTCCCATGATCTCATGAATAATTCTCCTTACTGTCTGCCACACAATTCTTATGATGTTAGTTCGGAGAATTTGGTATTGGATCAACTAATAATCCCCTTCACGATATCTCTCTTTATTCTCATCACTTGTGTGCTTGATATTGTACGGATGTTGCCAGAAGAAATTCTGTCTTGGTCACTCATGGGAGTTACAGGGTTAAGTGAGCGTTATTTATGGATGGCTTCAGATACTCAACTAAAAGCTCAACTAACCAATAATTGCGCCATCTTTAATAGCTAACAAGCTGCTTTAATACCAGTTATATTTTGTAGAAACTATTATATATATTTTGTATATATTATAGTTCGGAGAATTTAATATTGGATCAACTAATAACAGCAGCTAACAAGCTGCTTTACCAGTTTTATTTTGTATAAATTGTTGTATAAATTTTGTATACATTATAGTTCGGAGAATTTGGTACTGGATCAACTAATAATCCCCTAAATGATATTTCTTTTTATTCTCATCACACTTATGTGCTTGACATCGTACGGATATCGCCAAGAGAAATACTGTCTTTGTCACTCATGGAAGTTAGAGGATTAAGTGAGTAACTGAGTATCTGAATGGCTTCAGATACTCAATTAAAAGCTCAACTAACCAATCATTGCGCTAAATTTAAAAGCTAACAAGGTGCTTTATCAGTTATATTTTGACAAAAAACTTAATGTAATAAAGGTAATATGAAATGATGAGCCAGACGGCCGTGCCGACCAGGTTCATAGCCAGTAGGTCTGCGTGTTGCACGTGACCGCTGACTGTCCAGCAAAATGGGAAGTATCTTCCCAGAATTTCACTTCCCACGTAAACTAGAATAGAGTTCATTCCTGCAAGAAATTAAATAATAATCCAAATGTTTTTCAAAAGAAAAGGTTAGGTGTTAACCAGACAATTTGCCTGTTAACCCTCAGTCTCCTGCGTCGAATTTTGTCGACGTAAGCAAGAGAAATAAGATCACCCATGACGTCACCTCTTTTGTTTCGCTTGGTTGACAAAAAGGTAATGAAAGTAAAGTGGCGCTGAGAGAATGTTTCCGTGCTCCAAATATTAGCATATTAGAGATGATTTGACGGTTGTCACAAGACAAGAATTACTTTCACAAGACCCAGTTGATGGTGACTTCCACACCAGTTATAAAGGAAATGTAACCTTAGCGGTATCAGAAAAGTTTCGGGTAATTAGGAAGGTGATTAGCCACACGATAAATCTTCAGTACTGTTTTCCGATCGTGCCCGATAATAAATGGGAATTCCTAAATCTAGTATACGTGTTAAATCAATTCTTTTGGGTCATAATAGTTTCTGCGTTCTGTTTTGATAGTTCTCTTCTTGTCTTTCACAGATGTATCAACCACAGGTTCACGAAACGGCAGTTGTATCTTTAAATTAAAGATACGATGTTCTCAAACACTTGCATCGATTTGTAGCCATGGATTCATTCAAAACAAGCTTGCTCACTTCAAAAAAATTATCGGTTTTAATCATCCGGAGAAAAAGAAAGAGCGTGATCCTCTCAAAGAGACTAAATTTCTCATCTCAGTCGATAGTAAAAGGCCTTTTCGCTGTAAAACCGGAATCGGTTATGATGGCACGGTATCGTGTAAAAGTAAACATTCACACGGATCTTTTACTCCAAAAGGCACAAGGATCAACATGACATAAAGCCTTAAAGGCTTTAAAGGATACAACACTTTTACAAGTAAAATCCTTCTCCCTCACCTCCTTAAAAAACACTCACAGATACACTAAAAAATGGTTTTGTCCCAAGACCACTTTTCACGATTGGGGGGAAACAAGGAAAGGTCAGATATACGGTATCCCGCATTGCTTCACTTGGAAATTCCTACTCACCAGGGTAGCAAAAAGGCGCGCCATTCCACCATCTCAAGACATCAATGGTCACATAGCAAAATGTCAGCAGAAGAAATGCCATGCCACCAGTGACAAAGATAAACGAAACAGACCTAGCAACAAAAATGTTGTTTGATCAACCGAATCTAAATAGAAAACAAAGTTTAAAGGGAAATTCTCTACATTTCGACTGTATTTTTCGGGATGTGCGCAATTACTTCCACCTTATAAAAAGTATAGAATATAAGTTCGTCCAGATATACAACACCGAAAAACTAACTACAAACCAGGAAGGAGCCAGAAAAGCTAAGGAAAGAGAGAATAACACTGATGACAAAGAACGAACCTTAAGTTACATTTCCAACAGGCGAAGCCGCGGAGGCGTAATTATTATTTGCATGGACTCTAATTTAATTATTTTTCGGAGTATTCTTCACCCGTTTTCTGGGTAGCGCAGTCAAATTCTCACTTACCATAAGTTCTTGTTTATCGGTATAAAACTGTCGTTATTCTTGCCTGCGAGTGCAAGAGTGATGCAACCCTGAGTAAGGAAGGAAAATGATCATACTTACGATAACGATGACGATAACGCTATTGGTATTATTGATGATACTATTAATTTTAATAACACAAGTAAAATGAGACATAAATTATTGAAAAAAAATAAGATCGATGGAAAATGAAAAAAGCTTGCAGTCGTCGATTGAAGAAAAAGCATGTAATCATTCATTTAATTGCAAGCGGCTTATCTCCCGCTCACAACTAAAGGAATAAAAAAGTGATGTTTGGGACATACTGTGTTTGCTGTCTATAATACTCACAAGTAGCAAAGACCAAATTATCCACCGTTTCATTCTAGATATGTTGTATGGGAAAGTGTGCAAGGTGTAACCAGCCTGAAAGCAGAAAATTAAACGTAACATAATTAGCTACATTGTGTAAAGAAGATATTACAGAAGAGTGAACAGCTTCTTAGGGCTTTAAGCTTAAAGAAACAAATTTATAGTTAATTTTCAATAACCCTTTAACTCCCGTTATTGACCGCGATGGAATTTCTCCTTACAATATCAGTACAATATTAAGCAGACAAGTGATGAGAATAAAGAAAATATAAATTAGGGGAATATTACTTGATTCATTACCAAATTCTCCAAATTTACATCGTAAGAATTGTATGACAGACAGTAAGGAGAAATATTTGTGAGATCTTGGAGGTGAAAGGGTCTCAACAAGGAAAAAGTTCTAAATTATCTTTGACTGATCAGACAGAATAGAAAACATCTTCGAAATATAACAATGTAGCATGTTGAAGAAATAACTTGAACTTAGCAGTATCTGTCTATCTCATGAAGCGATTGTTCGAGCGAGTTCGTTCCTGTAAAGGACTGTTGGTGATAGTCATCGGCAGAGTCACCTGACTCTGATAATAACTTCTGCTCGTTTTGACAAAATGTCTGTCACTGACATCGACGACCATACTCCTTTTCGGATGATCACAACACAAATCTATCAGTTATTATTATTCACAACCGCATTTGATTGCAAAGGCAAGGCTGAAGGCGAAACGCATGTAATTCATGCTTAAAAATGCCATCGCTTGTCTTCTGGAGGCACCTCAGGTGCTCTGCACTGAGAATAACATGGAAGGCTACTAATTCAAACCTGAACTCCCAGGAACACCAAGAAAGCAGAAGTCAGGGTACCCAAAGCGCCCTCTGGATCGTACGGAACCTCTGTCTTGTATGTTTCCTGACAAGAGAAAATTTCCATGTATCATTTATTATCTCAAACTAACTTGTAACAAATTAGATAAAAATGGCATGAAAATATCACTCTATTCTTTCAAGAAAGTACAACTCCGGCCTGGCACTCAAGAACGGAAGGTCTGAAATTTTTCATGTTAAAAGAGGGTGTTTGCACTTATGGCACACCTCCATACAAGATTGATTACCTTTTTTTTTTTTTGTTTTTGTTTTTGTTTTCCAATTTACAGTGAAGGAAGTTAGCTCAGTAATTGTAAAGGAAAGTTGTTAGCCCTGTTGGTAGAGCACTGCACTGGTATCGCTGAGGTCATGGGTTCAAATCCCGTACAGGCCTGAATTTTTTTTCAGTCCTTATAAGTTAAGTGTTCATTACTGCAAAGATCGCTTTCATATTCATTTCTTAAACCGCAGTTCACATATATGACTCATATATTCACATTCATTTTTTTAGAGTTTCGCTTTCACGGCAGAAATAATACCAGGTTTTATAAAATTTGTACGATGATAAATGAAGGAAGCTTTCTATTGAGTAGATTTTCATCACCAGTAGCATCGGGTTACAAACTCTGAACTCCCACTGGTTATTTCCTGTGTTAACCTTTCTTCAGATTGGTCAATATGACCTCTTAGATTCACTTTTACGACATTAAATCGAAAAGTGCGCGAAAAAATACTGCTATTAAGTTATTAAGGTAAGACAGTATATATGTATAAACGTTACCATGCAAGTAGGATGCCCGTAGATGTGCTTTGATCCAAAAAAGTGTCGGTCAATGTAACCAGCATTCCCACCGGTGCAATTGTAAGCTTCAGATGAAGCAAGACCCCCCGGTCCGATATAACCTCTGCAAAAACAAAATGTCTCATGATGAAAGTCGTCGTTCGTTTCGACACGAGCGTATGATAAATAATAAGAATCTGAGTTTCCCCACTAGGAATTGAACTCTAAAACTTCGGATTTAGCAGCCTAATTCTCTACAACTGAGTGACAGAGAGCTCGTTGGCGAGTTAAAAATCTACTTGCTTTCTACGCGACAAACTTCTTGCATATTGCTGCGATCACAGATGTCGAAAGCACCGTATTCAACTCAACGGTGACATGACAGTGACTTAATATGATCAACTTAAACGTTTTCGGTTTGCTAACAGCAGCTGTCAACACTACAAGTGAAAACGACAATTCTAGAAGTAAAAAAAAGAAACAATTCTTTAGACCCTTACCTTGGACAACCACCAATTTTGAGGGCAAAAGTGATGATGATATAGATAGCTAGTAGGCCCAGCATCACCAGCCATTGACCCCATAAAGCGAAGACATCCCTGATAGGGTTCCACCATGCAGCAACTGGCTATCGAATTCAAAATAATCAGACATGTTTCAATCCATGAAGTAAAAGGGCACACTGAATTCAAGATTGCAATGAAACTACTAATTAAAGAGACTGCTGAATAGGTGTTCTTGTGCGAATTACTTGTGGGTACAACATACACGCATATGCATGCAACTTACCAGGATAGAATCAGTTCCAGGATTAATAACCAACTGGAGCATGGCAGTGATAAAGTAGCAAGCAGAAAATCTTTGTAGGACTCCTGGTACTCTGTAGTGAGCAAGGTCTGCATCTGTGTGCCAACAACATTTCAGCCGGTAAGAACGGCAACATTTGTCATATGCATGTGAGAAAACCCAGCATGCTTATTGGCCCAGAACACGTCAATTAATTCCAAACATTGCAGAATATTTAAATTGAGGGAAAAAGCGAAAAATAAAATGGCAAAAAAGGTGAGGAGAAAGAAACAACGTTTTACTTCACAATTTAAAGGAGAATGGTAGGAAAAAAAAACCAGAAAATAAAACTCAAATAACTGGCTAAGAGTGTTGCATGGGCATTTAAGGGCATCATCAACTTACAATTGCTTACAAAAAGCCCCAGTGCAAACAGAATGAGTGTGCGACGGATAATCTTGGCAAAGATAGTTATGGATCTCATTTGGCGACGTCTCATAGATTGAAACGAAATAACCATGGAAACACCCATAATCCACATAAACCTACAAAGAAGAAAGAAAAGGGAAAAATCGGTAAAATGTCCATATCAAAAGTTTACTTTTGCAGAAATTTCCACTTCCCTAACTTTGCTTGAAACATCAATTCAAGACAATTCCTTGCACAGACCTTTGAGCCAACATAATTCTCCCTTTTTCTTTTACTTATAATTGTAATGAACGCACATTTTAAGATACAATACCATTGATCGTATACGTACATGTATAAATTAATGCTTTAACCCTTTAACTCAAGTTAGTGACCAAGACAGAATTTCTCCTTACTATATCTAAACAATATCATGAAGACAAGTGATGAGAATTAAGAAAAATATCAATTATAGGATTACTAATTGATCCAGTACCAAATTCTCCAAACAAATATGATGATAATTGTTTGGCAGACAGTAGGAGAATTACTGGTGAGATCTTGGGAGTTAAAGGGCTAAAGAACTATCGTAAGGTGACATACTTGGTTCTAAATCATAATAGATATATCTTAAAAATAAGACTAAAACAGCAATGACAATTAGTCAATCAATCAATCAATTAATCAATCAGTAAACCAAAAGTGAAAAAAAACACAAAACTGTAGAAAAGCAAATGACTGTCCTGACTGAAAATCAATTGTACAGTAGAACCTCCCCAACTGGAACTAGGTGAACACAAACCCCACCAAAAACTTGAACAAACTCTGATTTCCCTTGACCCAGTTTTTTTCAGTCACTTACTATCAGCTAACTTGAATCCCCTACTAACTCTGACAACAGTTCATTTTTGTTTCTGTTTGGAGTATAAGGTAGAGGAGCTCTACTGTAAATCAATGCTAAAGAATAACAAAAAATACTAAAATTAATGCTGAAGTAATCTTACTAGTAGTAGTAACATACCATGGAAAGACAAGGTCTGCAACTGTAAGCCCTGTAAAAGAAATAGGAATCACTTACTATAGCTAGTAGCTCTACCCTGATCTATTGTCTCTCATGGAAGATACAGTTACCTCCATGTATAGTTAGAGAACATCTATCTCACCCACATGAACAAGGTAGAGATTATTCCACTGCCATTAACACTTTCACTCCCACAAGTGATCAAGACAGAATTTTCTCCTTACAATATCAATAAAATGTCAACCAGATAAGTGATGAGAATAAAGAAAAATTTGAGGACAATTAGTTGACCCAACACTAAATTCTCTAAACTAAAATTATAAGAATTGTATAGTTGACAGTGAGGAGGATTACAAATTTGACCTGGGAGTTAAAGGATTGATAGCCCAATAGATTAGGCCAACGTTAACTGACTATTGTTTAAAAAAAAAAAAAAAAAAAAAACCTGTAAGGGATACAGTCTATGGTAGTATCCTTAAAAGGGGGCAGACAAAAACATAAATATTCATTAAATAAAAAACAGGTTAACAAAGTCAAGTGACACAAGTGGGAGATTATTATGGCGAATGGCCAATCTCACATACATGATGAATGTTTAAATTTGAAACTATCAGTTGTTAAAAGGCAAGGTACCTCATCCCACCCTGACCATTTTTTTCTCAACAATCAAATCCTGGTTGAAATGTGTCTGGAACTGCAATTCAGGGTTGCAAGGAATTTGCCAATCAAGGCAGCAGCTTTCTATCCAGAAGCTGGTTGAACACAATGAAAAGCCCTCAATATTACAGACATGCCCTTTCATGTAAGTGAGGCAGTGGCTTGACATATTTCAAAGTTAAAAAAAATGCATCTTTGATGACAACTGGTCAGGAGCCTGTATCTTAAATTATATATTTAATAATTATGATCATTTGAAAAATACACTACCCCAGGGCAGGAAAGATACCCACCATTCCATCTGGCATGCTTGAAGAAATAATATCCACCACCACCAGAATTCACAAATATCATAATAGTCAATGCAATCCTGCAAGAAATCATAATTTATATCTTAATTCAATCACCAAAAATGCCAAAGTGCAAATGCTAATATGCTAACCAAAGCCCTGTTGATAAATATATTTTTTATTGAATAATTCTCTGTGTGGAAATAGCCACAGTAATACTACTCTAAAATTAAAGATGTATTGTTTAAAAACAATTGTCACCAGGCTGAGCATGAAACAAAAAAAATGTGAGCTACACTGTACTAATTAAAAAGTATTTTTTTTAACTATGTAGTTCCATGGATGGATGCTCCAATAAGTGAGCTACACAGACCTCCCTGAGCTCCGCCAAATTAGTCAAGCTGCTGCACTCATTGGAATACATTTGTGTAAACTTAGATGTTCCGAAGATAAACCCATTTGGAATCTCTCATGTGATTTACTTTTCATTTCTGTGTCCAAGGTTCCCACTGGGTACTATATTCATTATTTTTCATTCAAAAATGTAAGAGTGCATATTTGTATGCACATGTACTATGACAAATCTACTTCTTAAAACCAGCAACACTACACAAATAAAGACTTCCAAATAAACCATCTGACTAGCTTGAGGCTCACTAAAGTAAGGGGAGACTATAAGGTTGAATTTGGCGATTGGGCCCTCCTCAGCACTTCCCTGGTTTGCCCCAATTTTTACCAGAGCTTAACTTCATAAAGCACTCAGCTCATTGACTGATTCAGTGAATCACTGAGACTGATCCAATTAATGGCTCACTGAAAGTCATGATTTTCATTGATGGAGACTCACCCACGAAATGTGTCCAAAGATTTAAGTCTTTGTTTCTTTGGCTTTTCAAGCTGAAAAGTAATTTTGAGAAATGAACTTGTGATCTCTCATTATTTTCATTATTTTTGAAAAACAAAATTATGTACGGCTCAATTAAACTTACCAATTCATGAGGATCAATGTGATGTCCTGAACCATCTACAGGGCCATTGAAATTGGGGCTTCCAAGATCCTGATCGATAAATATGAAAAATAGCTTAATTCTACCTCATTTAACTGCTACACGTGATTAAGAGAAAATTTGTCCATCTGTACATGTTCCTCAGCAAATGTCTGATTCTTTGTCTATACATACATAAAATTATGCATTACATTTATTCATTCATTTATTTAAACTATATTTGCTTTCCACGACAGATGGAAAATTGTCATCTCACATGTAAGTAAGCTTACCGCATTTATAAGACTTTCTGTGTCATGAAACAGTTCCCAGTTGACCAAGAGATTGTACTTCCTATAAAATCAAGCTTGTAAAAGTCAATGCTGAAGACAAAATTGCATTTTTTTACATGGAAGGAGAGTTTTCACCTGTTCACATTCAATTTGACAATGTGCTCTTGCTTGAAAAACAGTGTGAAAACAATATTTACTGTACAGTACCAGGTTCAGCACTCCATATACAACTGTAGTGTACATGAAAATTGGACAGGAGGCAGCTGAAATAACTATGTTTATCACCATCCTATATAAGGTGTACTTTGTTAAGATATACGGCAGCTGGACTAACACATTGTGAGCATTCCACTCTTACCTTAGAAGATATAGAAGAACAAGCCAAATTAAGGCAACCCCAAGAATAACCAAAAATGCATACAATAAAGCTAGAGACAAATGAAAAAATACAATTAGCAACAAGAGGAAATAAACTCGCATTATATCATTTTGATCTGTTCAAATCAGGAAGTAGGACTAGGGATCACAAACAGGTAAGGGAGCTTAATATGTTTGATACCCTGACCAGTAACAACACAGTCTACAATGAATCCAAATAGTATCTAGAGTGTATATCCAATTGGATATACATTGTTCTCCTTTTCAGGAGCTAAAAGGTAAACTTAAACATGTCCATTTACTTAAATTTACCTCAAGGAACTTTTAAGTTCCATAAAAGTGGATACACTGTATTAATATATCTACTTTGAAAGTATAGAAACTTACGTAAATATGCATTGTCTGGATCTATTTGCGTAGATAAACGACAGACTGTCTTGGTTTTATATCTGAGGATAGTGTAATTGTAAAAGCCATGTTCTCCAAAAGTTTCGTTTTTCTTCCTAAAACACAAGGGTATTTTAATTACCATCATATCATCATACAGAATAAGAGGGTTCATTTCATCAATTTAATAATTATTTCATTATAAAGGAATGCCTAAATACATGTACATAACTGTGTTGAGAAGTATATATTATATGAAATTTTGTTGACAAAAGGGCCAGCACAAGCCATAAAGCATTTGAATTATTTGAAAATGCATAACAGAATGACTGTTTTAACCAATTTCTGTCCATGGGGTTCCACTACAGTATGATTTTTGTGTATTACCCAGAAGTTCAAATTGATTAGATTTACAAAATTGATGAAGCTTTAAAGTTACAGTGCAGTAACTAACTTTGTACTTACTCGCATATACACGTTCCATTGGGGTCATTGACGAGGAGTGTAAATGGAAAATTTGTTTCCACAGTTACATTTAAAGAGTATTTCAGGTTTTTTGCCAAAGGTTCAAAGATACACTACAAAATAATGCAAGAAAATACGAAAAATTAGTAGGTTTGTAGTACACACTAGTATGTAGACCGTTGCCTTCAAATGAAACTTTGATATAAATAAAAGCCCAAGAAGTGTCAGAAATTTCCCAAGGAATTAGCAGCCATTCTAAATTGAGATAGCTCCTCTCTGGTTGAGAAGGTAGCACAGAGACACTTATCAATGTTGTGACTGTAGAATTCAGCTTTGGGTTTGTTGTGTTAGCTGAAAATAACTTTCGGGTCCCATTTTGGTTCCCATTTGCTACACCATTAGTTTGTAATAGATATCCCTAAAGGCAAAGCAATAAGACTAGTTTGGCTCAGTAGAGTAGTATTACAGAGCTAGGTTCCTTAGCAGTGTACTGATCAAAAAAATTTTTTTAACGAACAGGGGACCTTCGCCACCTGAGTGAAAAGATATTTGTCTTCACCACAGAAATTGCAAAAATTTTCAAATGCGTTTTGGCTGTCTTTCAGGTACAATGGTAAAGTTTTGATGATAGGTGGCATAATTTTGTCTAAATAGCTAGAAATAAGCTTGGTGGGACAACAGCAGAGAGAGAGGATGGGTTCACCTGGGTTGTTAAGTTTGTGGAGTTATGGCAAAAAAAAAACTGACGCACTTACTGACTGATGAAGTGTTTTTTCTAACCGAAGAACAATAATGAACAAAAACTAAGGAATAATAGAGTTACTATGGATCCACTGTTAATAGCCTGTACATCATGTACCTTATGGCAGTTACTAGAGAGACCAAACACATTAACTGATGGTGTAATATCTGAAGTCGAAGTCAAAGTCAGTTGTAGCAAGGCTGTGTCCATTGGCAGTGATTTCACATCAACGTGCGAGTCCGTTGGTAGCGATTTGGATGGCAAACGGTGACTTGCAAGTCCTGAATAACCAAGAATGTAGAAAAGTTAGCACTGTTTTTGTAAACCATAATTATTATTGTGCATTATCAGCCAATACAATACAATAAGACTGTATGGTAATAGAGTCCATTTGTTCGTAATTTCAAGTTTTGCTCAATTTACACGACGAAACAAATCATCATACAAGGGAAAAAATTACACATTATACAAATAAAAAAATTACACATTTTTAACAATTTAGAAAAATTTAGAAATTTTTAAGGAGACTAGGAGGACGCATCGAGAAGCTTTTATCCTCAAATCATTTTTTTCGTTCCTCGAATTGCCTCTATTTTTCAATTTATTGCTTTTTTTTTAACTTGTGAACTCTTCTTTGAACCTCGAAGTCACATGATTCGGGGAAGGAAGTTTCACTCGCGGGAAACTACAGTGTACTGAAGAAAATATTCCGATGGTAGAGATACCTGAGCAAATTCTAAATCTGACAATCAAGAAAATTGTAATTTCTTAATCCAAAAGCCATTACTCAATACTTTGAATGTAAGCGTGTATGGCACTCATCAGCATTCAAATACAAGGACGTCACCAAATGATGTAAAGTTGAGCACACAAACGCAACGGTCCATATTTGCGCCCACCGTTCGTCTTTGGAACAGAGTATGCCTTCTTAATTGAATATAACTATGTCTTAGTCATCTTATAATTGTAAACTTACCTAATCTTTGGGCAGAAAGTAGTGCAAGAACCAGAAAAACAGCAGAGAACGCCATGAATACTATATGGTCGTCTGCATGAATCTCCATGAAACAACAGGAGAACCAGAAATAGACTGGAACTAGAAAGTAGCGATGAAAATTTCTGGAATAGGACTTCTTGAGGCTGGAAAACGGACGGGGAAATAAAAGGAAGTAACAGCCGAGATCTATTGGGATACTGACATGAGCTTTACTACACGTGAGTCATAAAAATTTGGGAAGTTGGAATTATAATTAACAATTAAGTGTAGTTATAATTCTATTTTCATTCCGTTGTTGTCTTTCCTTCAGACTGATTTCAATCTGAGACGAAACGTTCACAAAGATTAATTCGATCACTAAGTTCCTTGTGCCAGCTATCGTTGTTCATTGAAATGCTTATAGTAACTCTTTCTTTCAATAAAAAAAATCACTCGTGGATCTGTCAAAGGTATCCAATCATGCTGTAAACATGAAGTTTCTGATGTCTGGTAAATCTATCTCCTCTCGTCAAGTTATACTGAAAAAGTAGGCCACTGTGTTGGTAGTCACGATAAATCATTTCTTTAGGTAAATAGATTCGCATTTGTCACACGAATATCTAAGGAAATGAATGAATGGGAATCGATTGGAAAGTGGTACTTATTGCCAATAAGATCGAAGCAGAAAATAATTTGGTGCATGTGGGAAATTAGAAGGAAATCATTTTACAGATGCTGTGATCCCGTGACAGGAGAACCTCTCGTGTTTCGTTGAAGAATTGTGTCCACGTAATTTTCAACTCCCATGATTCAAATGGCTGATATGCCTCTGATTGTTACACATTCATCTGACTGCCAAAAATTTAAATTAGATAAGAACATATCACGTTATGTCAATGATAAAGCTTTTCTTCAGCAATCAATTTGTCTCTGCGCATGATCTGTTTGATGCATAGTGTACAAATAATGAGAGGTGAGGTTAGTGTTAAAGCGCTTTTGGGTGTCAGACGGATAAATATAAATGTTTGTTTTGCATGACGCCTGTGGGCAGGTTACAGAGGTCAAATTAGAAAACCCGCGTCCTTTCTTACATTACAGTTTAATGCCATCCTGCTTTCACTTATCATTACAGAGCTGAAAAAACTTGACCGCGGAACATGTCTTCAAGGCGCCTTCTTAGCACTGCCTTCCTCTTGTTGTTGTTCGTTGGTAAGTACTAAGATTAATATGCTACCTTTGGCAAAAGGCAAGCGCCCGTTTTCCTTACACTACGGGGCGCTTCAGCTACAAAACTTGAGTATTGTGTTTCTAGCTGCTTATCTCCTTCAATACGTCTATTTGATAAAGTTCGTTATAACTCACGCTCACTTGAAAGACGTCTCTGCGTTTCTTTGAAGTTCTTGAAACAGTTAAAATGGCGAATATTTGATAAAATCGGCCATGGTCGAAAGGAAATTTTCAAATGAAAACATGATGATGAATTTAATTAGGCGGCCAATACAGCGAGTTCTCTTTGACTGGAAATGTATCTTACTTGAATATGAAGCAAAATGTTGGTTTTTTTTTCATTTTTACTTATCACTGTTACCGTTGTTAAGGTATCGAAAAGCTAAGAAAAAAGAAAATTAAGTTACTTTGGAGATTCAGAAATGCCATTTCTTTCTGCATGAAAACAATGTCTCAAAATGACATTGAAACTCTGATGTGTTTATCATGAGAAACAGAAGTTACTTTTGGTTATGTCAATCAAAATATCAACTGGAATAAACATCGAAAGGTTTGTCATATCATTACATCTAAAATAATCTCAGGAAAGAAGAAGGCGCAATTAAGTTCCCGGTCGAATTTTAACGAAAATGAACGAAGCTATCAGAAAGAGAGGATGAAAGCAAACCCTTTCGAGATGATTTGAAATCAGTCAATTAATTCACGCTAAATGCGTTCCCAAAAATGATGAAACGCCATATGTGCTGTTTTGATGAATCCGTGACATTTGTTTCCTTCTGTCATGGATTACAATTGAAGATTAAAGGACCAAAACTAGGCTTTCATCTTTCATAATAAGCTCCTTTGCCTTGAAAGGACCGCATCATCTAATTAATTTAAGAGACTTCCAGGCTTGAGTTCTAAGCCCTTTTTGGACACAATCACCTAAAGGAGGTTTTGGGAACCAGACATTATTCATCATTTGGGAGGATCACTGGTTTTAAGGGGGACTGGAGGGGGATCAGTCGTCGCCGACAGAGTATCAAGGAGGGACTCTTCATTGGCGGTTAATTAGTGGGCAAGTAGGGTATCATAAGAATATCACAGAGCCTTATGGGGGAATAGGATAAATTTTATCGCAGCACAACCAGAAACCTCTAAACTTCAATTCCACCCCCCCACCCCACCCCCCTCAGGCGATAAATTGTGACCGGTCTTTAATAGCATTTTGCAACTGGCAGGTCTGGTGTCCAACATGTCATCATCGTCATGTCCGCAAGAGGAAAAGTTATCACCGAATAAGTTGAAAATGGACACCGCTTTTGTGAATATCAGTTCCACTTTAGAGGAGCCTATTACAATATCAGGGATATCGTCAAACTGTTACGAGGTGATAAAACAGTGTGTTCGTGTTCATAACTTTGTTTTTGGCCCGACTAGGTGCCATTTTTATCCGTGCCGCCAGGTGAGGGAGCCCAAAACATTTATATCAAAGACAATAAACTGTACTAGGATTTTAATCACTTGAAGAGCAATGATAAAATAGAATGACAGAAAAATAAAAAATAAAAATAACAGCCTGAACTACCACGCAAGCAAGTGAACCATTTTGCACGATGCCCGACAAATTGATAATAATATGCATTTTGTTGCATCGATTAAACTTCTTGTATATATATGTTGTTAGGTCGACTCTACTGCTTAATTGCCTAAAGGAACATATAAATAATTTCTCAAGGAGCACACATAGTAATAAAGGGTGGCAAGATCGATGGCATTATCAAATAACATCATTCATTCTTCGTTCTTTACAACCGTGCGTTCGTAAGTTAAGGGCAAGCGAGTACAGACTCCAGTTTTGGCCGATCACAAAGGGCAAGAGACCATGAGCTGCTCATGTTCCGGCTTTAGAAAAAGTCAAGCATCCATTGAAATAAATTAATAATTTTTTTTTGCAGTGCCCAATACAGGAAATTATACCTCAGCTCCTCAATGGAGCCGCCCCCCTTGTGGTAAACACACATTACAGTTTTACCATCTCTGTTAAAATCAAAAATGGATCTCAAGAGTTATGCAGGTTTGTGACTGACTCAATATTAGTTTCAATTTCAACGAGGCTCAAGTAAAAAGTGAAATTTTTAGGCGATATCAGCATTGATTAGCTCGTCGGCGAAGAACTTGCCAATTCAAGACGACTGAACATTAAAAAAATAATTCCAATGAAACAAGAAGAGCCAGCTGAGGCATAGGATTCTTTAGCCAACGTTCAGAGGGGTGGGGGGGGGGGAAGGTAGTGTCAACAACCCCAACCGAGAAAGTAGCGGAAATCGACACCAGCTTAGGCAGAGATAAAAAAAAAAGAAAATAAGGGATAACATTCGGGCACTTGAAGAGAAAAGAAAAAGTTTGTAAAAGTTTTTGGATTTATCTCGGTCTGAGTGCGGCATGGTTCATGTAGGTGTATTTGTTCAGTTTGAGATAAATTTACCTGCTGTTTTATTTGCAGTATAAAGTGATTGACGAGAAACACTATATCTCATCAGGAAGTTAAAATGTTGAAAGCAATGTTATTGTATTGATTGTCATGCGTTTAGGAAGCTCCCTTTCGAGGGACAACTACAATTAGCACCTGAGATAACTTAAATCATTACTTGACCTCTTCCAGATTAGTGTCCTTGGTATTTTCGCCTCAATATTGACTGTGTGATGTGTATTACAGGCTTAGTTACCTTTTTGGTGAGAGAGGTTGGTACGAGTATAACATCCATCATTCTGATGGCCAATCATCAAACAAGGTCACATGCAAACTAGAGATCAAGCGGTCACCAGATTACCCATACATGCGTGAGTAGCTGTTTATCTCATCCTATTCTGGTGATTAATCTTTGTATTGAAAATTAAAAATCTATCATGATACCATGGATAGTTAGGATCACTCATGTGGAAGGCATTTTTTTTTTCTTTTTCGCAAAAGAATAATACGAATCTTTCCAGGAAAGTCTTAGAAGATTGAGGAAAAAGTCACCAGAAACAAATATGAGCAAAAAAGACGGAACAAAAGTCAAGTACTGTATATGGACGAACGAACGAACGAACGTTTTTGACGAAATTTTCTGTTTTTTTCTTTCCCTTTTATGATCAGCTCTATGGATAGCCCTCGGAGCGCTCTTTTGCATGGCTGTTATATGGGTTTTACTTACCTGTATTGGAAGGTAAATAACTTCCTCGAAATCAATAAATTTATCGAAGAACATTTTTGAAGTTACGTGTTAAAAGTTATCCACTCTGTGTTTGTTCTTGAAAACTCGCGCTGTCTTGTCAACCGAACGGATAAAAAACAGTACAACTAATCGCTAATTGCTCCTCCGAGTTTTCCCGCTCTCGAAACTTGTTTTTTTTTTTTTTTTTTTGTTTACGTTGTGGGCTCTCATTGATTCTTTGTGATCTTCGCCCTCTTTAATTGGATAGACATAATTATCTTGCTTTGGGTTGGGAGAAAGAAGAAGTTAATCTCTGCCTTTTTTAGTCTATAATCTTGCGTCGACACAGGACCAAACACGTGAAAGGCAGAGCACGTAGCAAGTGCGCACGATGCAAGGGAAACATTTATATAAAATTAAACATATCTCATCATCCATTACTATACTACTGACTCAGGTCACGGTTAACCTAATCTTGTTATTGTATTATCGAGTTCCTATGGCAGTTCATCATTCAATTACCAGATTACCTAAGTATTATATCAAGAGGGTTTGATAAAATTTACCGCAAACTTGGTTTGATGTCGTGTATTTTCATAAACAGGAAATGCAAAGTCGCTTGCAAGAAAGAAAATTCGAACATGATGAATCAGGTAAGAGCATGCAGTAACATGTCCGCGCTAAGGCAAGTTTTTATGAAACGAAATCTTCAGAAGTTGATCAGGGGGGGAAGAGGAGATTAAAAACCTCCTTTTAAGGGCTAGAGAGGCAACCTTCAACGTAACCATTTTGTAAGGCCTAACCTAAAGCGTGAGCTTCGGGTGTTCAGTATATCTACATAAATCCTTTTAAATCTTTTTTCAAGGCCTAATACTAAAAGCCGAAATGTCATATTTTTAATTCAAGTTTATCCAGTAAACGCATTTTTTTCCGTGCATATTGATTTAAGTCCTGGTTGCTGTTCTATTTCTGATACCTCAGCAAGTTTATTCAAAGTAAACGTTTTTCTTCGCAACTCAAGGATGGTAATTTTGTCAATTTTTTTTTTTTGTAGGCCGATGAGATCGATGACAGAGAAGACACAGAAATGGTATGCTCTGAGTTCTTCAAGTTTGTTTTACTTTATTAATTGTTTATTGTACCTTTAAAAAAATGAGTATAATGTCTGAAAGCTGGCTGTATTCAAAATCAAACCCTCGTTGTGGTATTGTTGATCGCCTCAATATCAATTAAAGAAGTATTTCTTAGTTTTTGGCGTTGTTTTGTTGTTATTTGTCAAAAGTATACAAGCAAACGATGGAGATTTTATTCTTCTTAAATTACAATTAAATTAATTGATTCATCAGTCATTTCTTAATTAGTTGATTACTTAATTAATGAACGATTTATGCCGACCAATTTTATTTTATTGCGCACCACTAGCACGTGACTGGAGAGGGAGAACAACAAATGCTACCAGAGGTAAAATGTGATGTCCTTTCCCTTTCAATTTTTATTCTCTTTTTTCCCTCCTTTTTTCTTATTGTTTCCGTTCTGTGCTTTTATGTTGTTCAATACCTCCAATTCCGATTCATTACTTTCTGCGTCTAGAAACTGTCCTGAAGAAGAACTCTTTTTAACCAAAAGAATGGTATGTTCAGGTATTGTTCAATAGAGGTTCTTTTTTTCTTTTTTTCAGACTCAGCTTAAAGCCAGGTCGAGGAGGTTGAAGTCTTTAGATACGTTTCGAGGGTATGTCATGATACAACATTGACTAATAAGTATCTTGGTGGTGGAACAATTTTAGAATTGAGCGGTTTTTGATACGCGTTCCAAGAAACACTATGAACCACTTTCTCGACCCATCAGATGAAAATTTAAATCCATTTAATGATTGGCTACCCCTGTGTTTGCACGCTTGATTAAAATTTACCTTTTCGATGGGAGGTGCTCACAAGCTCCTCACAAGATTTGACTTTTTTCTCAAGAGCCTTTTGTATTTACTTTGAGTCTCGTTGTACGATAATTGATGGAAATGCGTTCTAAAATGTTAATTAACATTAACTCTGAGTCTTGCAAGGAAAGTGAAGTTTGGTTAAAGTTAGCAGAAATTGTAGCATTTTGACCTAGGTTTGTTTTCTGGACTGCTCTTGTCTCCTTTTATAGAATTGCAATAACACTGATGATATTTGTGAACTATGGTGGTGGTGGATATTACTTCTTCGGGCATGCCGTGTGGAATGGTAAAATATAATAAGCATGTTATATATGTTAACTTCCTGACTTATCAATTCAGAGCGCGCGGCATTCTCTCTTTAGTCTCCTTCACGGCCGTTGTTTGGTATCTACGCCCGACGCGTTCTCTCTTTTAGGGGAGCGAATGTGTTGGGTGTTGATATCAAACAGTGGCTCCCAAGCAATCCACATGTCTGTTGTCTCTATTTTACGTAGTAACTAAGAGTTAAGTCTTTAAGACTTTTAACCTAATTCAAAACCGTGGCAATTGGATTTTACTTAACGAAGAACTTGTAAAAGGAAAAATCAACCATTAAATTCTTTAAAGCTTAGTTTAACAAATGTTGGGTTATGTGACAAAAGATCCTTTTTTTTTTAAACACGTATCCATCGCTTCACCTTTCTATCTCTTTTTTAAACAGGATTGTTGGTCGCTGATCTCGTATTTCCATGGTATGTTGCAGATAATTCTAGTAGGAGGCCAGAATCAAGCAAAACGATCGAATTGTATTCTGTCTACACTAAAAAGAAAGGCGGAGGTTTTCAAATTCTCCCTTGTAAGCCTCATTAAATCGGTGTGGACAAGGCATGGGTTGCAAAAGATTTTAGTTATTCGAAGTCAAATTATCTATTTTCTTATAATTTATCTATTCAGATGTATCTGTTGATCTATGTGATTATTCATTCATTGATCAATTACTGACTTGTTCATTCTAGGTTTATCTGGATCATGGGAGTCTCAATCACTTTATCTTTTCGCTCGTTGAGACGCAAAAAAACAAGCAAGCCTAGAATAGCATGTAAAATCCTAAAACGAAGCTTCATCTTGTTCGCACTGGGTCTGTTTACCAGCAACTGTAAGTGACCAATCAAAAGGGTTCAATAAAGAATAGGCAAGAACCGTTAAAGTTGGCCATAAATGATTTGCCTCGAGTTGATAGAAGCGAAATCATAGGTAGCTTGGGCATCATCGCTCTTCACCTTAGTTCATGACCTCGCAATGGCGTCATTCCTCTGAAAACGTTTGTATTATTAGGCAGTTATTCCTATGGAACTCGGGTTAACAATGACAATACAGTTAACAGACTGCAAGGCTCTCAATACAAACTTAACCCCTCATTATCTGTCAGGCGAGAGTTTATTACACTGTTAGAACATGATTAGTTGCGCATGCAATCAATTTGTATTTCTCCAACGCGATAGCTCATCAGAGGGCACGTGATGATTAAATGCATGGCCACATGAATCATGAACTTCTACGATAACTTGAATGAATTTATCGTTTCAGACGGTAACCTGAAGTACTACAGAATCCCAGGAGTTCTTCAGAGGTTTGGAGTTTGTTACTTCTTCGTTGCCATGATGCAGTTGCTACTGCCTCCGATGGAAAAAGGCGAAAAAAAGGTAGCATTAAAGGTTTTCGCTCTTCGCATAAGCTAAACCCTTGTAACCGTGTAGCGAGAGCCTAAGATTTTCAGAAGTAATTCCTACTTCTTTGTTATCATAGAAAAGATGGTGGGAAGTGTTTCGAGATGTGTTTGGTTTATGGAAGCAGTGGATCTTTGTGCTGATGCTACTCGCTGGCTATCTTGCCCTTACCTACGGAGTGGATGTGCCTGGATGTCCCAAGTAAGGAGTATAGCTTGTTTTAAAAGAAGTAAAAGAAGTAAAACGAATCTCTCGAGTTATAGCGCGTTTCGGAGTCATAAGACCGAAGCAATCAGAACAAGGCAATCTGCTTCCAGCGCGGGAGACCATGCATGATGAGCAAAGACCCACATGCTTTTTTTTTTTTTTACTGAGTTTAATGTAAGTTGGCCACCATAAAGAGTTTCTAAAGTTGACGTTTCAAACATTAGCCCTTCGCTAGGGCTTGGTTTTAGTTTTGCATCTAAAGGGTAGAGACGGCTGTTCTAGTTCTTCTAGACCAATCATTGAGCCTACAAAAGCAATGCCAATACAATTCCGGCTTAGTTTCGACAGACGGTCAAAAATTGGTTTATTGAATGATCAGGGTAGTTGACCTTGAATGTTTTTACATCAGCTATACGTCTAGTGTACGCCACGAGAATGACTGTATAACAGTTCTACATTCGCCCCCACCCCCCCCCTTTTTTTTTGTAAGGGACTTATTTACTAACTACATTACGATTGCAGGGGTTACACGGGTCCGGGGGGCATTGGGGAAGGATACCCAAATGCTTTTAACTGCACTGGAGGAATGGCGGGGTACATTGACACAATCGCCTTAGGCAACCATCTTTACAGATTGCCTACTATCAAGGTCAAGTAACAAAGTCATTTCTTGAACTCAAGATACATGCGCACTAAAGTTCCGAATGGAAAAAAAGATTACCCGACAACACTTGGTCAAAATCATTCACCGAATGTGGAAAGTTGTACCTTTCTCAGCTCATTTTTACTCAGTTCGCTTTGTAATTTTTCTTTTATTTTTTCCTAGTCAAACGACGTAGGTTGGCATTGAAAACGTTGTCTTAGTGTGAATCACTCGTTTCACACGATAATCATCTTTTCCCTTCATATGTACTTTCCAATCTTTTTTGCCAGTTTCTGCACCTAATCACAAATCTCTCGTGTTCTGCTCGAACAGGGTGTCTACAAAACTACCTTACCATATGACCCGGAGGGGATCCTTGGATGCCTAACTTCTATTGTTTTGGTTTTCTTTGGCGTTCAGGTAAGAAAATAAAATGTATTTGCTATCTATGAAAAAACAGACGCGTTCTGTGCATCAAATTTAGCAATACTTTTGCGGTGAAAAACAAACACAAGAAACCCTTCTAACCAAAACCTGCACTGTAGTTCTTGAAGGTTAGCGGTGCTGCACCTCGTATTGTTGATAGATATGATTACTTTGCATATATTTATCAGTAGCTGGTCTGAGTTATTTCCCTGCCTTCTGTCATCTGCTTACCTGAAAGGCAACAAATATTTTTCGCCATTCGCGTCGTCAGTCGTTTATGTTGGTTGACAAAAAACCGTGGTTCTTCGTTACGAACAAAACCATAACTAAATTCACCGCGTGTTCTGAAGAGCCAGCATATTGTATTGCTTACAGCCATACGGTTTCCTGGACTACACGATTAATCATTTATAGGTTGTAGGACATATATATATAACATATAATTTCAGAGGGGTTAAATACTTCGAAGATTTCGAAGAGTGAGTGACTCTCCCAAAAGATGACTGCATACTTCTTGGGAAATTTGCACGAGCGATTCTAAATTTTTTCTCGTTGCTTCTACGGTGGCTCTTGGTTGGTTAAAAAACAATACCCTATTCATCGGGTTCACACATTGCGTGCAGTGAATAATTACCAAGTCTCTTCAAAGAGCACATAGTTCTTGCCAATCAGATGGAGCTACTTTAGTACATAAATTATTCTAGTTTAGTTTTGGATGGATAATTTAACTGAAATCCAAATTATATCATATTACTGTCATAAGGACAACAACAACAATAACAACAATCAATCTTTATTTGTAAGCTCTCTGGCTTTATAAGCTGTAACACACACAAAAAAAGATAATAAGAGTGCTGGCTGCCTGGAATAATCATAGGGGCTATTGGAGCCAGGCAGCCAGTTGACCTCTACATTAAGAACAGAATGAAAAAGCATCCTGCAGGAGCCAGTAGGATTTGGGGGATCACATTGTTTTCAGGGGGAACCTGAGAGGAGAGGAGGAGAGGAGGAGATGTGTCCAGTGAATAGGTGGGAGATCAGTTGATCAGTTGTCGCAAGAGACTATATTATATTTATATTCTCTTCGATGTCGTCAACAGAGTAAAAAGGGGGGTACAGTGGAAAAACGACTGCCAATTAAGAGAAAATGAGGGGAAGGGAAATCATAAGAATATTATAGAGCCTTATGGGGGAATGAAGTAAATTTTAATCGCTACACAACCAAAATGCTTTCAACCCCCCCCCCTTCCCCCTTTCAGTTGATAAATAGTGCCCGTCCATTATTGTATTATTTTCTTCTTCCGAACAGGCTGGTCACATACTGACAATTCATTCCAAACATAGACCACGACTCATCAGGTGGATAACCTGGGCGGTTCTGATGGTGAGAGGTTTCAATGATAATCTCATAATAGAGAAAACATTTTAGCTTTTAACCAGCATTGAATCACACGTGAAGGTTTGAAATAATTTTCATGTTACATTTTCAGACAGCATTTACGTTGGGCCTGTGTGGAGCCACAAAAAATGAAGGGATCGTTCCAATCAACAAAAATATATGGTAACAAAATGATCCATTTTGATTTTAAATTTCGCGCCCTCATAACTTGGGCCGCACCTGAAGCTGCTTGGGTTTACAAGTATATTTTGCACCGGCAGTAAAACTTTAATTTACGAAATTATCATTGTTTAGCAGCCAAAAATATTTTTCAAAGAGGAAATATCTTTTTAGGTCGGTGTCGTTCATCTTAGCCACGGGAGCGAGTGCATTCTTTCTGTTTGCTATTTGTTATCTTCTGACTGACGTCCTGGATTGGTGGAATGGTGCACCCTTCTTTTACCCAGGTAAGAGTCTAAGAAAACTGCTAAGATGTAAACATACAAAGGAATTTATTACGATTACAGGAAACCCAATTATTTAAAACGCTTTTTATTAGATCATTAGTGACAATTTTTGGACGATGCATGAGTTAACATTCCACAACTTATGATTTTTTCCTTTGACAAACTGTCTCAAATCTTTGGGGCTTATCGCTGATAATGTATCCTTACGATGTCTAACTTGTTTGTTTATTAGAAAGAGGGACCCCATCAGGGAACCAACACGTGACGTCACACCCAATTCATTGTCTTCATGATAAACCGCGATATAACGTTCTTGTCTCCTTGTGATGTATCATATATTTTGATCCCAAACAACTCAGTGCGCAGATTTTCATCGATAAATATGGCATAAAAGTCAAAATCAAGCGACACTACATCTTATAATTTTGGTTCAAGAGAGAATTGACGTAAGAGCTTGATCGCCTAATATGACCCTATTTCCAAGGGAAGATCTGTCGGAACTTTAGTTCATAATCAAGCTATCTGGTCTTCCAAAGATTGCATCTAGCGCTCTTGTTGCTTGATTAATTTTGTGGGAGGAAAATGTTAATTCATTAAAAGACTTGAATGGTCATGTGTCAGAAAACAATGACATACAATTGGTTATTTCTATATTCTATCAGGATCTTTGGAATCAGGAATGATTTAAAAGGGATTAATTTTGAATTAAGGCCATTTGTAGGGTTTAAGTTTGACGCTCCAATTTTTCTCGATAATTTTGCTTATTTTGGGATGCATGACTCTTCTTTTATAGGTATGAACTCCATTCTTGTGTACGTTGGTCATGGTATTCTGTGGAGACACTTTCCCTTCAGCTGGGAGATGGATGAGTATGGCGGCCACGCGGAGAAACTAGGCATGAGCTTAGCTGGAACTGCCTTGTGGGTTCTGATAGCGTATTGCCTTTTTACTAAAAATGTTTTCCTGAAGATTTAAAAGATCTCATTTTGAAAAGGTTTTGAAGCATCATTTCTACTGACAAGGACATCTAAGAAAACTTGAACATCAGTGATCTCACGGTTACTGAAAATATCCTACAACATAAGATAAGGACTCGTGAGCCACCATCAGATGTCTACGCTTCATCGCTATTCCTTAACATTACACATAGGACAGTTCATAACCACTTCAGGTTTTTCAATTAAATCGTTGGGCCGGGCTATAAGGGCTGGGGAGCGAATAAACGATAAAACGATAAAGCTAAACTCGGCTCTTGAAAAACTATAACATAAGTTATAAGGTCATCGACCATTACTGTGCAAAAGCGTTAAAGATAAAAGGACAGGCCTCAGTCTATTTGCTACATATGCTAGGTCTCGGTCGTAAATCTACGCTCTCAGATGATCTTAATTAGGTCATTCCATAGATTTAGAAGAGCGAAACTGCATGGAATAAAATCTACAGCTTTAATGATAAAGGCGTAGGAGTGCAGTCTAAAGGAAAAGGTCTATCGATCGAGCTGAATTGTAACCTTGTAAATGTGTTGTCTATTTATCTTCTTGTAAAAGAAAAAAGCAACGAAATCACCTCACTCCAAATGATAGCGCCCCTTATGCTTATTTTTATTTTAAAACATGATGGGATTAAATTGGCTGTTTCAGGGCTTCAGAGAAGTCAGAAACATTTAGCTGCCTGCGACCGTAGGAAACACACTTTTGTCCTGTTGTCTTATATCATTGTTTACAATAATACAGGCGTCGTCAAGATTTAATCTTACAGACATACATTAAATTTATGATAGTGTTATACACCCATCGCTAAGTTTTTCTGAGCTGTTGTGCGTTTGGTCAGTTTATGACTTCGGCTAAGAGAAAATAATGCTGTAGCTCAAGTTTTTTACTCTTTTTTAACGCTTTTTTAACTCTCATCTACTTACGAACATGCTGATTAATCCAGTCAACATAGGGAGCCAACTTGGTGTAGAATGTATATCGACCGTAAATACCACAGCCCTCTCCCCAGCTTACAAGACCTACAGCGACCCACTTCCATGCACCGCCCTTCAACACCCTCATAACAAAAGGCCCTCCACTGTCACCCGTGCATGGTCCGATTCCATTTCTATCGCTTCCAGCGCAAAATTCTAACGAGTCGTTAAAGTGATAATCAGTAGAGTTCTGGCAAAGTTTCGAGTCTTGAATTTGAAACTGAGCGGATCTTAATACCGCTGATGAGGAATACTTCGAGTCTGCTGTCTCTCCTGGATTAAGAACTTGGGTGGCTCCCCAACCAGCAACAAATCCATGAGCTCCAGGTGTTGCATTTTCGTGGTATGACGTGCTGTTTTCTGCTTGTGGAAGGCAAACTTTACGTACATTCCGAGTAAGTGTGACTCTGAAAGATAACTTGACTAAGGCAATATCGTTTTCTTTGTATTCGTCGTGGTATTTGGGATGCATGATTATTTTGGTCGCAAAATACACTCGTTCCGAGGCTTCTTCTATGGTGCGCACACTGTCACCGACCTTAATCTTGTACCTGAAGAGAAAACCCACTTCAGTTAGAGGCGTCGTAGAGGCGTATAGCGCTCTCAGAAAAATCGGTCTCGAACTAAAGCGAACCACAGAAAAATTGCGAAAGTCGTGGGGCAAACGATGAAAGTTTAAGTCGTTTAAGTCTGGATTCTTTCTGAGTACGTCAAAGTCAAATATAGAGGAAACTTACATTTCCGGGGGTGAAATGAGAGATTTTCTAACGTGGTCATCCGCGTGTGTGTACATGAAGCAGTGGGCAGCAGTGATTATCCACTGTCGAGTGATAAGGGCAGCTCCACAGAGAAAATGTTCTTTTCCTACATACAAAATGCAAATATCAAACTAAACGAAAACAATCTCTAAATCAAACGCGCAGCTCCACGTCAGCACGAGGAAAACGGGGATGAGGAAGGACAGATTGCACTGAAGGAATAAGAAAGCAACCGCATCGATTATTATCAACTGAAGGAGCCTCGCCATTATGATATTTTCGGTTTTCTTGTTGCTCACTTGGATTATTGGTAGTTGTTCGTACAGTATGAGATAAATACGACTAGATGCAAAAGGTGTCTCCGGAACAGTTCGTCTTATTAGCTCGTATTCTCCTTGGGGATTTTTGAGTTAATCATTCGGGAATGTGTCAGAAAAGCAGAGAGTTCCCTATTCATACACTCGTCCGGTATTCCGTGTTGTCCATCCTTTTCCGCACCTATTCCGAGCGCCCCGTTAGATTTGGCATCCCACTTAGTTTTGTGAAAGTTGTTGAACTGAGAAGGAGCCTTCGGAAAAAAAGGGTACAATGTTAGGCATCATTACATATCTCACCGGTCGTTTGGTCAATTCGATAAAGTCCAGCTTGCCAAGGCCACATCCCGTGGGTGCTGATAATACCACCCACCATTCGAGAAAGGCGGATTCTCTTCCTTTCACCGCATTTGGAATAATCTGAAAATGACAAATGAGGCAGTGTAACAATGTAGCAAGTAATTTTTTTAACTCTAGCTCTTCGCCTAATTTCTTTCCCACGTATTATTTATAGTCCCACAGTTTTATTCAAGGAGGGGGAGGGGGCGTTTTCTTTAAATTGCGGGGCCATTGAAAAAAGGTGAAAAAAAACGGAGGAGGGGGGAAGGAACAAAAATACTTCTGTGGATTGACTGATGTGGTGGTTTTCTGAAGAAAGATTGAAAGGATAGGCAGATAAACAATGTATTACCTTTCACTTGCGAGGGGGGCAGACACTTGGGTTTACGGTCACTCCAGCTGCCATCGTAACAGATGATTCTCCTGGGCCCTTGAATCTTCAGCGATTTTTGACACTGGAAACTCACTTGTTTTGCATGCCTAAAGTTGTTCCCGATTCTCCGCCCCCCGGCTGGCACTCCTGGGTTACTGCAATGGGCTGAATGCACATTGATAACGTTCTAGCGTTATTTGATGTTAATGGTTTTTACAACACTCAGTCGAAAAGGGACTGCATTAACTTGTGGGACAAGCGTTTTTTTCCTCTAAGCAAGCGGTGGCGAGCGCGTAGCGAGCGCAACAAGTGACACACGCCTACCAGGCGTCTCGCTCCCCCACACTGTCCTCGTTCACGCCTCGCGCTCGCCACCGCATCGCTGAAAAACGCAAAAAAACGAAGCTTGTCCCTTTAAAAAAGAGCGATGAACGGATATACCTTTACAAAGTGTCGGTTTGCCACTCCATTCACCATTTGCTTGACAAAACCTTCTTCGACTTCCAACGATTGAATACCGTTTTTTCCTGCAAATAAAATCAGCTCTACCACCGAATGTAGTTTTAGTTTCCTTGATTTTCATCCCATGGGCTGGATCTGGCAGACTTCCACAGTCAACAACTACCAAAATGATAAAAATTAAAGGAATTAAGAGATAAACGTTCATGATATCTTTTAAAAGTTTTCGTTATGCTGACAATTTCTAACAGGTCCAAACGTTAGTAACTGAAGGGTAGCTGAACTTTGGGCGTCTTCATGCTGCTCAACGGGCTCATGGTCTCTTGTGCTGATTCAATGTGTTTGCTGTTAGAAATTGTATTAAGAACGCTTATTTAACTCATCATTTTTCGCTGCGCTTAAAAAAAAGGACCCAAATTTTCTTAAGTAATGGGCGTATTTGCCATTTCATCGGCATTTTTACTCTCCGTTTTTCGTTTTTGGTGATACCTCTATGGATGTTAGTCTTCGATATTTATTTAGACAGTCACTGTTTCTGTTGTCGTTTTTTTGTCGTTTTTACCTTCGCATGTAGGCGCTGCTTTGTTCCAGGTTTTATTTTTCAAGCACTCTATAACTGCTGCTCCTTGCAAGACAAATCCGGTTTCACATGAAAATCTAACCCTTTGACCTACAGAGTAAGCACTTCCAAATCTTTTACCATTTTTGGGCACACGTGGGCTTCGGCACTCTTTCGAAGCTAAAAATCAAAAGAATACTCACTATTTTTTCAAAATGACGACTGTAAAATGAATGAAACATTGTGAAAAGTATAAAAGGTACTGATATATACATTTCTATTGTCAGTATCCATGCGGCTTGGCCAAATTTTAGAATTTTTCTGCTCAAAACTCGAAAGGAAGGTGTTACGTTAGTGCGAGCACAAGAAAGGGATAAAGTCTAATGAAGCACGCCTTTGTCACCGGCTATTTAAGACGCTTCACATGTGTGCAATCAAGCGAGGAGTCACGCAAGGCTATCCTTAAAGTTGCAAATGATTTGGCAGTATTATGGCGTAATTTCATTTTCGTAACTAATTGTACTTGCCTACACAAGTAAAGGTTAACTTCGTCCACGTTGTTCCTAGGCACTTTACAAGAACAAGGCCAGACAAGCGTTGATATCCTGGCTTACAAGTGTATAATATTACGGTTCCTTTGCTGTAACCGCTTGATGTTGGCTTTGTTGACTCAGAGCGAATGGCAGCATTGCTTGGAAGAGGTGGAGGTCCGCAAGATGAAGCTATTAGGAAGAAGATTTGTATTTTAATAAAATCAAATTCTATTTTGATAGCCTTACAATGGTTTTCGGCGAAGAAATAGATGAGTAGTGTAGGTGGGGAAAGCAAGCACGGTTTTAATGTAACTGCTCCATTTCTTAGACGAAAGAGACTAACCTGCAGAACGGGAGTAATTGTTTTGAATTTTTAACGCAAACATGGGTAAGGGTGAGGCATGCGCGACTCACGCGCGAGGGGAGGCGCTACTCCACTCGTGCGTGAATCGCGCTTCGCGCTCGCCTTGCGTTTGCCTGTTCTGCAGGTTAAAAGGGAGAGAGTGAGATAGTGTACGAACTGCTTGTCTCTTGATCTTTGTTCACTTGAATGTTTGGTTTTGAGAATTCGCGTCCTCTGAGGCTCATGACGGTTTGAATTCAATCGAGAACTTTTGACGTTACATTTCGGTTCTCATTTGACCCCGAAATGGGAAATTCGTGAGCGACTTTCTAATTTTCACTCTCAAGGGGTGGCTCGTAATTCGTTATGTCAATAATTCTTCTTCTAGGCGGGGAGGGGAGGGGGTCGGTCGTCGAATCAAGCAAGATGTTCTTCCCCACCCCTTTCCACACGATTTAAGTTTGCAAGGGGGTCCTATCACTGTACTTTGTAATAACCATATCGCATGATGCCACCGTGTAACAGATATCTTTGTTTATGCGAGACAACCGGCTATTGACTCCGCATAGCAATAACAGGCGGTATAGTTTACCTAAAGAGACAAGTTTGGGCAAATCAGGTGATTATGTTCCTTTTTTTCTCGAGAAACCAGGAAGAAAACAGTTTTAATTCAACGTTACCATGATGACAACTAATTCCCTCAACGGTGCACGATATAATTTGATTTGATATGTTTTTTTCCTTAATTAGCATTCGCCAGAACCACCACATTTTTCATTTGGTGCATGGTTGGCGTTATTTTGAGTTCTCATATCACTGAAATTTATCAGAGATCGTTTCAGCTTGTTTTGATTAAAAGACTGATAAGAGTAACTATGTTCAACTAATTCTGGACTGATAAAATAATGTTTTGGTGCAAATTTTATCTACAAACGATATTGTTGTTGGTTGAGTTCTACTCTTACCTTCCACTTGCGGTAGAAATATGCAAACGCACAGTACCACTATTTGCAACACGTTGGTGGGGGTCATTTTGGTAATTATCCTTTAAGCGAAACAACAAGAGTGTTGGTGAATTCGAAGAATTCCTTTGAAGCTTAGACGGAAGTAAGACAGAGAATAAGCCTCTTTTTAAATTGTTTATAATCATCAGCTAAATTTGACTTTGATAAAGGGGGTAAGTTTCTAAAGAAACTGTGGTGCTGCGTCGGTAGAAGAGTATAACAAGGTAATTTAGTATTATCAACTGAGTTGGACGTAAATTGGCCACCGTAAAGAGGTTCAAAAGCTGACGTTTCGAAGGTTAGCCCTTCGTTGGAGGTAATTTTTCGCCATTCGCTCTGACGAAGGGCTAACGCTCGAAACGTCAGCCTTGAAACTTGTTACGGTAGCTAATTAAGTATTATCAACTCAGTTGATAATACTTAATTACCCTGGTAAGTTTGACTTGTGATTGGTTTATAGATACGAAGGAAATGTTATTCCTGAGGAATCTATCTTTTAATTTTTTCCCTCGAAGCACCACAGTTTCTTTAAAAACTTACCCCCTTTTATAATATTTGTTTCCAGCTGCGAAATGAAGACGAAACAATTTTCCATACATAATGTAGCATAATCGAATTCATGATTTAGGTCACTTTTGTAGCAAATGACGATTTAGGCAGGCATGAAACGTAATCTTTGTTGAAAAAACAGTTAAGGCTAAGATACTTGATAGTCACAATAGCCGGCAGGAAATACCTTGCCTTATCTTTCACAACCGTCAAGTCCATCACGTTCCCAACCTCGTATGTTCCTGTTGCGCTGACTAACCCTTTTCTTCCCGTTGTTTAGACAGGCTTTCTTGATCACATTTCTCCCCCCTCCCCCCGGTGTCCAACACAAACACACACACTACTTCATCCTCAATTACCCCGCTTTCCTTGTCGTCGGTAAGATTAAAGAGCGTTACTAAAGACTTTGTCATATGGACCCTGAAGAAGAGACTTAATTTACTGAAAATAACCTGAAATTATAAGTGGTACTTGTGTGTGGATCTACGTGTTCTCTCCACGCTTAAGCGCAGCGGGGAAAAAAGCCGATCAAATGCTGACGAAAACAGCATGTTGCTCTGACTCCGTCTTAAATCAAAACAATAAGATCAACATCAATCAAGGGTGTCATTTAAGCTGAAGGCGAAACCTGAAACTACATGCTTTGCCAGTCGTGACTCAGTATGTCTGTTGATAGTACTTCCTGTGTGCGTATCATACGTTCGTGGTACATTGTGTTTGGAGCACGATGAAGTACGCAATTCTTTTGCTCGCCGTATTCGCCATTCAAGGTAACTGCACTACGTTTTCAGTACCCGTGATCTTAATTTCAATTCATTGACATGTAATGTCATTAACAGACCCAAAATTAGACCGATATGATAATTGTTATCTTTGTGACATTTGTTATCAGGTATTCGAAGTCAAAATTGTACTCGCACAAACCATCAGAGCAATATCTGCGCTAAACCCTGTAATCCATCAAAGAATGAATGCGGTAGAAACGAAGATTGTATATGCGATGGTGACTGTGGCCATAGTTGCGTAAAAAGAGGTAAGACGAGAAAACGGGCACAACAACCACCTCGTATTTCCTAACCTGAACGTTTAGCTTTTCAGTTTCTTCTCTAAGGCGAAATTTAATACAACTTCTCATGTATATTTCGAAATTCTGTCTTTTGCAAAATTTAAGAATTTAATGTATAAAATCAAAATTAGCGTAATCGCTGAACCGTGCTGAGACAGTAGTGAGAAGTGTTCCTCTTCAGTTTGGTCACAGCAGGACCACCTTGGCAACTGTCATTAATTATATTCCGTTTAAGATAACGAAAGAATAGTTTCTATTTTTTTTTTTCAAATGCAAGTTACAGCCTGTTTCTATCTTTTTTATTTCATTTCTTAATCAAAGCATTCATCGGGCCCTGCCATCGTGATTTAATAAATCACATAATTTTTTTTCTTTCTCGCCAAATTCTTATTTGGTTTGTATTTGTTGCTAAAGACTAATATAATACTGAAATACTGCTCCAGTTGGCTGTGCACGCGCATCTGGGCGCTCAGAAAAATAGACGCGATACTGTCAAATGAGATGGGGGTTTTCTGTTTTTATCAGCTTTCCTTCTTCAGTTCCGTTGTTCACCATTTGATGAATTGAGACTATTTTAATGCTGAAGCCCACGCACGTATCACTCATGAATAGTGCGTGACGTCCTTGCGCGTTGACGCGTGACAATAAAATGAACAGCCTTAATTAATCATATACGTAGACTCCCTCGCAGCCATTCTTTGGGATAGCACGTAACGTTTGGAGCGCGTGATATCCCAAATAACGCGTTCGAGGGAGAACAGGTGAAACAAGCTATCCGATGGCTGTGAAAAGTACACTTTGCGACAACTATCAGAGGGGTTTTCCATTTTAGCTTCAGCAAAGAGATCGATAACAAACCAATCCATGTTTTGTTTAAATTTACATGCAACTGCTCATCGAAAAAGGAAATCAAAGAAGAACAGCATTTAATTAGATATTTTTTTTTTGCTCTTATGCTTTAATTTCAAGGTTTCTAGGAGGAAGAGGAATATACCAAAAAATTTCAAGGTCAACACCATGTTTATTTTTTGTGTTTTTATCTACAGGCCTTCAGTGTCCACGATTGAGCCGAATTGATAAAGGTCGAGTTAAATTAAAAAATACCACATTTAGGTCAGTTGCCAAGTATCAATGCAGACCACCATACAAGGCAATCGGATCTAAAAAGAGAACATGCAGAGGAAATGGCACCTGGGACGGTCAGGAGCCTGTCTGCAGTAAGTAGTGCACTCTTGCCTACTTTACACGCGCGATTGTTTTAGAGCGGGATGTGATTTAGACTTAGTACACGCGAGTCAGAGGTCGCGTTCGCGAAAGGCAACGGGAATCTCTTTCGCGTTTCTATTCACTTCACTCGCGTTTTCTTTAAAATCCCCGATACGTGGGTTGTAATATAATCCTAGAACTTTCAATAAATTTAGAAAAATGTTTTAAAAGGAGAGTAAAACGCTTGCTCCAGAATTCCAACCAGTGGAATAGTAGGAGCAAAAATTCATCTGAATTCAGGATTTAAACACAGGACAAAATAATTTTCGATTCCTGACGAATTAAAGTTGGAAAGTTCTTAACACGAAGGGTGTTAACCATTGTAGTTATTTCGCTATCTTTCAGTTGCAGTAACTTTCACTCCAGATGTTTCTACTTTTTTTTTCTTCAGGGGTGTAAATATTGAACAGTTAGACTATTCGAAAAAGGAACTTCTCGATATTTGTTGGGACGAATCATCTCCTTCCATATTACGCGAAAGAGATGGTGCTTTACACTATTGTATTCCCTTGACACATAACTTAGTGGAATAATAAGTCGCGAAAGAAATTTGACACTACAAACACAAAAACACGTCGACTATTTGCTCCTATTTTCTGCTATGCTCCTTTACGCCTTCTACATAATACATGTTTATCAAACATATTCCAGTAGCTACTTCACGTAATATTCAACAGGCGCATTCTTTCCTTTCCTTTTTTTCTTCCGTTAATTCTAGAACTGATGTGCCCAGTCCCACCAAGAATCTTAAATGGTACAATGAAGTATGATAGCTTAGAAGTTGGGCAAAAGGTGACTTACACTTGTTCGCCTGGATTCGTAATGGAAGGTAGGAACACATTGACTTGTGCGAGGAGTGGCGCCTGGAACAGAGGTGAACCAAAGTGCGTATGCAAGAGAACCAATCGTGAACATTGGAAATTCTGTAGAAAACAATGCAACCCAGGCACATCCGGAAGCTGCAGAAACAACCAGGAATGTATTTGTGATGGAGACTGTGGATACAGCTGTGTTCCGAAAGGTTTGAAAAAGACATATCTCTACATTCTGTTACTTGCATTCATGAAACGCTTTATGGCCCTTTTACAATTATCATGGGAATATAAAGCGCCAAGCTGTCCTTGAAAAATGATACAAGCAAGAGCATCGTCTTTTCACAACTGAAATACATGATTTTGTTCAAGATTTCTTGTGTCAGATTTTCACCTGTCGACATATCCGTTCTTGATCTCCTGGCCTCGTTTTGTGTCGGAGATTGACAGACTTAAGAAATAAGATAGCATAGCCCAACGCAATATAATTTGAGGGCTATGGCCTTTAAAACCTGTAAATTGTATTTACATTCCCTCGAAACCTTGATTGAAAGCACTTTACTAGTCTTATATCAATACCAAAAAGATGAAGAGCGGGGAACTACCGACTAAAAGCCTCTACATCAACTGTCAAATGGGTAAAATCACATCGAATATGGCTAATTAAAGCAAGGAGTGTATGTGTTTTTCTGTTAAATGCTATACTTTTGTGTCTGAATCATGGTTTAATTTGGGAATAAGGCGCCGTACCTAGACTAGTCTGACATCTCTGATAACTCATCGCTAAAATATGACTCTATCAATTAAGTGTTATATCTATACCAAAGTAAACTTTTTGCTTTCAAATGTAGCTCTGGAATGTGGAAGACCATCAAAATTGGAGAATGGAAAACAGAAATATTCCTCCCGAAGACTTGGGTCTGTTGTAAAGTATAATTGCAATGAACCTTACACCTTGATCGGACCCAAGAAGCGTACTTGTCGTGGCATAAAGAGATGGGATGGCAATGATCCATCATGTAGTAAGCAATGGTCTTTTTTTGTATTGAGATCATGAATAACCTTAGTCAATATAGGACCTCTTGAAAGGTTACTGTGTTATTTGGTAATTGAAAAGAAATTAAGAAAAGAACGAGAAAAAGAAGAAAGTAAGAGTTAAGAAGGTGGTTTTATTATGCCGAAAAGATGACGACGAGGAACAGCTTTTAATTTTCTTTCAGCAATTTAAATTTGTTGAGGTTTTTTATGCCCTGTTTATGGCTCTTTTAGTAATATTGTTAATACTCCAAGTAGTAAGCACCTCAACGTGAGCAATCCTGTGCGAGTGTACGCAAGTACATCATGGACGGAATTATAGAACTAAGTATCACAGATGCGATTCAAAGACGAAATATTTCACTGAATTCTGACAGAAATCCCTAGTTATAACCCAGTTGCATGAAGTAGAGTACAAATAACTTGCAAATAGGGTACAAACATCAAGCGATATTGTACAGTTGGTTATTTTGTATTGTAAAACACCAATTTAACCAGTCGACTGCGCGCGCTACGAGAAATGAGCTATATACCTAAAAAAAGATAGCAATTGGATAATAAATAAGTTATTGGACGTTTTGGTGTCTAGTTAACAAATAGATTCCAAATTGCCGTGCGTCTGTTCAGTAATAGATCACAGATGACGTCAAAATGTGGTAAGAACAAAAAAGTGGCACACGAGGCGCAGCCGAGTGTGTCACTGATGTTCTTACCACATTTTGACGTCCTCTGTAATCTATTACTGAACAGACGCACGGAAACTTGGAATCTATTTGTTTTATATAATAAAGAATTAAAAAAAGTTTTAACGATTACGTCATCTATACGTCTGTCCTCCAATAGATCATAAGTGAGAACCAATCAGAATGCGCGCATAACTGAGCTTATTATATAATATTGCTTAGCACTTTTACTCATGGTCTTTATACGGGCTCGTCAAACTACGGCACATTTGGTGAAAATGCTCAGTAATACTCAGTATGTAACACACCACAACCTCTAAAAAGATATATTTACTCTAAACATCATTCTCTTTCATCAAATCTAATGAAAGAGAATGATGAGAAAACTGTAAATTCAAACTTTAGAAAATTTAAATTTTTTCTTTATAATATGAAACACTACAATTCATCGCCGTTTGTTGGAGAAACGTTTACTTTTTTTCCTTCAAGAAATCATCTGTAAGGATCCTGGAGATATCGATTTTGGTAACAAACAACTCTACCGAAGAAATTTCGAAGAAGATTATCTGGAAGTAAGAGATAGAGTGGAATATAACTGCTTACCAGGTTACGAAATGGAAGGCTCAAAATATCTTGTTTGTGGTTCAACGGGAGAATGGGATAAAGATAAGCCAAAATGCAAACGTAAGTTAAGCCGCCAATTTGAAGAGTTGTTGTGTTTTTTGTTGCTTTGAGAGGGATCAGGGTGGTACACTTTTCTTTGAAGGGTGTAATTATTCATTTGGAACACAGTTTCCCCCAACACTTTTACAACCGGCGAATTTAGAAAAAAAAATTATTCCTACTGTTATGGGTATAAGTACTGTCATGGTCTATCATCATTCAATTGTGTGATTTTCCCAATCACTGTGATTGGGGACCTTTTTTATGTGATAATTTTTTTTTTACAGTTCCAACCTGTGATCCTCCACAGCTTCCAGAAAATGTCGATTTCAGGTTGCCCCATCAAAAAAAGACACGGTCGTTCAAGTTTCAAGAAAAAGTACTACTGAAGTGTCAAACGGGGTACTTCCAAAACGGAATAGGCCTGCTAACATGCAAAACGAAAGGAAAATGGACTGGTTCTTCGTTCACTTGCTCTCGTAAGTTGAAAACGCCACCAACGATACCAGAATCACTTGGACAAATTTATAATCATTCACATTATAAGAAACAAACACTTGTGTGTTTGACCAAAGCAAGGGGCGATGAAAAAAAAAGGTCGGCTTGTGGTAATAATAATGATAATAATTCAGGGGAGTTGTTAAGAGTAGTTATTTTTGTTGCCAGGTTTGGACGCCAATGAGCCTCAGTCCCCGCCTCATACACACAGGCTGTTAAGGCTTTCTTTGCTTTAGTCTTGATGGTAAAGACGCCGGTGTTACGTTAATATTTCAGGCAAAACATTACGTCGATGGATAAGTTTTTCGGAAAAGTGCTAAAACTGGGCTATAAATCGTATCCTACTTAGTGGTAAAGATTGTGCTTTTCTGATCAATTAATGGTAGTTTTGTTTCCTTTGTGTTCACAGCTAAAAGTTGTGGCAGGCCAGAAATCCCTCTCCATGGCAACGTGAAATCACACGTTTTTACGTTCCGAAGTAAGGTTTATTTTGAATGTAACCCCGGCTTCAAGTTGGTTGGAGACAAGTATCGCCAATGTCAGGCGAATCAAAAATGGAGTGGACGTGTGCCAACCTGTAAACGTAAGAAATGATGCTACTTAGTGACTTAGTGTTTCCTTAGAGGCTGCTTTACTGAGCAAATTGGAAAGGCGTCGGAGAAAGGGGAAAGAGCGTGAAAAAACAAATTAGGGACTCAGCGAGCTCCCCGGAATGAAAGATATTCAGGTATCTTGCAAACGACAAGTATCATTCATGCCATAGATTTCTTCCGGGACGAATCTTTTGTGAAGATTCATATTACCTGTTATCCTTCACCACAGTCCCCACTCCCCTCCCCTTAAACAACTTAAAAGTTTTATTATGGTCAGTCTTCAAAGCGATGGAGGAGTGAACAAATCGGAACTAAGTTTATTTGCTGCTGCTTTATAATTATCTCCATATTTTTCTTTTGTCCTTTAAAGTAATCGATTGCGGTAGGTTGTCAACTCCACATAAAGTTTTAATAGTTTCGGAAACCGGTCACACGCGACTTGGCGGTTATGTGAAATATCGGTGTAAGGAGAAAGGCTACGAGCTGATTGGTTCGGAGACTCGAGTTTGTCAAAACGATGAACAGTGGAGCGGAGTTGAACCTTCGTGCCAAAGTAAGTACTATTCTTTTACAAACTAGCTTTAACATTACACTTATATTCAAAAGAGAATGATTCAATATGCAAAGGCCAACCTATATTCTTCACGCATTCCTGTCTCGCTGTTGTTCAAACTTAGTTTGGTTATGAATGTGTGTGTTTCATGAAAGCTTGCAGTATTCCAAATGTCCTAGAATGCCATGCCATTTTTTTATTTGGCGTTTAATCTCATAATCACGTGAGCGTTTGTGTGGCTAATAAAATGAAAATTACACCGTCTTAATGGATATGTGATAAAGTAAGTGATCCTAAATTTTACGCGCCCGTGTATTCCTGATGCATTTTAACCTTGAAATTTTCTTTTTACAGTTATAGACTGTGGGAATCCAGATGCCGCAGCTAACGTTAAACGAATTAGAATTACAAATGGTTTTGATTATGGTAGCTCGGTGGAATTCGCTTGTGAGGCGAATTACATTTTGACGGGATCCAAAATAATAACCTGTGGAGAAACAAAAGAGTGGAGTTCAACTGCCCCAAGTTGTCTTGGTGAGTAAAATTGTTACTAAAGAATCTTAATAGTCCATTTTACAGTTGCCTGATTGCCTGCCAAGCCTTTGAACAGAAGTGAGGCTAAGGTTGACCTTGCTATGATACAAACGTTCCTGCTTGTCAAATATAAATTACTTTGTTACATCTAGTTATGCTTGCTAGATGTTGGTCTCTATCATAACATGGTCACCTTCAGCCTCACTCCAAATCAAAGGCTTGGCAACTAAGTACACATCTGTGAAATGTCCTATTGAACGACATTGTGGTATAATGGCGCAGGGGAGGAGGGAAGGTGTTGCTCATTATTGATGCCAACTTCGGAGCTAAACAGAAGATTAAATGCTACTGAACAAAACAACAACAACAACAACAACGAAAATCAAGCAACGAATAAATATCTAAAAAAACGCAAGAGGGAAAGATAGAAATTAAAAGGTGAAAATAGCTTTGGCATCAACAGTTTTAAAGTAATAAGTAATGTTTATGTATTGATTAACTCGACTGTTCAATCGAATAGTTTTCAGATCGTATGGTCATGGGCCATTTAATCCATTTTCCCTTGTATTCTCTCAGAGCTTGTTTTCTCATTTATTGAATACATTACACGACAAACGGATCATTGTGCCTACATTTACACGAAATTTACCTTTCAGCTCCATGTTCAGACCCTGGTGAGCCAGGGAATGGAACAAGAATTGGAGATGACTTTAAGCATGGGAAATTCATAAAATTTACATGTGATGACGACTTTGAACCTGTTGGGAAAAAAACCATCCAATGTTTGGAGGGAAAGTGGAATCACAAGATACCCCAGTGCAAAGGTAAAAGATGTATTAGATATGAACGACAATGGTTGTTCTATGATTAATAAGCCACAAAAGCAATCCAATAGGAAAATGTGAAGGGAATGGAAGATGTTGTTCATTATGGTTCTATAGTTAAATGAACGATTAATCGTTTACCTCGCAATGTGGAGTCAGGCTATCAATCGCATTAACCGCTTCGTTTCGACTTCTACACCGCTAATCTTCGTCAGGCGACGAGGATGAGAGTTTATTATTTTAATTTTTTTTATTTAACATATTTTTAAGTTTCAAGATACGAACCATTTTGTTTTTTGTCAATATCTTAGATTAGTAAATTATAATTAGTCACCCTGTCTTTGATAAGTTATGTATATGGCCCTTTTTCCTAGAAATCTCGTGCGGAGATCCAGGAACACCAACAAATGGAAGGCAAACAAATGTCATCAAAAACTTTGCTTTCAGAGGAACAGTAGAATTCCAGTGTGATAAAGACTACACCTTGCATGGCAAATCATCTCTTTCTTGTCAAAGGAACAAGACGTGGGATGGAGATGTTCCAAAGTGTTTAGGCAAATATCTCTCTATGTGATTAAATATTTGGGCATTCAGAAGCTTAAGAACGCGATCAAACTGTTTCGTAATGTTGAAAAGCAATATAAATAAGCTCGAAACGATTTCCTCATTTCATAACAAGTTATCACTTGATGGTCGTACACTTCCATAATTTCTCGGTAGTTTCCATTGCAAAAGTACAACTTTTCGAGAACACGTTTCATTAAGTCATGGTGCCTTCGGCTAAAAATGAGTTTTGTAGCCCCCGCTCTATTTATTAGCGATCGAGATATCGATTTTTATACTGTGATACAATTGAAAAAAAAAAAAGGTCTCACGCTTTGTAGTGTAAGCAAAAAATTCAAGTGCTCGGTCAAGCAGAAAGTTTGAACGTTCTCCAAGCATCTGGCCTACATCATTGTACTGATATTCCATATAATTCTCTTTAAGGATGATTAGTGCAGCTTTTAGCTCGCGAGCTGCTTTCACTCACGCTCATAGGGTATGATTTTAGACAAATGCTGTTATTTTCATTTTTTTCTATTTTGCATTTTTAGCATCCTGCTCTGACCCTGGTACTCCACTTCACGGGGAAACCATTGGAAGTGCTTTTGAACACGATTCAGTCGTAAAGTTCCAATGTTTACTCAACCGTGTTTTAGCTGGCGCCTCGAGGATGAAATGTAACAACGGGCAGTGGGACGCACAGCTCCCAGCATGTAGAGGTATGAAAGTTGTCTTATGTAATTGAATATCGTTGATTTGTTAGAGAGCTAGAAATTGTAAAGAGCAATATGGCCGTGATATGTTTGGTGCAGTATAGTAAGTAGACGCTAGTTGTGAAGAAGCAAAAAAAAGTGTAGAAGTCATCCAATTCGTGTTATGGTAAACTTCTTCCAAACGCGACATTGTGACAGAGAACTGACACATAGAGAACGATGGGCTAAGCTCAAAACGTCAGCTATAGAATCTCTCTACAATGGCCAATTCAAATTTTCAACTCAACTGATTATATCAGATCATCTTGTAATACTTCCCGACGACTTAGCACCACAATTTCTTTCGAAACTTACCACCCCTAAGAGGTTAACCGGGAAATGACCAAAATTTTTATTGGTAAGAGATATTTATTTTCCTCATTCGCTCTTACGGTTGATTATTGTTACGACACACTCATCCATAATAACACGAGCCCGGAAAAATGAGCGATATACGAAAGTGTAGGACCACATTCGCCCATCCCTTCGCACTCCGCTTTGTTAGAAATGTACAAACATAGTCGGTTGTTTCGTTTAAAACTTCTGAAGCACGGAGTCTAGAGCCTGGGTTACAAGCTTAGGCAAAAACTCAGTGGAGCGAGAGAAACAATGTTTCGTTGTCATGTTAAAGTCTCTTCAATTGGAAACCTTTAAAATGGAATTGAAACTACAGAAACTGGCGGCAACTTGCATTTTTTAATTTGTAGCTTATAGCTCATTGTCCACTTTATTTTTACGTTTAAGATTGCGACGGACCCCTGAAAACCTCCAGAGGAAATATAAAGTGTTCAATCGAAGGACAGAGGAATAATACTGAGATAAACCTTCAAAAGGAAAATATTATTACGGCGGCAAGTATCCAGCTGGGACAAGATAAAAGAAATGTTCTACAGATTCAAATAAAAGCGCTTCTTTCCAGCAAATGGGTACCCATTGTCAAACCTTTCAAGGTAAAAACCTGATTACAATATTTCCTCTTATTTCCCGTATTTTTCTGCTCTGGACTGTGGAAGAGTGATAAAGTGAAATATGAAAATTTGACAATCAAGTAGCATAGTCATATTCGCTAGCACAAGTATAACATTAGATTTTTACTCCAACAGCCAATTTTCAGTGAAGGAGTGAGAACAATTAAACTTCCTCAACCGGTTATTGCTCAGTCTTTGCAAGTTCTGTTAATCACCAGACAGGGACTCTCTAGTTGTTTAACATCGACATTATATGGATGTGACGCAGTACGTCGAGGTTAGGCTACTTAGTTCATAGATGAATTGTATCTTTTAGTTCTCTCTCCAACACTCTGTTTAGATAAACATCCACAAATTAAAATGGAACGGTTTCATGACTTAAATGTAGAAAATTAAAACGTCTTTTCTTCTAAAATCACAGTGATTAGCGTTGATGGTTGCATAATGTATTAGATAAATCTTTTATATGAGAAACTGTTCCGAGTTCAGCTTCAAAATCACCTCATTTTTATGCAATAACTATTCGTATTGTTGTCTCGCCTCACGTTTTGCGTCCTTGTCTTTTCAGGTTGTATCATGCCAGGCTCCGCAGTCCTCTTCAAAGAGGGAGGAAAATATCGTAAAGGGCGTTTTGCATTTGCCACGGGTGTCAAGTTGGAAGTCATTGAAGGAAAACAATACAAATATTTAAGCAAAGATGACATACTAATTCTTGATGAGAAACCTAACATCAACCAGCTAACTGAAGGCACTATAGTCGTTGGAACAGATTCGCAAGGGAAAATAAAGAGGGGAAACATAAAAAGATCGTGCAGTTCCACTTCCTGTCCTATTGAAACAAACGGTGTAGAGTGGCAGAGCAAATTAGAAAACGTTCGATTATTCAAAGGAGAATTGTGTAAATAGTTCACGTTCATATGTTATATAAAATGTCTGAGCGGATGTTGGACTGTATTGAACAATCTTGAACAATCTATCTTTCACTTTTGACGGGCGCAGAAAAGGTGGGCTCGTGCTCACTCAAACCCTACTAAAGAAAGTAAGCAGCTCCTGAGTGTGCTACTGTGTGCGCTTTTAGATTTTTCCGTTTTTAATTTCTCTGTGGAGCATAGGACCTCTATTGTAAAATTCCTATACTCAATGTGTTGTAAGGGCTATTCAAATGACCTCTAAAAATGCATCTCTGCATTTATAAATAAAAACTGCAACAGATATTTGACGATTTTTAAAAGACAAGGTTGAGCAAAATATTGTGGCAAGCAGATATACAATTTGCCGAAGCCGAGACGATATTACGCCTAGGGCAACCAGAGGCAGTTATGGCAAGTCACATGATAGTATGTTCTCCCGTTTAAAAGAGACAAAAATTGAAAAGGCATTGAGTGATGATGTCCTATAATTGATTCCCACAAACTTAATTCGAAGCTCGATGACGGCTCGATGACACCCCCCCCCCCACGAAAAATAAAACTTGTTTTGGTACCTTTTTACTGTTTTTTTGTGCTGTTCGCACTTTCAACTCCCTATGCATAATTGTTTTGTCAAATTTATGTTGGCTTTCTGGGAAAATTTAAGTTATGTTTAATGTTATTTAAACAAGTAAATTTTAATAATTTTGTTTGGAATGCATTACTTAGTTTTGATTTACTATTGTACCGTTGATTTTAACGTACGATTCAGCTTTAGGCATTGATGTCTAAGCACTAAGAGGAACAAGGGAAGTGTACAAGTTGTTCCGCCGAAAACTGGTTAATAAATGAAAATTGAACAGAGCCGGAAACAATTAAGCTCATAGTTTACGAAAGTTTGACTACTTTTTTCGGTGGCGTAATGTTGGTTTTATCGATATAAGCTAATTAAAAGCACTTAAAAGGGAACCCTTTATGACAAGTCCTTCCGGTAAAAACAAAATTCAAAACGAAGATTTTTCGCTTTTACTAAAGCAGCATTAATCTCTTCTAGATGTTTCACGGAAAGTTATGCTTCAAGAATGCTAACGTGACGCAAGAAGGCGTGAAGTGTTACATTGTTGATGAACGATTGGCAGGGCATAACTTTCTGGTGTGACTAGTAACTAGGCTTACTCTGAGAAGCGTTCACAGTTATATCCTCACAAAGATACTATGCTGTAATTTTTGAGCTAAACAAAGACAGCTCCCCCATCAGGCTAACAGTATTTAGTTCTTGGAGTTTCCTATCGCTCAGTTTATCGCCGCTGGCTTAATTGTATCTAACTTAGAAGATCAGACATCGTAAGACAATCGCTCTCGTGGCCTACGTGGCTGATATTATTACTATTCTTTACTACTATTTTTGTTTTCATTTTTTCGCGGGAGGGCGAGGGGGTAAGGGTGGAGAACGTGAGTAGTTCAGGTAAGTAAAAAGAGAAGAGCAAAAACTAGCAGTGAAACTCGCACTAGTGATATCGCGAGTAGCCAGCCACGCAGACGATGTCTCTTCTTGATTCTGGAAACTCCAACCATAAAGAATAAAGGAACATTCATGATACGCGTTTCTGTCTCGTCCTTTTTTGACGAAGGACGAAGGCTTCATATTGCTGTCGCACTATGCTTGCTTCAGCCGTTTGAAATCGACTTAAAATTTCTGAACAGAGATGAGTAAACTTCCATGTCTTAGGAGATTACTATTTTTAGGCACACGTCCTCTATTTTCAACGATATTTCTATACTTTCACACATGCACATATTTTTGTTCTAGATGTTGCCGGAAGTTATGAACAAATTGCGGAATTTTGAGCAGGCATAGCAACAGGTAACATGTTCAGCAAAGATTCTTAAGAGAAAAACATTTAAGAAAAGATGCATTAAAACATTTTTATCCACGCTTTATTCTTTGCAATTCAGGTTTTTTTTCCGAATGAACTGACCAGGTTGAAGCTCTTAGTCTATTTGAGTGGATTTCAAAGAGGAAGTTTGGAGTTTCAAGTTGTAAGTCCTCTTATAAGTGAGCATGTTGAGTATTGGTCGGTAGAAGAAAGAATTTGAAATTTGGTGTTGGGTTTTATCTGATTGCGAGAGAAAAATCACTATGCGCGTGAACCAATGGTGAGTTCTAATAGAGTCGTTGAACGTGGTTTTCAGTGTTGACATCTGAATTGACCAAGTCCCTTTCGGCAACTTTATTGTATACACTAGGTTTGAAATTATCTACTGAAGCAATTATTGTTCGTGATAGAGAAAAAGAGAACTGAAAGCAAGTAGCTTTCATGGTTGGGAGTGGTGTGGGCTAAGATCTAAGACAGCGTAACGTGAGTTTCTCTAGAATGCTAACAGAAGTGAACACGTAGATCGACCATCCTCACTGTCCCTTCCATCCCCCAAATATCGCGATTTAATACTCTGCTCTTTAAAACTACTCGTCCTGGAATTAACATAGAGCAACCGGTTTCGGCGAAGTGCGTGTTTTCCAAACCAACCTTAAAAATCTTGAGTATAATCTGAACATAAGTCATGCACGTGCCGGCAAACTTACTGTCCCTGATATTACGGAGACACTAAAAATACTTTTTAAAAAGATCAACTAAAGATCGGTATTAAAAATCTAACCTCAAAACAAAGCCAAAGAAAATAGAGATTAAAAGAAAATCATAGCAACTATTTTAAGAGCTATTTCAGATTTGGTCAAATTTACCGGTTATGATCAGAAATTTTTGCGAAACTCAAAAGGATTTCTTTAAGTGACAAGTTAACTTTTTAGCTAAACTGATCCACCGCACCTCCTTCCGAAACCTTTCTTTTAAGCAGAAAGATTCTGGAAAGATTCTAAGCAGCATGAAGTGCTTTGTTTTTTTCAAAAGAGGAAGGAGATTAGGAATGGAGGTATGCTGGTAAATAGGTCATTTTGTTTAGTATTTTCTTAATCACTAGATATAAAGCTGTAGCCAGATTTCCATGTGTAAGCCTCTTTTGATTGCTTATACTGCTTTATTTGTTTTCTAGCAGGCGAAATGTTACAGACAATGCCGATCAGCTTGGAAAATCCGGAAAAGGATCAGTAAACTTCAGTTGATTAGTCGGCTTTCATTGGGTTCTAAGATGTGTTTTTAGGTTTGTGGCCGGACTCGCCGCACTGGCAACTCCCTTTCTCATTTTCTAACCGGCTCCTCTCAATTAATCTCAGACCCCGACTGCTCTAATTCTTAAACATAAATACCTAATATTTCATACGGAAATTCTCTGAGAGGGGCTATTCGAAGGCCGTTCAGTGGTTCAAATGATTCGAATTGTTTGGTGACACTGATTTAACGCACTAAGGGGGGGCGACTGAGTGGGTCAATTTCTCTGTCATTGTGTAGTAAAACTACTTATCATTAGCGTCGACCAGTGCAGCCTGTGCGTGCATGGCGTGGTAGTTGTCTCCTTTATTGCCTAAATGGTCATCTTCAGTTATGACTTCTTTCATTACTAACTCTTTGCTAGACTGCAGAACACACGCGAGCCTCTTAGATGTTGAGGGCTGATTTGCAAACACTGCCAAGGCAAACAAGCCTCGAATCAAAATATGTGGAATCAAACCGTATGACTTCGCCAGTCGGTCATTCTTTCCTCTACCGAACTATAAGCTTAAAGCAATAAACTACGTGTACAAGTTATAATTTGGTGCTTTAGACTCTTACACGTCTTTGTCAATAAATATAAATAATTTTCACCTAAGTGATACCCACAGACTCTAAAAAGTAAGCACATACTAAATATAAACTCGTCAGAACCAATGCGAGTCATGAAATAGATCCCTTCATAATCTGTTTTGCTTTTTTTCTTAATGACATCAGTGTAGCATTGACAACTTGTAGAGCTTTTTGCCCTTTAACCAATTTAAGCTCCGCCAGGACAACTATACAGTGTAATGTTGTTTTTCAGTTTAATAACCGGAGAGATTACACTTTTCATCTGTCTGTCCCCGTCAAGTCGTCTAATTTGTCGGGAACAAATGAGTTTTAACAAATTCTCATGTTCTTTTTGCGGTTGCAATGTCAAGAAAATTTCGTGATGTAGGACTTCCGATTGCTTTTCACCAAATAGAATAAAAATCGGTGTATGTTGATTTACTGTAACCACAGCATCCGTTTTCAAGTGCTTATTCTAAGAGAAGCCATCCAGGAATAGCCCACCGCAACTCAATGCCAATTTACCGATGTGATAAGACTTGACATGTGCGTCAAATATGGCTCCATTTTACCGCTGACGGGAGTGTTACTTATTTATCAAACTTACAAGTTTGAGCTGTGCAATATAAACATTATTAGCCCGATAGCTCGCGGCAGCTCGCGCCATTAAAGCAAAGACCTCCCACCAGGTGTTGATATCTTATGGGTGCACGTCCACAGTTCTCTACACAAAATGGGTTTCTTGTTACAAATTTGATGAAGATTAAGTTGCTTCACGCCGCTTCCAGCGCCTCTTTTTTTTTGTTGCAGCCCTCAGTGCTTTACCTTTGAAACTTAGAGCGGCTAAGGTGTCGTCGCTTTCAAAGTGCATCAAGGCAGTTAGTTTTCATTCTCGTGAATAAAGAGCGAAATTCTCCAAGTCATTTTGCTTGAAGTTACAGGAGTCAGTGATGACACCAGTGAGGCACTTCTTGATATTTTCTTTTGGCTTGATCTGGATGAGTGCGACAGATGTGAGCTCTTTTGGAGCCGGGGCAAGTGAAGGTAAGTTCGTGTTTTCTACCATTTCAGAGCGTGTATGCAGTCCGTGTCACGTTCCTACCCTTAGTAGCTTTGGAATATATTGGCTAATACCGCGGTTTGTACAAATGTGCAGAACTTATTCTCATTTCGTAATATGTGTACTGAGATGAGTTTCGAGCAAGATTTGAGCTTGTCATTCATTGACCTAGACAAACGAAGCTAACTTGCGTGTGTAACTCTGACGAACTCTTTTCAGCCAGATTGAAAGTTTCTCCTAATGGCAAAAAACATTTTTTCTTGTTCAAATGGTTGACGTGTTTATAATACGTTCATGGACTGGAAATTACCTCTATAATTGAAAGATTAGTAGTGCAAGCGATGATAGTTTCCTCTCTAGCTATCAAAACTTTATTTTTCCATTCCTAAAGAGAATACATGGTTCTTCCCCCACACGGATTGCGGCCAGATGATGCCAGGATTTTGATCTTATCTTGTATTTTCTGTTTACCTTATTTTTAAAGCGTTTCATTGCATATCAAAACAATTTCAAAAGGGAAAAATTCACTGACATTAAACATGCTTTCTAAAATTGTCGCACGGATTCTCTGAGAGAGTGAGAACGAATCGTATTTCGAAACGTATTTCTCCTTGTTTCATCGTTCTAAAATGTTGTATTCAAGGCTTCTTTAGATAAATGTTTTATGTTATACTTCGAGGTCCTCAGAGATACTACTACGACAAATGAAAACATGCACCTTTAATTATAAGAAATTAGCACAGAGAAGTTGTTGTTGTCCTTTTTGAAAGCTCCTGCCACAAGAAAAGCAATGATTGACGCATCATTCAACCGCTGTAAAATAGTTCAAGCACTGTCACTGAGGTCCAGATCCATTCCATTATTCCGTAAGTCATACGTCGAAAAATAAGACAATCTTTTGGCGATCATGTTTCGCGGGTAGGTCCTATCAAAGGCAAGGATCACTCATACCTGCAAATTGTCAAAGGTTGTAATGGCTGTATTACTGGCTTGACCACTCAACACATACACTAAGAAATGACTCGTTCAGAATATTCGCAATTCGTTACACTGTTGACAACGGGAGATCTTGGAGGAAACGTGCTTTACTCTTTATTTCAACGTTACAGTAATTAATGTTGTAAAAGATAACGTCTGTGAGGTAAATCAAAATATAAATCGTTCGGTACTCATTCGCTTTCTTATGCTCACTCTCTCAAGACCGTTTATTGCTTGCAGACATTTTAGCTTATTTATTGCAGATGATATCTTCCCAAGGTCACCCGCAGTATAACAGAGTGACCCCCAGATCACGCAAATCATCATAAAATTAACGGATTAAGGGAGAAAAAAGTGTATATCTGCACTTGTACTAGGTCCGCACTGTTCAGACCACACAAAGAAAGTCCCTTTCATTAATTATCATATTCCGTTCGTGTAACCTTTTAAAATCTCGTGCTGAGTTTCCTTTGCGCGGCTTCTCTTCATTGCGCAGTTGTAAACAGGAAGCTAAAAAATGTTGATTTATTTTGCCGTCTGTCTCAGTATGCGTTTCCGGAATAACCTAAGGGTTGAAGCAACAATGAATTAATTTCGGCGGTGTTATAGACGGAGATTTTCTAACGCTGGCATCACTATTCAAGCTGTACATCTGAAGTATTCGTTAATGTGGGAGCAAATGGCGCATTCATTTTACAAGGTTACTCTTCAGGAAATCTCTCACCGGGCAATTATCATCCAAACGGGGAGTAATTTTTCTAGCAACACCGTTACGCCGAAGCACGCAAAGCATTTTGGGTTCGCTTTGATTTAAAAAAAAAAAAATCCGCCCCAAATTTTGTCATAGGTTAGTATGGCACCCGAATATCTCTTGTGTGGTAGGATAAATAGAGCTCTATGTTTTTAGACGCTTTTAGTGTTACCAACAAAAATGATTTTTTAATTCTCTTGACACATTGATTTTATGCCACCAACAAAGTCTGTTTAAATTAAGATTGTAGGTATAATTGAAAAGCAGACATTAAAAGATAGTGTGTTAACCCCATTTTTTCCCACCTCACCCGCATACAGGAGAGAAGAGGTTTTGGGAAAAATCCACAGCAGTTCTAAGTCAGTTGCATGTTTATAGCCATGACATGTAATTGAAGAGCACACGTCGAGAGACAATGTTTTAGCAACCTTTTTTTTTCTCTTTACGGGCAAAAGGGGAAAGGCACTTTTGGGAAAGAGGAAGGAAACTCCTTGTTTTCTTTTCGGCCAAGATCCAAGACTAGAATCCGTAACTACGTTTGTATTCCAATGACACGATAATTTTGCCGTTTGGGTGCGGCGGAAGAGAAGATTTGCCAATATACTGAAATTATTTTTTTTCGGTGACAAATGTATCAATCAATACAATTTTTAGTTTGTATTTTGCTGTCTCATTTGTCCTCCTACCTCTAAAGGGTCTTTAATAATTGTCGCCTGAGTGCCACGCACACTGTCAATCTTTTTGCGTCATGATGTATCACTATGCTTTCGTTGCCATGAGAGCATAAACCCCGACAGGAGGCATCGTTAAAAGAAAGTGTTTTGAAAGGAAACAACGAATTGTTTTGCACACCTCGTAAATATTGGCTTGAGTCTTTTTTAAAAGTTCATTTTTGTTGTGAAAGATTTTGTTAGTTAAGTAGGATTTAGCAATTTGTTTGCATCAAGTATTTAGTTACTGATTGAATTCAAAGTCCCGAGTTGGGTGGGTTTAAGCTATCGCTATGAACTTACAAGTTGTGTCTACCTTGTCTAACTTCCATTAGTGGGTGTGTTTTGTTTGTTCACGAACAATGTCTTGGACCCACACGAAAGACTTGATTGGCTTGCGCAGTCAAAGATTGATTTGATTGATCGAAAACATGAAGAACGTTGCCTTTAATTTTCGAGATTCCTGTAAAAAAGTTTGGGTTAGCTTTCTGACAACAAATGTTTAATTCTATAAGGTCAGTTTGCTAGCATGTTCACTTATGCCTATTGATAGTGAGTATCAGAGCGTGTACTTTGGAGTTAGCAGTCAGTGAGAATCAGAGAGCGCAACTTATCAGTCAATCAGAGTCGGAGTAATTAAAGATAAGGGTGAAATAAAAATGATAAAATCGGATTGTATTAGAGAATGGAGATTAAAGAAAACTGAAAAGGACGGAACGAGAGTACTTGGTGCCTTTCGCTGAGCGTGAAGCGCTATGTAGCTTGTTTTTTCCTGATATTACGACTCAACATTTTAAAAGGAACCCTCCCAATCGACGAACGGATTCTTTTGAAACCCAAAACAGATTGCGTGAAATGAAGAGACCCTTTTTGTGCGTTGACAGGTAAATTACCTCGATCTCAACCAATGTCTTTCCATTTGTAGTTAGAACATGTGACGACCCTGGCTTTCCAAAGAACGGCTTTCGTGTGGTAGGAGACTTCAGATACAAGGCCTCCGTTGAGTATTTTTGCAATCCGGGATTTATATTCATCACAGGAAATCGGTTACGTCATTGTCAAGGGAATGGAAAGTGGAGTGGGACGTTACCAACATGTAAAGGTTAGTGAAGTAACACGGTAGCGCAATTGAGCAACACACGTAAGAGCTTCTGTCGTTTGTGCTTTCTTGCCGCCTTCTCCTCTTAAAAGGTAAATATAGTTTTTGTTACAACACTTTATTTGCCCCCTGTAAGAAATTAACAAGTAGCCTTCCATGCAATTTTTTTATAGGGCTGCAGGCTGCAAAACATGTACTAAGTCATCCTCAAATAATTGCCTAGACTAGCTATCAAAAGGCGGTGGGAACTAACAAAAACTCGAGTCTCTTTTACTGTAGACAATAAGACTATGGGTTAGCTCAAGTGGTATCCTCAAATTTTAACTTTAGCAGTAACTTCCTTGATGAGATGAATGGCTAATATGTTAAGTTCCATCATATGCATTATATTCCTTTCACAATCTGGCGACAGTTTTCACATGGATGTTATACGAGCGAGTTTTGAATTGGCAGAATTCTTGTGTGGCTGACTTGTTCTGGCGTCCCAATGGTGTACACGTGCCGCCTCTCCCCACCTTTTGTAGTTCAAGACCCCTCCTTGGTTAGAGTCTAAAGAGATGAAACTAAGTCCACAAGTTATAATTTTCCGGTTTGACTACTATTACTTCATTTGTTAGAGCAATTGGTCACGTTAAATAACATTGACGAGAAACTTACCGCTTCCTAAACATATGTATGGAGGATGAACTCAGCTTATGCATACTTGAGGCTGAGTCCATACGCAAGTGTTAATTGCATGTTTTAATAGACTTATCGAAAGAATCCGATAGGTTTTTCGGCCTTGCCTTTCCTTGACTTTACATCTTACTCCTACATTCGAGACAAATCTAATGTCCTCTGCAGTTTTTCTCGAACAACAAAACACTGTACATTGGCACATTCGCATCTCATGACCCTCTGGATCATGGTTTGATCTGTTTTCATACAGATATCAACGAATGCATTGAATACGACGATTATGCAAACCCGTACACCACCAATGACGTTCAAGTAGAGCATAATCATCTATGTCACGCAGAGGCAACGTGCATCAACACTATTGGGTCGTTCCACTGCAAGTGCAAGCCAGGTTACTATGGTGATGGGAAGTTATGTTTGTCTAATAAATACGTCATGGTTGCGGCTTTGTTTCGAAGTAAGTGGCAAACAGCCATTTTATTTACAACTGAAATGAAGCTTAACCGTTGAGCTGCCAGGTTTTAATTTGCTTGAAACGCATTTAATAAGATCGTCAAAAATAACCAGAGCTTATTTGTGTAAATAGATGTTTCAGAGCCTTTGAGATTTCTTTAATTGCATCATAAAAATTGGGAGCACAGTAATTTATTTTTCCTTATTGGCTTAAAGAAATCCCTAATCATGCTCTCTATGCTCTTAGTATTATTGATTTGCTCTCTAGAATGTTAAGCAGGTCACGTGGATTATCTTGCGATGTTTTTACTACTAGTGGTACTATCCCAAATAGTTCAAGTTGCCTGATTAGTCCTGTTCGTAACATGCATCCTTTTCCTTGCTGTAGAAAAAAATAAGGCGTCAGCTTATATGTGTGGCACTTTGGGAAATACTAGGAATGCTACACGAATCAGACGGATCGTAGGAGGAATATCTTCTGCGCACGGCTCCTGGCCGTGGCAAGTCGCCATAACCTATAATAGTACAAGTAAGTACATCAAGTGATTTATGAACAGAAGCCCCTCTAGGGTGTCTTTACCATTAAAGTGATTCAAAGTGGCATTATTCTCAAACGGATAAGAAACGACATCGGGGTATTTGATCTTAGAAATGGAGGTATTTAAATAATACAAATGGCTTGGTTTAATACCTCGGTTGTCCGGATCCCACTGATACCCATAATTGACGAAAATATGTTAGTTAAATTATCACTAATGCCATTATGTGGATTTATTTCTTACGAATGTATTAGAGGAGCAAATACTAATGAGATAACCTCAGTTCAACCGCCCTTAAAACAACAACAAAAGATAAACAAGATGATGATAAAAAATTACTGCTAAAAATATTTGATAAAATGGAGCGGTCGACAGTAATCAAGCAACGCCAATGACACAAGCAAGCAAAATCATTTAGGTTCGCATATATACGCTTCACTTAACTTTCTTTTCTTTAAGATGCTGCTTTTTTCGTGTGTTTCGTCATTGTAAATTTTACGGATGTCGATCGACATTTGAACATTTATGCTTCAGTACAAGCATTTGAAATTCCGCATGTTTTCTTTTACCTTCTAGAGAGATATAACTTCCTCTTTAACGGAGCACTTATAAAACCTGGATGGGTCCTCACAGTCGCCAACATTCTTCAAGTGAAGAAAGGCGCTAAGCCAATAAAGCCTCACAAATTACGCGTGGTGTTAGGTACGTTTAACTTCAGAAATTTTTTCCAAAAACTTCATTCCTTGTGGAGATGGCAAAGAAATCAATCAAGCAATGAAATTTATCAAAACACTCTTGTTGCAAAACAACAAAAACAACAATAACAGCAAATTACAAAGTAAATGGTACTTAGGCTGCGAAAGGTTGTGGGCCATGGTTTTTTTTTCAGTACATCTAGGCTACCACAAACCCTTTGTTCAAGTTACTCGACTATCTATTTTTTTTATATAGGAGAATTCAACCGCAATAAATTGGACGGAACGGAAACGCCCATCCGCGTTAAAAGAATAGTTATACATCCGGGATACGATCGATACTCAATGGCCCATAACATTGCTTTGTTAGAGTTGGAGAACCCTGTGAAGCTAAATGATCATATAAGGATGGTAAGTTGGCGTGTGGTTGCCATCATAAGTCGCTTATTTCTGCTGTTGCTTTTGGGATTAACGAGGATTCTTGGGATGGGAAAAGCATAGAATTAAGGTGTGACCGAACCTTCTCCGCTGAAAAATATAAGTTTGCAGTGAGTAGAATGTTCATGGCACACGTTTATCTGTTAAATAAATGTAATTGTTCTGGCTAGCTAGGCTTAATTTACTTTTTTTTGGTTTTGTTCAAGGTGTGCATACCAAAGCGCAAGAGAGACAAAGTTTTGGAGAAGCCGTTACGGTACGGGACAGTGGCAGGATGGGGTTCCACCAAACCAATTAGGCTCGGCGAACCTACTGGACCTTTGTCAGCTGTGCTTAGAGAGGTTACGGTGCCGATAGTCCCGGATAAGGAATGCAAGGAAGCTTCAATTTATACCTACCATAGGGAAAGCACGTTCTGTGCAGGATTCAAAAAGAAGCCCAAAGATCCGTGTTTTGGGGACGTGGGAAGCCCTCTTGTCATGCAGCACCCTCGCTCTGGGCGCTGGATTGTTATCGGACTGTTCGGTTGGAGCGAAGGTTGCGGAAGACCCAGAAAGTACGCGTATTACACAAGGGTTTCAAAATACAGAAAGTGGATAAATTCTAACGTCAAAAGAGGCCATTAGCTGAAGAAAATCAAATCAAACATTTGATCGTAGGTTTTTCTATGTGTTAAGTGTGAAACCACTTGCGATTTTCCTATCAAAAGGGGAAAACCACTTAAACAAACTACTCAGGCGTGTTTCCCTTGTAATAACAATTGACATTAGAGTTGAAGTATGGTGACTTAGAACATTTCTAAGGGAAAGAAAAGGGTATTCTCTGGTACTTAAGTAGCAGCGATATCTGGTTTCTCATTTTTTGTTTGGTTTTGTCGTCTTCGTTAAACATTTTCTTGTGTAGCTTAATTTGCTTCATTTTTGCTCCTTCATTTTCCAACAAGGCTTATTAAGACCTTTCTGAGAAATATTTCTCCTCTCACTGCGTTAAACTACTTTATGCGGTGACCGGAACTGCAGTCCGTATTGGGACTACTCTTTTGTCTGCGAAGCACCCATTACCGAAAATACGTCGTACTTAATGATATACTCCCATTAAGTTTAATACATGGTACTCCCACTTAAGCTTGTACTCTCACTAAGTTTTGCTAGGGCGGAACAATTTACTCATTTTGGCAGATCTAAAGCTCTGTCGTAATTCAGAGGGAACGTGTGACACCAATAAAAGATTGCTTGTTAACTTAAAATTTCAACTTTGTCACCATATCTTCGTTGATTAAGATAATTGTTTTAAATTATCTTGGTTGACAGTTGTTTATGCTGATAATATCATTTCATTTTCAAATTACTATCGTTGTACGTTGCGCATGCTCGTTCCGTCACAATAAAAATAATGTGACGGCGATGAACTAATTCCAACTTAGTATCATTTTTACTCTTGATAAAGAGAGGAAAAGGACGCGGAAACGTTTTTAAAGTTTCCAAATTAGTTCAGCTGTGAGAATGAACTGTTAAACATGGACTTTGCAAATAGGAAAGGAATCAATAAACATTGATTGGCTTTCTATGAAAGCTAACCAAAAAACCTCAAGTTTGAGTTTCAGCCCATCACCTCTTTCATTATTGTCACGGGAACTACCACCACCTGTTTTTTTACAAATGATGTTTTTCCTATCTATTTATTTATGTATTTATTCATTTATTCATTTTTCTTTTAACACACTTATAGATTACGGGAAAAATTGTCGCCCATGTGCTTATTCTTAAGTTGAAAGTCCTGGCGGTAACCGCTTTCACATGGTTACCGCAGTATAGGAATTTTAAAATTTCCTGAATTTTTTCCTGAATTTTCCCTGAAAATATAAAATCAAATTTCCCTGACCAATAGAAATAGCTATTGTACAAACGAGTCCTGATAATGGCCTCCAACCGCCACTCGCAGCCATCCTCGCCGCCCTTAGCATTATGCTTTTACCAAGTCACATGCAGTGTACATTAATTGATAGTTTAAATAACACGGTAAAGGGATTGATTTGCTTTGAAACCCAACATCAGCTGGTCGTTCACCAAACAAAATTTTACCAATCTAATCCAACTCCTTTCATTTCTGTGAAATGTACTAAAGAATTATTTTAATGTTAGAAAACAATAAAGGAACAAAAGTCAAATGCATGATTTCATTTACAAAATAATTTGAACTTGTATTACAAAGGAATGAATGAACTGGTCAGGAATCTGTCAACTGTACTAAGCCATGTACATGAGGAACATCAGCATCACTATCTTTCGTCATGAAGAGTGCCAAGAAGATGAACGAAACCGTATTTACTTTCAATTTCCCCGACGCAAAGTGTAATTTTCTGACTTTTCCCTGACCTTGAAGAACTTTATTTTCCCTTAAAATTTTCCTGACCTGTGTGAGGCAACCATATCACAGTCAGGATCGTGTTTCTACCAAAATAATTGGCGAAATAGAATGAACTGCACTGCTTTTTCCGGAATAGATTTCGATTTCAAAATATGGCTCAGCTCCAGTAACATTACTAGAACTTTCGAGAAACGGGTTTCAGCGATATCGATATCAGTATTTTTCCCCTCCACGCGCGTTACCTTAGCGTGTGTCTACAGAGCAGTGCGTGACCGTGTTGACTTGGCTCGCGCGCCTCAAAATCGTGCCCCGGAGGGGTGGTTATAGTTTTGTAGAGGTTTTCGGTGAGGTTCTGTCCAAACTCACTGACTCCCATACTACGAGTACATAATTCTTCCCCCTCCTCTCTCATTTTTTTTCCGACAACTGCCACAGCTTATTAGACAAGACCGTGCTGCCTTTGGAAAATATCCAGCTGTGAAAGAAAATAGCCATTTCTTAGTAATGACATCATTTTCCGGTTGAGCTACAACAGCACGTTCCTGTTTAGCTGAGACGAATTAAAAATTGACCGTAACACGAGGAGCTCATTTTGACGAAGCGTTTCAGTAATGCGTCGGAACGGAGGCTGTTAAAGCGTAGAATTCGCACCGATATATAGAACAATGTGGAAAACACTTCTCTTGGGGGCGATTTTACTTTGCTGTTATCCAGTCATTGAGAGCAACCCAAAGCAGAGTGGTAAATATGGTTCATTACATACTCTAGGATCTTTACAGTTTCGTCTTAATCGACCTCCTCGTTTTCATAGGCTCTAATGGCTGCCCCAGAACAAATAACGTGCGATTCTGTGGCAAGACTTGCTCGACTGACGGAGATTGCAAAGGAAATAGAAAATGTTTATGTGACGGAGACTGTGGAATGATTTGCGTTAAAAACAGTAAGTGTATATGATTGTATTTGCCGATAGGTCTTTGAACGAAGATTTCTAGAAAACAGAAGGAAAATTCTGAACCAACGATAAATGGACGTGTCTTTTTTCTTAACTTGACTTAACGTGTAATGTATTTGACGTAGGCGCTTTTTGAAAGAAGTACACGCATATAGAAATTTCAGAACTCTGTCTAGAGAACATATCTTTACGGTTATACGACGTAAACATAATAATTACGAAACTGTAATGCATTCAGAGATATTTCTCTTAAACATCACCAAAAAACGCAAACAGAAAACACGACTAAGATTACGTTCAATGTGAACCAAGATGTCCTCAGCTTTCCATTATACTGAGAGAGTAGTTCTATGTGATCTAATCAAACGCATTTATTGACAAGGATTCTTGATAAGACATTACATTCCCCACCGTGGGTCACGCAATTTTATAATCAAGATTATTCGTGATGAACGGGCTACCAGCGTGACGCGACGAAAGTGGCATAGAAATTCCTATTACGTTTTGGGCGAGGCATAATATCTTAATAAAGAAGTAAATACCCCATTTTTTGCCTCCTGAATACAGTTACTTATACTTAGTTCTTCAGATTATTTTGTGGATATGTTAAAAGAAGAATCAATGAATATGCTATCAACGCTTCATTCGCAGTGAGATTACTCCTCTCAGTACACTGGCCCACTTACAAGCCTTTCTGAATTGGGCCTGCCCGCTCGTATGAGACCTTTGTTAGCCTAGGGCTTAACTGTACAAAATGACTAGTGAAAAATGAAGCTGCAAATGCACCAATAACATTTGAGGAATTTGAAACGATTATGATTCATGAGGAACTACGCCATCAAATCTTCAAGTGGAAAAATGCATGTCTAAAAAAAGATACAGGCTCCTGGTCATATAATTATTTCGTTCCATGTATCGTATCAACAAATAAAAAGTACGACGAGTGCCCAACTTTCTAATTTCACATCTTTTTTTGTAGACCTCAGATGTGAAAACTTGCCTAAGGTAAAAAACGGGCGTTCCAGCTTCAGCAACACCAGCTACTTTCGCAGCGTGGTGACATATAAGTGTAAGAAACCGTATAAACTCCGCGGCTCAGAAACACGAACTTGTAGAGCTACAGGAAAATGGGATGGAGGAAAAACGAGATGCAGTAAGTATGATGCATAAAATTCAATGTGTGTTCCTACAATTTATCAATCCGAGCGTTCTTCCGATTATCCAATCATCCATATTTAATAGTTTAAAATCCTTTCTCAGGATAGACATTTTTTTCTTTTATTATTTTTTCCTACGGCCCTGACATAATTTTTCAATTTATCCGTCCGTGCTTCCATTTATTCACATTTTATGCATTCGCTTATCTTTGGCCTGTTCGTTGTTTAGTCCAGTCTTTATCGTTTCCTAGGATAAAATTCGATTGGTTAATCTTTTCGCAAAGTGCGCGTTCATTCAGTGAAAGTCATTTGGTACAGTAAACAATTCAGTTCACAAATCATCAACATAATCATCGGATCATTTCTTCGCTATTGACAGAACCCTTTTGTCAGGATCCAGGGGAAATCCGTTATGGAAACAGACGAACTGTACGTAATAAGGGTGTGAAGTATATTCATTTCTGGTGTTATGATGAAGATATGTATAAAATGGTAGGAACTCCTCGAATACGGTGCCAGGAAAACGGACAATGGAGTGCTCCAAAGCCAAAATGCATCCGTGAGTAGTTGATGTGGGATAAAGAATATACTAAATTTTACAACTTAACAATGCTTGGTCGTCAAATGAACCGCTGAATGAAATAAATCGAAGTCTTTGATGAGTTTAAACATCAAATAAACTTTGATATTCTTAATTTTTTTTTAATAATTCGCAAGTCAGAATTAGAATGAAAAAGTCACAACATTATTCATGCAAATATTTCGGTTTAGCTAAAAAAGACGACTGAACAATCTGAAAGCATGCAGACGGAAAGAAGTTAAATTTTTTCTTTTTGTTGTAAACGAAATGCTTAACCTCTTTATTAACCGTCTCCAGTTGTTCTTGTTGATAGAAAAATGTAGCCGTTATGAACATCATATCAAAAGGAATCGATTTTAAAGGGAAATATGATCTAGGAGTTACTGGGTTACTAAATTTTCTCGATCTGTCCACTTCTTGAGTATATCTCGTGATCACGGCTTGTATAGAAACTCAAAGTTATTACGTTCTCTTATTTGTTCGTTCACCAGCTCCTTTTTGATTTCCCATTTCTCAGTTTTATATTTTCTTTCCATGTTTTTTGTTTGAATGCCACTTTGCAAATGCTTTTGGTTATTATTTTTATATATTATAGCAATAGCCCTATACACTATAAACAAATAGGCCTGAATCTCTTTGAATGATAGCACTGTGTGCTTTTTAAATTTTAATTCTGTGTAGTTCCTTCATGTGACAAGCCGAACATTCCAGACGAAGCTGCTGTAATCTATCCACGGTCAATGGATAGGGAATTCAAGTACGGTGACAAAGTGCTATTGAAATGCAAGGAAGGATACTTTAAGTCAGGACTTGGTGTTTACCAATGCAAGAAAGGAAACATATGGAGTGGAGGCATCACTTGCTCACGTGAGTTTAGTCTGATTAGAATTACACTGCATACTCACTCCGTGCTGACTCGCCAAACTTAGTCAGAAAGATATCTCAATCAAACGCCAGATCATTGGGTCATACTATTGAGCATTTTTACTGGGTACTGATGCACATGCATGGCTTTAAGTGCATTCTAGCTTAGAAAAAGAAATACCAAAAAAAAAAAAGAAAAATAAAACTCTCTTTCTTTACCCTATAGATGGAAAAAAGTAGGTTACGAGAAAGACGGATAAATTGTTGGTTTAGTTATCCATTTTTTATTGAATAAGGCCGTTTTCTTTGGAGTTTTAAGCTTCCTTACGCGATGAAAAATTCTTATAATAAGATCACGCTGGATTTTTTTTTTCATATTTTTACTCCACGGTATCCTTCATTTGATTTTCCCTGCGTTGTGTCTGTGGTAGAACTAACCAGCAATTTAAATCAAAATGGATCTTGCTCACATAGTATTTGATTAAGATTCTTATCAATTTCATCAGCTAAAAGCTGTGGCCGCCCAAACGATATCCCTAACGGAAAGATCATAGGATACGTATATTCCTTTAAAGAAAAGATCAGATACGAGTGCAATGAAGGCTACAATCTTAAAGGACCATCTTATAGAACATGCCAGGCTAACGAGAAATGGGGAGATAAAGACCCTATTTGTGAAGGTAAGATATTCGATCTTGTAAATATTAGGATCATAAGTATTACAGTTTTGTGAGGAAAATATATAAATTTTTCCAAATTTACAATTGTTTTCCCCTAAATTAAACACGAGTGAGAACGATGCATGTAACATGGATTTGCAAGTCAGATGTTGGAATTATGGATCAACCACTAGTCCTCAGAGAAAAATCTTGCTATTAATGTAGATACTACTTTGAAATAAAACTGATTTTCGTTTCGTTCATTTAATGAAGGCAATAAGGAACACGTGGATTTTCGTGCACTATTTCCTCGAAAATCTCTTAAGAATTATTTAATAGCTGCCCTATACACTTATGTCAGCAGTTAAACAGCAATTTGAGGGGAGTGAATAGGTAAGAATAATTTATGGCGTATTGATGAAAGAGTAATAGACTGTTTTGAACGTACGAGAAACGAAATACGCATTAAAAAAAGATAAAAATATTGGATAGGTAAATAAAAAATCTGCGCTCGAGCCAAGCAAGCTTATCCCGGTTTTTATAGTATGAAGCAACTAGGTGTATTAATACTCCCGCTTGGTTGAAAGATACCAGTTCATCACAAGGTTACCCCCAAAATTCGCCGGTACTCATTTATAATGAGTAAGGGGGGGGGGGAGCATTGACCAACGCAATGACCAAGTTAGGTCTCGAGGCAGAATTTCTCGGAGTCCAGGCCACCAACAATTCGGTTACCGCATCCCACATATGGAAAATAACATCGAATATCATTTTTATTCTCGTTTGTTGTTGTTGTTGTTGTTGTTTTTCGAAAGTTGCGGATTGTGGCCCCTTACGAAAGCCAGATCATGGAGATATAATAGAGCAAGTGGCGTTTACCTATGGAAATAGAATAGTGTTCGAATGCACAGATACGGGTTATGAGATGAAAGGATCAAGAGTAAGGACATGCCAAAGTGATGGAACATGGAGTGGCTCTCCTACAACATGCGAAAGTACGTTAGAAAAAACTAATCAGCCAAAGAAGTCACATATAGATCACGTTGAATATTTTAATAATGGTATTTGCTTTGCAACAGAATTGTAACCTTACTAATTTGACTGATAAATTGATTGATTGACTGAGTGACTGACTACTGACAGACGGACTGACGAACTGATTGACTGATAACCTGCCTGGCGGATCGACTGATTGCGAGTTCCAATAAAGTTTGTATATATGTGTGTATCGAGTGGTCAACTAATTAACTGATAGATAACTTGATCGATTTATTATTGCAGTTGTTCAGTGCGGAGATCCTGGGACACCCACGAACGGAAAACAAATTGTAAACAAAGGTTTCGAATATGGTGGATCCGTGGAATTTAAATGCTACAAAAATTACACTCTGGAAGGGACGCGCATAATCTACTGCCGAGCGAATAAACTATGGAGTGCTTCAGTACCGCATTGTCGAGGTCAGTATCATTTTATAACAATCTCTTAAATTGATTGTGTGGTCTGTTAGTTCGGGTTAGAGTGGTACCGAGGGGACTGTTGTTGGTTATTGTGACTGACGTTTCGAAAATCTTAATGGATGTTATCATCAGAGTCACGTGATGCGCTGTCTCTTGCCTGGTTCCCGATTGGCCAATTTTCCCGAGGTGTGTTGACTTAAAGAGTTGTGAAAGTTGGTGGTTATGGGTTAGTTTCGATCCTTGGCCGTGGGTTTAGAGTTGAGTCGCTCCGTTCGGTTCTTCTGTCGAACGAATTGTTATTATTTTCTGCCCTTTTGTACACACTCAACTGGAAAAGCATTGCTCAGGAAAAGTATGAACCATGAAAACTGAACTCTGGAAAAACAATTCAGAGGAACGACCTTCCTTCTAAAGGTGATCATTAAAGTACACAAACCAAGAAACTCCCACTTATTTCGAAGAAAAATTGGATGGAATCCCTTGCCTTTTTTTTCTTATGGTGATAAGAATTCAAAATACCAGTCGTAAACGTGCCAAAAAGGATCATTTCATATGGTGCCAATTGCATTTGTAGTCTTCCTTGCGTCATAAAAAATCCTGTTCTCTAACAAGTAATTTCTCTTTTGGGTTTTACAGCTTCCTGCAAAGATCCTGGCAATCCTTTGAATGGGAGAAAGGTTAACCATGACTTCCGTCACAAAAAAACAGTGTCTTTTACCTGTCAAAAAAATTACGCGTTAGAGGGAGCGCGAACAATTACATGTTCAAACGGCCAGTGGAGTGCTAAGAGGCCACTTTGCCTTGGTGAGTTTTTCCAGAAAAATTATGATAAATGCAAGATCCTGCATGTTGTTCAAAGGTCTTAGTTTCCTTAGTTTCATGATACCAAGCTCAAAACGCATTCCAATCGTAAATAGATTGCATTCAGAAACTAACTTTAACAGCTTGTCGTTACTGAATTATTTAAATGGACGTGGAAAGCCGGGATAATTTTTTTGCTTATTTTTTCTTAACACACCTAAAAAAATCACTCAAAAGACAATATTAAAAGTTACGAGCAAAAGGTGAAAAAGCTATCTATGAATTTGATGTGAATTTTCCTCTCCTTAGCACTTTGTCCTGCGCCCATTGCACCAACGAATGGCAGAATACAGGGCAAAGACTTCAGACATGGGCGGTCTATAAAGTTTTGGTGTTCCCGTGGTTACACAAGAGTTGGTGCTTTTTCGGTCACATGCAAGGAAGGAAAATGGGGCGCACCATTTCCAGTGTGTAAAGGTCAGAATTGTTATCTTGTGCTTGCCATTACTGTAAATAGCGCAATTTAATACATTTCAACTACTTTCTCCTACATGGGTGTTCAAGAACTAAGAAAATCTATTATGACAACAGCAATTTATAACAATGTGATATAAAATAAGAGGGAAATCAAGAATAACAATATAAATAGAAACAAACTCAATAAACAATAATAAATTAATCAAATTAGAATGAAAAAGACTGTTTCCATCGTTCAAAAGGCTTGATGACTGAAATTCTTATGTTCCAGCCCAAATCATTTCAACGCCAGTACTAGATAAAGTTTTACAGTTAAGATGGCCCATGAGTTAAAAAATTTTAGATCTTTCTAGAGCAGATGCAAAGGAAAACGGTTTTCAGACCTCCTACTTTAATCGCATTGTGAAACTTTGGAATTACCCTTGTTCTATTGCTCCTAGTCTTCTAGTCAGGCGTTGGAATGGGGTGCGTTAGCACACTGATTGTAAACCTTTGTGAAGGAAAAGTAGAATGCAAATTCAGACTTTTTCGATTAATGACAATTTAACCATGTAACGAAAAATAGAGAAGTACCATACAACCTAATGTTAAGGGGAATATGTAGGCATTTAGAGAACACAGTTTTCCTAATGAATACACCGGCGCTGACCTATAAATATCACAGATCTTTTCTAGTTCTTAGATAATATCTTAATTGCTCACTGCCGAATGGTAACTAATAAAATAACAATATTCTACTTGAAAATGTACGTCTAAAAGGCAAAGAGCAATTTAATGATTACCTTTGAGCTTAATTTAGTAATTCTTTCCTGTTTGACTCCGTAGCATCATGTGCTAGGCCCAGCATACCTGCGAATGGCAGAATAGTGGGAAATATCTTCAGTCATGGAAAATCTGTATGGTTTTACTGTTCGTTTGGCTATACAAGAGTTGGCGCCGGTTCGATTAAATGCGATGATGGCAAATGGGATAAGCCGTTTCCAGTCTGCAAAGGTGAGAAATGTGTTATTTTTCGCAACTACATGCATTCATGATGAGTTAAGTAACGTTTGCTTTACGATAAATTAAAGGCATCTGCCCAACGCCGAGCGCTCCACGAAACGGAAAATTGGGTCAGAAGGTATCTCTTGACAAACGTTTCCTTGACGGAGATGAAGCAACATTCTCCTGCAACCGCGGGTATGACTTGATTGGTAAAAAGAGACTTCGCTGTGTTGGAAAAGTATGGGATTTTGGAGAGCCTGAATGTAAAGGTGAGGATGTTCCAGCCCTTTTGAATAAAAGGTATCCCTTGAGAAATATTTTTGCTTCAATGACTGGTGACCGCTTGAATTAATAGCTTTTTAGTTTTCCTCTCCCGCCCCCTTCCCTTCTCCCTTTTAAGAACAGTTCTGATTATGAAACACAAGCCAATCAACGTATCCTCAAGAAAGGAAAAATCGTTATAGAGGTTGTAGGGAATTTGTTCTTTATGCAAAAATCGAGACTGACTCAAACTGTTCTGCCGGGAAACGTGATATTAACAGCATCTAATATACCAGTATCAATTTGCTTCCGCGATCACATACAGACGACATTTGAGTCACGGCTCCTCGAAAAGCAACTCCTGCGGAACCTCTCTTAATTAAGATGAGAAGTAAATAATTCCTTTGATCATAGAAGATACTTTCTAGGGTGTTTCTTCCAGGATTTCTCATTATAAGTTATTAATATGTATCATGAAGATACAATATTCAGTAAATGACTTAAAGAAACTTTACGTGATGACATAATACATTTGCGAAACTTACACCACGTAATCAACATACTTTTCAAATTCTTTTAGCTCCATGCAATCCCCCAGGATTCCCAGCAAATGGCAAGGGGAAATGGCGGGACCTTAAACACAACTCGTGGGTAACATTTTCTTGTGATAAAAAATATCAGCTTGAGGGAAGAAGACAAATGCAATGTAAAGATGGCATTTGGAGTGGTAACCGTCCTAAATGTGTCGGTAAGAAAATTCGAATAAGATGTTCCTTTGAGTTCTAATTCATATGGAAAAGAAATTCTGAGCGATATCAGTTGTTTTGTTTTTACATAAAAATCGTATATCCCTTTTTTCTTTGGTCTTCTCCAAAGTGTGGTTATGGCGTTGCACATTGTAGATATATTGTGACAACCCCATTCTAAACTGTACTTGTTTTTATAGTTCTTCTCCTGTCTTTTCTGATCTTTGAGACTTTTTGTTTTGTTCTCTACCTACTTTACTAATACAGCCGTGTGTCCAGATCCTGGTGAGCCATTGAGAGGCAAACGCCGTGGCAACAATTTTAGGAATGGTAGCATAATAACTTTTACGTGCAACACAGACCACGAGTTGATAGGAAACAACACTATACGGTGTGAGGACGGCGTTTGGAGCGGTAGCGTCCCTCTCTGTAAAGGTATGGTATTATATTAGAGGTTTCGAGAGATAATTTAGGTAACCCTTTTGATCCATTATTTGGTAATTCGTTCAGCACACAATTACACTGTTTAATTTGTGGGAAAGTAATATGCCTCTGAAATCAAACCAGTTAAAAGGATATTCAAATTTGTAATTATAAATAATCACCTCTATAATAAGATAACCAACTACCTGTTAAGTTTAAGTTATGAGGGAGGGAGGGAGAAAGCGAAATAAAGCTAAAGTATCGTGAAAGACAAACTTTAAGCGCGAAAATGTTCATGAACAGAGAGCAGCCCAGGAAACCTGATCTTCAAACTATGCCTCAGCCCTGAAACATAATTTCAAGGAATTGAAAAATTTCGTCGATACGCTCTGAATGGCACAGCGAGAAAGCAAGCTAGGACAATGCACACGAAACAAACTTACCAAAAAACATTTCTGCTATTGAAGGAAAATGCAAATTCCAAGGCAGTCCCAAAAATGGATACACAACAAACAGAATCTTCCTAAACGGAAAACTCTTTTCACATGGTAGCAACGTCGAGTACGCTTGTGATGTAAAGTACACTATGGATGGCACCAACATTCTGCACTGCAACGATGGCTTTTGGAACGCTAGCATTCCCTTGTGCAAGGGTATGTATTCATTCTGTGCTAACACGAAGTTGACCTCTAAATTACTATTATCACCTTGAAAAAATTGGTGGTTTATTAATGTATTTTCATTGAACATCGCTGTTCTCTTTCGTAGCCACATGTACTGAACCTGGGTTAATAGACAGAGGAAAACGAAATGGTACAGATTTTTCTCACGGACAGGTGGTCACGTATGAATGTTCTTCAAAAAACTACAGTTTGGTTGGAAATCCTCGTCTGACATGTAACGATGGAGTCTGGGATTCAGCTCTTCCAGTTTGCAAAAGTGAGCATCCTAAAATATACATATTTTAGTGTTTCTTAGTATTTTAAAAGACGAAGCACATAGTTGTCAATTATAACCGCCTAAGTTTGGTAAATTTTCTTAGCTAGAAAGCCAAAAACACCATGATCAAACATATGCTCGCAAAGCATGTCACACAGACCTGTTTGGGCCACACACTTCGATGCAATAAAGTTCTTGCAATATTTCATAAAGTAATTTGGTGATACTCAATTGCCCAACCTCTCCTTCTCTAAACTCAAGACTTGTGGCATATTTTTGTTCTAAAATAGACATTATTTTGGTTGTCGGGGTACGAAAGAGGTCTCAGTGCCCAAGTATAATGATAGGCATATATTATCATGGCATTATCTGTTATATCTTTCAGAGTCTTGTAAACCCCTTCCACTGTTATCTAATGGAAAAATCCATAACAATGGTGTCAGTCATGGGGCCGTGGTCTCTTTCTCCTGTAATTCAGGATTCCAGCCCCAAGGGTCCTTGCAGATCAAGTGCCTCGATGGGATATGGAATGAAAGTTCACCGAGTTGCATAGGTCCAGTTTCTCGTCAATCCATTGCATTATCATAATATCTTTTTTATCAGTATCACTATATCATTATCATTATGTATTATTTTATTTTTAATTCAAATTATACTTGTCACCTTTGAGTAATAGTTAAGTGTCGTCTTTCTCTTCCTTTATTCAATAAGGGAAACGATATCGCGGCATATGAATGAATAACCACCAATCAATCAAAAGTCATACTAGCCTGCAAAGCAGGCGTAATTTTGGCGGGCGAGTGCTTAGTATTTTCTTTACAAAAATTATGGCCGCCATCTTTGATTTTATGGCAGCGATGGCTGGGGAAGGACGACGATCAAAAATAAGGAGAGGGGTAGGGGAGTTAAGATTACTTCTCGCCCTCCTCCCGCCTCCTACCCTCACCGTCCACTCTAACTCCAAATCAAACATGGCCGGTTGAATGGACGATCCCGAGCTTATAACGTTTGATCGTCCAAGTGAGACACCTGCACAGCAGGCTGAAGTCATATAAATGTGTCAATATTTCTTAACTTCAATTTCCATCAATTATTGGTATTTGGCAATACGTTTTCCGGATTGTGTCATTGAATATGACAGTTTTAACGAAAAGAATAGGATGGATCTTGGACCATCAGCCTCGTGTTTATTTTCGTTTCATTAATGTTCATTTATAGTGTTATGTTCATCTATAAGCCAGTCTTAGTTATCTGCTTACTTGTTTCTGTATTTATTGACAGCCTCTATTGTTTTCTTTTAGGCGTATGTGCTAAGCCGGGAAAACTCCGTAACGGGACAGTTGTCGGAAGCAATTACAGCTACGGTTCTGTGATCAAGTTTAAATGCAATAAAGGCTACAAGTTAAGAGGCTCAGCCAAGTTAAAGTGCAGAAGGGGTGTATGGGAGGGTCAATTTCCAGAGTGTGAAGGCAAGTTTATGTGTAATGTAAATAACAATGATACCATCAATATTTCAATGTGAATACAGTTGGTAACTCTGTCACGATTAAAGTGACAGAAAAATATATTAGAGCAAATGAAAAAGCAGTTTATTCAATTACCTGTATAGAAACGCTTTTAGGGTCTGTAAGGTTCCTGAAAAAAAGTTGAGCGTGTAATCTGACGTGTTGCATACTGTATCTAAATGTATGTTCAAATTTTTATTTATCATTCATTACTGCAGTTTGAATTAATGATAGTTTACTCATTTTCCTTTAGTATGTGTCCGGGTCGGAGCAGTGTTTTGGGGATTTTGGCAAAATAACATGAAAGCAGACAATTACTGGAAAGCTTCCATCACAAGGATAACTGCAACACATTTTGACTTCGCATTGGTAAACAATAACAAACAGACGCGTAGTTACCGAAGGACTGATCGAAAGCTCATCATTGATAAAGTACCATCCATAGGGGACTTATTACCTAGCTCGCCTGTTATAGCCCATCAGTTTGGCAACTTAGGGTGGTATCGAACTGGAAAAGTTAATAATACTTCAGGTGACTCTTTGGTGAAAGTGCAGTTTGATGATGGTGGAAAAAAATGGGTTAAGCTTGGACGTGTACGTTTAGTTTCATACCCTGACTTTTGCTCTGATGTTGAGTAAAACACAAAATATAACGGACTGCTTTAATTTGAGAATAACTCATTTACGATTTCCTGCTTGGAAAAAAAAAATTCCTTACAGCCATGTAGCTTGTTGTTAGTGTGTCGAGACAAGTTGGTTAACCCTCTTTTCTGAAACTTCCTGTAAAATTAAGTGTGAAGCAGATTAGCATTGGGAGTGCAATCAAGTGACATCCCCCTTTAAGATATGATAGAAACCAAGTTTAGAATTTTTGTTTGTTTTTGTTTTTTTTTTTCACGGCCCCAGTCTTAGATTGTGTCACAGGTAATAAACATACTCCTCCTGAGGTCTCTACGCCAGAGTAAATTCAGACTAGTATACAGTCTGTAGTCGAAAATAAAGCAAATTAAAGATAATCAACCTCAAAGTAAAAAAATGGATTGAACGACGTGAATAAACTTGAGAGAAATTGAGTTCCATGATTTTTTTAAATATAAGATTGGCGTCCTTCGTCTAATTTTTTGTACATTAGCTGTTTTTTTTTCCAGAAGTTGGCCAAGAGGGCCTAGTGGGTAACCTTCTTCAATTTTATGGGGCCCTTATTTTACACAGGGAGCCCATTAAAGGAGGTACCCTCTGTGTTCTAGGGCATACATGCGTACTTCAGTTCTCCCTTAAGGAAAACATTTAAAATGGCTTACTCAATTAACCATCTCGCACAATTGTTTAACAAGCGACAAAGAGATGAAAAACAGGCCAAACCTAAAACTTACTCGCAAGATCTGTCAACAAAAGGAAGAATAGATCAATCATAATAAAAAATAATCCATTCGTTGTTGCTTTTGAATAGCAAGATCCAGTTTTCGTCGCGCACACGCGGTAAATTAGCAAAAAAAGGGCCATCCTTGCCTCCCATGATGACTCCAGCTGATATTGCTAAAACGTGAGTCACTACAGCTAACTACAAACAACACTCCAACAAAGGTCTACTCTCATCTAGACGATAGGACAACACGATCAAATGGTACCCCTTGTTGAAGTCCTAAATGTAATAACTGTCCTAAATGTAATAAAGTCCTAAATGTAATAGCATTTGGTCCTAAATGTAATAAAGCCCTAAATGTAATAACGTTCGGTCCTAAATGTAATAAGCCTCCTGTGCAATCGTTTAACTGCGCTAACATTGAGATGTTAAAGTGACAGCTGTTGCACCAAAGAATCCTCTGACCAATATTCATGGAATATTGCGGGTCACTGATATTAATCAGCGTCTTTTTATTTGCTAAAGAAGTAGGTTGAGAAGCATTGGCTATAAAACCTTATACTGATACTGATGTGCTTTTGGCATCAAATTGACGGACGCAAAAGCAACGAGAACGTTGACTAATAGCTCTCTCTATATCACTGGCTCAGACTTTTAAGTGTAACAGATTTTGACGAAACACTTCTGTCATCAGTGTTGAAGTTAACACTTGATGAACCGAATTACAAGGAAAAGGAAGTCCACCGACTTATACGTTAGACAAATTTTGGGCTCGGAAGGTCATTTTTTGCACTGTCTTCCCTTGCCAGATTTGTACGGGTCTGCATAAAATATATTCATATGCGTTATTGACCGAGCGTGAGGTCAAAATGGCTGGATATTGGCCGAGTTCTTTTTATTTTTTTTTTGCGTTTTTATGGACTGAGATGAAGTCACGGTCCATAAAAAAGTAGAAAAAGAACGAGGCTAATATCCAGTAATCTTGACCATACAAGCTTGGTCAAGAGAGTTTATATTCTCTTGGCTTAATCATTAAAGGGATTCATTGTATAGCAAAAGATTTCCTTTTGATAAGAATCAAGAATGGCCTGTTTATTTCGAGAGCCGATAGTGAAAGCCAACTGTGTTTGTGGCACAATAAACCCAAGAGGGTCGTTTATTTTTTTTCTATGTATATGCAAACATTGTCCAAAAGTTGCGAACTTTGTAAGTTTTCTTGCGTGGGATCAATACGGAGAATCCCGAGGGGGTGAGGGTGGGTCCATCATGCCCGCTCAGGTAGCCAATCAGAACACAGGATTCACTTCATCTTGCCCGCCTGCGCTGCTAGCTATATAATAAAGTGACTTACAGAGCAAGATATCGACTGACCAATCATAAGTTATCCCATTTCACGATCACAGGTCTCGACATGTTGCCTTTTTTCCACGCGAGTCAAATTGAACCATTGAGCTACAACATTCAACACATGATGGTCAGTTGACGGTCTAATGAACCATTCATTTTTTTCCTTAAGCCCCTTATGACGGGTTCATCAGTTCCCGAACCGAAATATTGGGAAAACATATATTTTACAGTTGATCTCAAGTTTATGTTTCATTTTTTGTCTTCATCTCTTCTCCCCGCCGTGAGGGGAGAAAATGAATAGATAAATAGATGAATGAAAAAAGAAAGCTCAACAGTTTCCACTTATATTCATGTGGTACATGAACTGATTACTGAGGTGGAGTATAGCCATAGAGGGCTGGAAATTCTATCATATTAAATTTCGGATATAACGTGCGCTGTCATTGGTTGAAAGAGCGTGCTTTGAGAGTATAGAGCATAGAGTTTTACGGCTCTGTCATCCCGAGGAATCTTCATGTTCTGATCAATTCGGCTGTCGTTCCTTCATAAAACACTAGCCTTAAGCAGTTTGTTTTCTAATTGTCATGTGAAAAAACTTGCGTGTTTTTTCTTAGCCACAATTTAGCTGGATTTCACTGAACATTTCATCTCTACATTCTGTATTAGAGACTAAAAACCTTAAGGCAAAAGTGTTAAATTCGACCTACCAGACCATTTAAGTTTGTAAACAACTGTAGAATATAAACTTTATAGGCCCATTTCCAACCTTGATGCAATGCAGTCGTTTGTTTTTGTTTTGAACCACCGCTTTTGTTTAAATAGCGCCTCTGATAGGTCAGTTATTTTTACCTTGTTACGTTGTCTCGAAATACCTTCCGCATCTTCTCCGATGAATTTGAAGAGCTTGTCAAAATAATTCTGTTTAAAACAGTTCTATACGTTTTAATCCGGCATGGAATTGAATGAATCCATTGATTTTGTAGATACCGAGGCAGTAAACGCTTATGGCACGGTTGTTGCTAAAGAGGAACACGAAAATCCTTGCGAGCATTTCGAAGAAGGTGAAAATGTTGATCTACCACGTTTTCATCCATTTATCAATCTTTTTTAAATTGAAGTTTGCCATCCTTGTTAAATAGGACCAAGGGTCAGTTGAGGTTTCCTGCCCGTGGAGAGGAACTTGCGCTCGAAAGAGTGGTCGAGGTTGTTGTCCATGCAAAGCAGCAAATAAGAATTGTAATGCAAACTGTCAGTGTTGCTGACGTTCCTGCAACGAAGTGACTTAACTTAAAGTAATTAAACGTCCGGCAGTCCGATATTTTTCCATATTTCTCTTCGAAATTCAAAAATATTTATACGAAAATGTTCTACCTTTATTTACAATCCTCAAGCGCTTCCAGGTAGCCTACAATTTCTAACTTGATGTTTTTCGCTAACCCTGTAAACAGAGTACGAAGCCATCCAAACGCTGAACAGTTAAAAACTTTTCAATGACACGGCTGGACACGGTCCTCGAATAACTCCATATTTCTCTTTGAAAAATACCAATTTCTATTGTAAATATTTTATCTTCATTTAGAATCCTCAAGCGCTTCTAGAAAATGAAAAAATTTGAACGTTGTCCTTTTCGCCGACTCTGTTCACAGAGTACGAAGAGATCCAAGCGTAACACTTAAAAATATTTTTCTTCGGATTCTTCCAGAAAAAATTCAAAATACTGTAAGGAAACTGTAAAATGACGAACGGCGAATGTATTTACCGTAAAACAGTTGACTTTATGTCCAGGATGGCTCTTGAGAAAGACGATTTTAGAAGGTTTTCAGTGATCTGGGAATTTCGTGTTACAGGAAATTAGGTCGCGGCGCGCGTTGCATCAAGGTTGGAAATGGGCCTTTAATGGTATCTTAAAGTCCACATGGCAACCAGGTAGACAATCAGACATAGTTTGATGCTACTCTGGTTTCCCACCAGCTCCTTTTTTTGGAAGCTTGGCATATTAACTCCGCCCACGTTCCTTTAAATCGTGGTGATGGCGGCTTACTTCCTGACGCCTATTTACAGCTCGTCAGAAAAAAGGCAGCTAATTAGTGATCATATAAAAGGACCTCTTGTTACAGTCTTTACATCACCCCTGATGAAGGCACTAGACAGGTGTGTCGAAACGTTGGGTCTATGAATTGTAACTTCTTCGGTTACATTCATTAAATCTGTAAACCAGAGTAGCATCAAACCATGTCCAACTTTAATGGTTTTCGAACTTTGATAGTTTGACATTTTTGACAGCCAATCAGATTATTTGAACTATTATAGCAAGGATTCTAATTGGCTTATTGTAGCGTGCTCAATGAGAGTATGGAGCATGCTGAGACTACGTCTCGTGTTTCTCCCGACACTTCCTGCGTGCTTTACAACAGAACAAGGCACAGTCAAGGCTTCTCGATTAGTTAGATATGAAAAAAAAAATGATCTAAACTAAGCAACAGTTAACTCAAAATGATTTTTCCAAATGTTTCATGTGGATTGGTTTTCTGAGGTTCCAGCTCTGAAAACTGAAATAAGAACCCAGAGCTACCCTAGCATACCAAGATTAACCCCTAAAGTAGCAAGAGACATTGCAGAAGCTAATTTATACATACAGTGTACAATGGGTGCCTCTTAAGTATCTTTACTGTTTTTTTGTCTTCTGACTCTTGTTTATGAAGTGTTTTTTAATTGCTGACTCAAGCCATAAATTATTTAGTTATTCTACAATGTGCGTCCTCATCAGCAACGACGTTGCCATTTGTATTCTGATCTACTCTCACAAATAAATTCATTTTGTCAATGGGTGCATGAACAGTTGAACAAATGAGAACCCTCACTTGTAGTGTGGAAACAGAAGACACTACATCTGAGCCCCAGAGAACAAAGTAATACAGTATACAATGTAAACTAAGTCCCTTTAACAGAGACAAACAGGTGATGAGATACATGTGACGCAATTTCTTTGATGCTTACAGTTACAAAAGCATTGATACTTTATTCACTGAAGGGAAAAAGATATATATAAAACAAAATTCTGTAGTAATAGCTGCTTAAAAATATGTTTTTAAATCTAAAAAATCACTGGGAAATTAAAAGGGTTCTTACCACATTACTCATACAATAAACCTTTAAAATATCATTCCTTTCTTTAAAGGAATGACTAGCAAAAGCTTTACAGAGAACTCTGATTACAGATCACTGCTTATATAACCTAATAAAAGACGACATTTAAATTGTAGTACTGTGGTAATACTTTTTCGGGTATAACAAGAAATTAATATATTTTTCTTTTTGTTTCCACTACATATGTGTATTTTAGTTAATTGACACCTAACAATCATAAGTAGAGAAATGTTACTCACAGGGGAACGGAAGGTGCAGAAACTACAGATAAAAAAATGCTTGAGAAATGTTCAGGCTTCAATGGGATTCATACCTGAGCCTCCCGGATAAAGCCACCTGTCCGTGGAGTCTTAAAAGTGACGTTTACATAGTGAATCTGATACAAAACACATCGCGTAGAATGCCTGGACATCATTAATTATTCATCAGTACTGAAGCCAGGAATTTCTTTCTGAACACCACGCGAAGACGTTCTACTGGTCGGCACAACTTCTTGCTTTCGCTGTAAAACGAAGGCGACTTCGACAGCAACAAGCGGAAAGGCAGCTGTACGATACGGCACCGGTTCCCATTAGCGTTAATTGCGCGTTCCACGTACGTTGCTAGGCCAGCGTCGTTAAGCTGCTGGTCACTAATATCGGTCGATGCTGCCTGGATCTCCACTGGAAGGCTTGGGAAAAGGAAGCGAACCACATCATGGCGAATCTCGACCGATTCTTCTTATTGAAGAGGAACTTTGATCCCTCTTTCAAACACAAGACCAATTCTTTCTCTAGCTTCTTCCACGCGAACTGGATCAGGCTCAGGATTTTCAAATACCTCGATCAGCTCAGGCGGCAGGTGAGTCTCTGGTTCTCAAGTGTTCTGGCTGGAGCAGTGTCCCTGCCACTTGATCATGAACAGAGGCTTTCCATGACAGATCTTTTTAGCAACGATCCGCTCAGCATCAAAGACTCCAAGAACTTCAGGCTTTTTATCGCACATTCGGGGTCTGGATAGTTCGGTACTTTCAAGACTCTTATAATAGCCTTGAGGTGGACGACAGCGTTTCTCCATCTTGTAACAGCAAATCAAACAAATTTTCCTTTTTGAAGGAAACGAGGATACTTATAGTAAACACGATACGACAAAGAAATACCGAAGGATCGAAATGCACAAATCACTGTCGAGCGCAAACAAATTAACGAAACAAAGCAGGACGCGTCATGTAACACAACCGATCGGCGAGCTCGCGCAACAAACTGTTATTTTCTGCGTTTAATCTTCTTTTCCAAAAATGTAAACACCAAAGCAAAAATATGAACCCATTTTGTCGATAAGACGTAACACCAAATGGCTTCTAATTGCGCATGCTCTGAACACGACGGAGGCCCCTGCTCCCATACGGATTAGTGAAAATATACCGGATTTTAAGTTTTTTTTAATAACAAGTAGTTAACAATGGATGATCCTGAATCACCACCACCACCTCCGTACGATGGCCCACAAGGGACTCGCTGCAAAGAAAAAGAAACGCTGCAAAGAAAAAACAATCGCTGCAAACAAAAAAGTGAATGCTACAAACAAAAAAGTGGTCGCTACAAATAAAAAAGTGAACGCTGCAAACAAAAAAGTGAATGCTGCAAACAAAAAAGTGATCGCTGCAAATAAAAAAAAGTGATTGCTGCAAATAAAAGAGTGAATGCTGCAAACAAAAAAGTGAATGCTGCAAACAAAAAGGTGATCGCTGCAAATAAAAAAAGTGATTGCTGCAAATAAAAAAGTGAATGCTGCAAACAAAAAAGTGAACGCTGCAAACAAAAAATTTAAAAAAAGGTTGCGTGCGCACTTTCACGGACACCGCGATTCCATTGGTCAGCAAGACATTTCCCGCGCATTTTCTCCCTTACTCCTTTCGCCAATTCATGCAAAAAGAAGAAGGCATGTTTTGTGCGGGTTGTGGTGCCAGATTTATCGCTGATGCGAGATTTTGCGAAGTTTGCGGGTTAACGAAAGGTGTGAAAGATGAAGATAACACTATACTTACGTTTGACGAGTACAGAGATAGAAAAAGGAAAGAACGAAGCTCGAGGTTTGTTAGTAAATCTGTGAAGAGAGTGAAAAGGGAAAACAGCGAGAATGAAGTCACTATACAAATAGGTCTTATCAGGTTAAAAGACGGACAATTGAAAGCGATTAGAGGGTCGTCATTGCCGCTTAAAGTCTTTCCATCAATTGGTGCGGAGGAACTTCTCAGGAAAGGAGCCGAAAAGATGGTGAAGTTCAACAGCGACTTAAGCTTATATGGTGCCAGTAGTTTTACGTTGTTGTATCCTGACAGAACCGAAGTGAAGTGCCTTCCAGGGGGAACGGAACCGTTTACATTACAACGATACAAGGAGGAATTAGGGAAGGCTTACGGCCGAATTACCTTTGCAAAACAACAGCTATCATGGATGCTTTGTTTTTGAAATCGTATTACAGTGATGAAAGTGATGTCAGTTTGCCAACTTACGAAGAGGTATGAAGATTTTAATTACTACCATAGATTACAGTGTTATTTTTCGTAACGAAAAAGCCCTTCATGGAAATAAATTGATCTAAATCTTGATTGATATACATACTGTAGTTCAAATTTTCCTTGGTTTGACGTATTTCAGATTGGTTTGATTTGTATTTTTCTTTGATTCAGATTATGGTAATATGCTTATTAGCTCATTCAAGAATCAATTCCCTTTCATTCTTCTCAGTGAGTGAGGGGTTAAAGATTCGTTTGATTTGACAGTAGTGATGATGATTAATGATTCAGTTTTCATATTCACATTACAGTTGACGAAAATGGCACAAGGAACTGAAAGTGAAGGAGATATAGGCTGTAGGCTGAACCATGCTGTCACAAATACATCCACATTCCTCACAGCAACAGGGAACACAATTACTACCCCCTCAGTGGCAAGGAACACTGCAGTTACAACCCACACAGCTACAAGGAACACAGTTACAACCCATACAGCTACAAGTAGCACATTCATAACCCAGAAAGCTGCAAGCAACATATCCTCAGCCCAGACAGCTGCAAACTCAGATACATTAATTCAAGGGGTTCACTCAGCAGTCACGGGTCAGTGAAAATCTGCTTTTGTAAGTTTTCTCTGAATTGTGTACCCATGCGATATTCTTATTAATTTAAAAAGTCATATTAAATGCAATAAAAGCTTCTGCATGTTCAGTCAAGAAATACAGAGACACCTGTATAGAATGGTAGACAACATGATACAAGAAGAACATTGCTAAAATCAGTTTTTAAATGCACATTATGCAGCAGTTATTTATTCATAAATTGATTGATTTTTTGATAGGTGCAGATGCTGTAGATGTTGAAGCTCTGTTAACAGAGGGTCCTGTTCAAAAGATAATTCTGTATAGGGCTTTACTTAAGGATAATTTGATCGAAACCTTTAAGGATCCTACAATACTTCATGTTAATCTAGATGTGACCTTTATTGGCAGCAATGGTAGGGAGGAAGAGGGAAAGGGGGCTGGTGTTTTACGTGATGCATTATCCACTTTCTGGAATCAATTCTTTAACTCACTAACAGTAGGAGCTCAAGAAAAAGTGCCTGCTATCAGACATGATTATCAAAGAGCTGAATGGCAAGCAATTGCCAGAATTCTAATGTATGGGTACATAAAGGAGAGATATTTTCCTCTTCCATTGTCACGAGCTTTTGTTGCATTATGCCTTTTTGGTGAAGAGAGCACAACAAGTGATTTTTTGCTTTCTTCCTTCCGTCTATACATTTCAGAAGATGAAAGGGAGACTCTTAAGAAATGTCTTGAGGAAAGTTTTGATGATGATAATGATGACGTGTTTGATTTTCTTTCTAATTGCAAGTGTTATCGAACTCCCACAAAAATAAGAAAACATATTGCAGATTGTTTCTGAACTTGCTCACCAGGAAATCATTCAGAAGCCTCGATATGTCACAAATTGCTGGGCACCTATTTTGAAACCTTTGATTGCTTTCCCAGATTTCCAATCTCTTGTAACTCTAGAGAATCTTTATGAAATTAAGAGGCCTACTGCCAAAAAGATTGTGAAATTAATCAAATCAGAGCCAGTAACTGACCAAGAACGACAGTGCCTGGACCATTTTAAAAAATATATCCGTTCATTACAGGGAAGTTCGTTGTCAGTGTTCCTGCAATTTATTACTGGAAGTGATATCATAAGCTGTGACAGCATTGAGGTGACATTTTCGGCTCTTGAGGGTACCTCTCGTAGACCTGTAGCACATACATGTGGACCACTACTAGAAATCCCATCATCATACCAGTCATACAATGAGCTGTCAGAAGAATTCAGTGAATTACTGCAAAATAAAGAGGCATGGCATTTCAATATTGTCTAATGACATTCTGCAGTGGTCAAATTTTTGAGTGTTTTTAACCCTTTAACTTCCATTAGTGATCAAGACAGAATTTATCTTTACAATATCAATACAATGTCAACCAGATAAGTGATGAGAGTAAAGAAAAATATCAATTTGGGGATAATAAGTTGATCCAATACTAACTTCTCTGAACTAACATTATAAGAATTGTATAGTTGACATTTAGGAGAATTACAAATTTGATCTGTGAGTTAAAGGGTTAAAAGGTTTGAAATTTTGTATGTTGAGTTAGACTTTAACTTAAATGGCTCTTAGAACTAAAGAATTTTAAAATAATGTACAATGTTGACTACTCATAAAAATATATCAAGGAAAACAATTTTTTGTTAAAATTCTTGTCAATTTGTTAAAACAATATTACTCACACATTTTTGATCAATTTGAGTTTAGTTATCTTGGTGGTGTGGTTGTTTTTGTGATAAGGTCAATCAGAAAAATAGGTGATTGGGTGTGGACAGAAAAACAGCAAAGGGTTTCCCATTCTTTGTCATGTGAAGACAGTGTTATAAAAATTGGTAGAAAAACCAGTGACAATTCATGTTTATATTTCAGCCATTCTGTGACATGTTGATTTCTGTCAAGGAAGCCTTTCCATTGTCCATATCCCAATAATCCCCTGGAATGCAAACTGACTGCTGTCCTCTCCCACTGTTTGTGGCTTTAAAAAATGTGATCTATAGAACAATATTGATAACCACAAATTTCAAGTAATGTTTATTCATTCATATGTGCAGATCAAAGCTTTTGAATGTACTATGTTATGGTATTGATTGTTAATACTGTAATAAAATTATCAAATTGAATGTAATTTTCAGACTTTGAATGGTGGCCTTAACATGCATGCTAACTGTTGTGTTGATGAAACATTAAAAAAGTTATGCCAATTTTACAACGTCATCTTTAGTTATTTGATTCAATAGACTGATCAGTGACAAGCCTTTGAATATCACATTCAATTCACACAGGAATTGCTTTGCTGTAGAAGAAATGTCCCAAGTCATTAATTTTTTTTTCAGTTAATCATTCTGCAATTCTGTTATGTGTTCATATAATCTTATGGCCTCTCTTGGTGTACTAGGGTAAACCCAGCCTTTAGTTTCCAAAATATATTCAAAGTATTCAAGGTAGATATTGTCTTCCCTCTCACTCTGGCAATGTACATCCATATCCTCTACTAGTTGTTCTGGCATAGAAACAAGACATTCTACATGTCTGTGATATTCTGGTAGGAAGTACATAACATCTGGTACCCCATGAACAGAACTATACGGAGACTTGGAAATCTTGTGACTATTCCAATGATCTTTCACTTTGTCCAAGTCATCCTGAAGAAGCTTTGAAAAACAGAACCACAAGCACTCCATATGAAGAGTGTTTCCCACACAAAGCAATCCATAATCAACCATGTCCTTGAAAAGGCTTATCCACCAGTTTGATCTATTTCGCCTGAAAAAGGACTACCACCCTTCAATTCGTTGATTTGCAGGTGATGAGCAGTACCTATGAGACTTCACACCTGCCAGTTCATCTTGATCATTGGTACGAAACATGCACTGAATAAAAGCTGCAATACCGTTTTCTGAGCCACAATCAGTCACCAGGAGCAAAGGGCAACCACCTAGTTCCTTTACTTGTTTTAAGTAGAAGGCTGCAACTACTTTAGGGTCATTGTTAGACCGGGTTACTTCTAACCATAAAATTCTTCTACTGAAGCCATCCACTGCACCATGAATAGGGAAACCAGGTTTACAAGGTTTGCATGAGTTTGTCATATCCTAAAAAAGATAAAATTTGTAAATTAGAAATCTAAGTAGATAAGTCGTCTAACCAACTAATCTTGAAGTGGAAAGGGCATGAGGCTAGATGCAAGATTTTACATTCCTACATGTACATTTACAATACGCCACTATGATTTACGAAGTAAAAAACAAATACCGTCAAAATGCCACGATGCATTGGCTCCTTTTGAGCTGAACGTTCTTCTCTTTAACCTTCGAGATCTCCTCTCCTCTACCCCATCAGGATCAATTTCCTTCATTATTTTTGCGACCAAATTACGTGGAACATGAACATGGTGCCGCAATCGCAGGGCGTGCCAAATACTTCTGTAACCTGATAAACTTCCGGGGCCTTCCATTTCTTCACGAATGACATTTCTTATCTCTGAATCGTCCATTATCCTTGCATTGCCCTTCCTTTTTAACCCGAGACATCTCAGACGTCTCTTCAGTGTTCGCACACACATTTGAAGTCCTTCTCGTTTCTTGAGAAGACCCACAATAGCGTCATAAGGATAGCCACGATGAAAATAGCGCTTTATCACTTCGTTTACATCTTTTTCTGCCACACAATTATCGCAGATACTCTCTTGAGCATCCCCAATGCCACAATGGCTACAAAACATTACGAATACTCTTTGATTAGTTTTTCAACGAGAACGGACGTTTGAAAAATGGAGGGAAATACTCGTAGGCTCTGGAGACGAGCAAAACTCTATCCAGTCCCTCGGGCATAATGCGCACGCATGATCTGTTCTTTTTTGTTTGCAGCGATCACTTTTTTGTTTGCAGGAGACTATTTATGCTACTGTGGTTGTGTTCTTTAGGAAATGAAACGAACAAACAACTTTTCAAATGGCGCCAAAAGAAATTATCGTATAGCATGAATCCGCTGACCTGAAGGATCGGGATTGTGTAACGGCATGAGCACTTGGAGATGGAGACAGCGGAGTTCTTTGAAAATAATAATTTGGTCGGAAACACCATTTAAAGGAACTTTTCAATTTAAAAAGGCGAAAAATATTGTAATCAGAGGTGGTGGTTCAAAATAATTTGAAGCATCACTAATTTCAACTTATTACTGATCGTACAAAGAGGCTGATAGATGGAAATTGCTCGCCTTTCTGCTATTATGACTTTGGGTTTCGTCACTCGTGTTACGAGAAAAAGAGTTGACAGATGACTTCCACGTGAAACTTCGTTAGTACAAGAACTGTTCTTATTAGCAACAAGGTTTTTAAAACTAAACTAGTGAGCAGTACTCTGCGAACAGTAGTTGTAAAACGTCTTTATTCTCCGATGCGTCTCGTCGAACTCCCGTAGACTTAATGATGATTTTAGACATATGAAATTCATATTTTTGCACTGCGGTGAAGAAACGAATTTAAGAGATTCTTGCAGCTAAGAACACTACTGAATTAGTAGTAGAAAATAGGACCTGAAAAAAATTCAGGCCCATACGGGATGGAACGAACAGGCGAACACGAACAGGCGAAGTTATGAAAAAATTTGAACATTTTTTGGGCAAAGTGAGAAAAATATTTGGGGGCCACGGTTTTGACTCAAAAAGTTAGACGAAACGCGGCGGAGAATAAAGCAGTTTTACAACTACTGTTCACAGCGTGCTGCTCACCAGTTCAGTTTTAAAAAAAAATTTTAAACAAATTTTAAAAATTAATAAGAAAAAAAACTGTGCTCACCGAGCTGCTCAGGGGAGCTAGCAACCTACTGTTTGTGAACAGAGCAAGAATGCACTAAGATATCAATTAGCACGTTCGTGTTTGTTAAAGATAACGTTAATTCCTTAGCGAGAAAAAAAAACTCCACTTACACTCTAGTTGGGCCCTGGGCAATAGCGGGAAATTAAACTTCAAATAACCGTATAACAGCATGCCCCGTGCATAATGCCTAAGATCATGACCTCGTCTATCTTGCAAATGTGATATGTTAGAATTGAGGACTTCAATAGTTTGCAACCAAATGAAAGACATCTGGACCTCTTTTCAGGCTTAATCGTTTCCCTTTCTTTCGCTCTCGTTCTCGATTACAACCACCAATGACACGAAGTTTTTTTTTTGCGTTTTCTACCTTGATATTTGTATTTAAAATTCACAGTAATCGACCGTAGCGCTTAGCGAGTTTTTGGCGCATTGATTGAACGGTTTGGCGGCCAAACAGTGGTTTGTTGTTCTAGTCTCGACTTGAACACGACAGGCGAGAAACCAGTCAGTCAGTCAATCTTCGTCGAAGTCTTCGCTTGATAAGGACAGTTCTTCTTCTTCGGGCTGAACTGTACTCGCAACTGTCATTTCTTCTTTACTTTTTGAGTACGATGTATCCCAACTCTCGGAAGAGCTAGCTGAAGGATAGTATATATCGCTATCGGACATTTTTTTTTGAGTATAAACGGCAAGTATTACAAAATTACAAGAGATGTAAGAGATTTGTAAGTGTCAAATTTCGCCGTTTTCAAGTGGAAGATCAAAAACGCGATACTCTCCAAACGAAAGAATATGTCCTACGTCTTCCTTCAGAATCCTTTTCTTGTTCTTCTCTTTAAATTGTTTCTTTAATATGGAAAGACACGTGCCACTGAATTCTGCCGCAGACACAGCTCCTACGACAAATTGAAAGTGATGTTAATTACAGAGTTGTTGGCATAAGTTTGTCACACAGAAAGAAGTAACGTGCCTTTACACGTCCCTATTCTTTTACAAAGCAATTGGAATAGAAGGTTTCAAGGTATCACTCAACGAAATGAACCGTGTATTGTTAGTGTCTGTGTTGAACGTTATCTCGCTCGTGGTCGTCATATATGTTTAGTACGAACAGTAAAATACTCATATCACATAAAACGTTAATAAAGTTGTTAGTGCATGATACACTAAAAAGAAAAAAAATACACCCGCAGCTTGGAATCCGTTCCTCAAAAAGGCTGCTGACTTGTTTTATCCGTATGCATTTCGTGACGTAAAATTATGACACAAAAAATGCTTTTTTCGTATCCTCGCTTTCACTTCGAATAATATGCCTGATTTCTGCAAAGAAAAACAAGACTATCGACAATTGATCACGAAAAGAAAGTGACAGGGCTTCAACTATGGAATTGGCATAAAAAACAATTAACCTCCACAATGTTCATGCTCATTCGCCAGGTTCTTGAATGACGCGATAATCAAAATGAAGAAATGAAAAAGATTAACCCAATCTCACTCAATTACCCTCACATGATTTTAAGAACACAGTTTTTCCTCGAGTATGTCACAATCAGGAAATTTAATCTTTCTGTAAGCTCATTAAATAATTCAATTATATAAAGTTCAAAACATACGACATCATGTTTTAATTTAACAATGAAATCGGACGAGAAATTACAAAGCAAGCTGGGAAGCTAAATTAACCAGTTGGTCTCTTGTTAACTCTCTGAGAAGAGAAGTCGTTGTATCTTATTATTTACGGGTGGAAATGCAGGAAGTGGCTTCTTCAATAAATCGCTTGTTTGTTTACACACTGTAGGAGATTAATTTGTTTTCCGATGTAAATCAGTCAAATGAATACAAGCCAAAGAGCTCCTTTAAAATAAGTATTCTTGTATTAAATTACAATGCTAGAGTAAGTTGGATTGCATTACATCTAAAAGGCTGCTGACTTGTTTTTTCACATTCTTATCTTAATTTGAGCAACCTATTTCAGTGAGGAGGTTAGATTTTATGGGCTTCCTCGTGAAACGTGTGGGGTTGGTTTCAGCGTCCTTTACGTTCTCGCTTGTGATCGTCACATGTGGCGAGTACGAAAAATAATATCGAATGCCTCACACAAGCTTTTGACAAAGCGGGTACGAGCGACGAATTCTCGATGAAGCACACATCAGCATTGGTTTCATCTAAAAATTGTAAAAATTTTAATATGCAAGGACTAACGGACCTCTAAACTCTGCTGGAGAGGCCGCTCCTTTGGCAAACGTGAAGTGATGTTTGATAACAGCTCAGTTAGTTTTAAGTTTGTGACACTGAAAAAGGAAACGTGCCTCTACATATCTTGTTCTTGAGCAACCCAGTGGAAAGGGGGTTTTCAGGGTTTTCCTTAACGAAATGAACAGTGCACTGTTAGTTTCTGTCTTGAACATTCTCTCGCTGGTAATTGTCACATCTGGTGAGTACGAAAAGTAAAATACTCAAATCACTTTAGAAGTTTACAAAGTTATCAATTATAAATTTTGTTGACGCACACACGGTTTCGGATCCGTGCGTGACATGTCATTGAGGAAGAGAGATCTTTACCTCATGCTGAGAGTAATAAGCTTCCTTTGCCGCTGAGGCCAGAAAATGAGCAACACGCCACTCTCAAATTAAGCAAAAGAGGTTGTCATTTGTTATTCTTCAGCATTTCGTCATTTATAAGACAGAGATTTGTTGTAAAGGGATTGTACATTGTGACATTAACTCACCGTTCGTCTCGTAATCTTGAAGTCAGCTGTCTAATTTTTTTAAAGGCTCCGGGTGCAATCAACCAACCTATCCTCATGGCTCAGTCATCATTCATCCCACTCAGCGAGAAAAGTACCAAAACGGCCAAGTAATTCTCTTTGGCTGTAAACAGGGTTTTTATCTGGATGGAATACCAATTATAACATGCAATGGGAACAAATGGACACAGACACATTTCCGATGTTTAGGTATGACATAAATTCTCTTTACAATAAATCAAGCGATCCATAGCTTAAGATCGGCATTGTTTATTGGTACTGCATTTCACTCTAACATTCGGTGATTCATACAAACATATGTTTGCATGTCAAACTTAGTTTCAATTCCAAGGTGCGGCTTTCAAGAAATGTCATTGGTGATCACTACAGAGACCAAGAGAGTTCTAAAATGACGATGAGAGAGGTTTGGTTCCTATCAGTGGTCATCTGTCACCACCTGTGTACAAGTGAAAAGATATAACGCTTTATACTCAACACAAGATAATCAGAAGTATTATTATATTTCCTCCTCCTAAAAATTATATTGCTTCATTTAGGGTTTTGTCCTGAGTTGCGTAACATTTTAAACGGTAAAGTATCTAATGTGAACCCAAAAGTTGGTAAGGCTGCCATGGAATTTCGCTGTGCTAATAACAGTTTCCAGCTGATCGGTAACACAAGGTTGGAGTGCATAGATGGACGATGGAATGGAAAGTTACCCTACTGCCATAGTAAGTTATCGTAAAGACCGCAAATCTAATTACTCTATTATTCTTTATTACTAAAGACTCTTTTCTATCATTTACCACGAAGATGTTCAGAGATCAATTAAATATGCGCAAAATTAACCAGGAATAAATCAATTTTTCTTCTACAGAGTTGCCGTCGTGCGTTCGACTGCAAAGTCCAGCTAACGGTACACTACATGGTAGTGACAACAGCCATAGTGCAGAAGCAAAATTCACTTGTTTTACAGGCTTTGATCTATTTGGGGCTCCAACATTAACATGCAACAAGGGTGTTTGGAGTTCACGTGTTCCAACTTGTAAAGGTAAGCTGTCTCGGAGTTATTTTCCCTGACCAATTGACCTTTTTATAAATGGCTTCTTTCAAATCTTCAGCACTTAACTCAGTTCCAGTTCTTTTTAACCTCTGTCGCGCCGTTTGCATCTGACGGCCGAACAGGTTTGATGTTCATGTCGCAAATCATTGTTCTATGTTTATTTCTCAGCTTACTGCACGAAGATTAGGGATCTGCCAAATGGACATGTGTTTGGCACACGCTTCTCCCATGGCCAAGTGGTTTCTTTCAAATGCAAACATGGTTATGAGTTGGATGGAGATCGCAGCCTTCGTTGTATTAATGGAAAATGGAATTCTTCCGTCCCGCAATGTAAAGGTTAGTAATTCCTCTACATCCTGGGAAAGAGTTTTAAGAATATATCGTAGCCAATAAATTGTGCGTAGCATATTCTTGTAATATGAATGGATTTGTCACAAAACTGCAGGAACTTCGCCTACTCTTATTTTGGTTATATTTACCTCTTTTATATTTGTTGCTACTGTGTGTACTGCGAAGACCGAGAACTACGGCGGAATCAGTACAGGAGAATACTTTCCATTCAGTTAGGTCACTATTTATTTCTCCATGTGCTCGCAGTATTCCTTTATTCGCGTTATCTGCTCTTTTAACTTTTGTCCAATTGTCACGCTAACTAACACGCTCCCCTCGATTATGCTCCCTCTTTCCAATAAGCGCCCCTCCCCGTAGGCAAGATTTTAAATAATCGCCTGTGCGCTTATTTAAGAAGTACGGAACACATATAGAGTTGCATGGCTTAAAGCGAATCTTTCATTAATAAATTTTTACTTAGAGAAAATGGCTATTGGAAGAAACTTAACCATTTTCTTTTAAAATAGATAATTAGGATAAAAGGATGAATTTTAGTTGCTACACTTACAATGCTTCTGTCTCGGCGTATTTTATCATATCATTCTAAATGATTGCAATCTCAAAAAAACAACCCCAAATCAGGCTTTAATATATCTTTTATATCAATGAAGCAAATAAAATACCAGGCTAGATTACTCAGTCACAAAGGTAGGTTCTAACTTTTAAATTAATGGTTGTTTATGAAAATCGCTCTTTGTTTTTTTTAGTTATGCAATGTGTAAAACCCTCCATTCCACGTAATTCGCGTATCATATATCCACGAACAGATCAAGTGAGATACACACACGCTACAACTCTTTATCTGGCCTGTCAACAAGGTCATCTTTTGACGGGATCGCCGATTATGGTGTGTAACTATACGACGTGGCTGAAAAGAGAATTCAAGTGCATTGGTATGTTTACTCCAGTTCAAAATAGTCTACCATTACGTGACCCGTTTCACATCGCTCACGCAATCCTGTGGGAAACCATGACAAAATCTGACGTGTGGTTTACGTGAGCTAGTCCGGAAAAAAGCTTTCTGGCCCCGCACTTCCGCGGCTCTGTTGCTTCATCCGAGAAAGTGGTTTATAAAAATGGATGTAAACTTTCAATAGGTATTCTCCTTGAATTTTGATTTCATTTTTCTGATCCGAAAAGAAACGACAACCTTTTTTTCAAAGATTCTTTTGTGGTCTTCCATTGCACTCTTTTTATTATTTAAGTAAGAGCCGGGACGCTTTGGCGGAGCGAATTAAGATATTTTCCATTTTTTTGCGAATCAAAAGTTGACAAAACTTTGCATTTTTCATATTTTGGCGACAGTCGCATCAAAGTTACATCGTTTGACCACCACCACTGATTACCACATATATCAATCACAAACCCATCTCTCTCTTGGAAAAAAAACAACAGCAACAAAAACACCTCACGTAAATTATTACGCAAGAATGGATCTTTTCACCACCTATTTTTGCGTTTTGGTCGCCCCTTGAGCTTCTTGCGCTGGCTTTGATAGCTGCGATGGACGGGGTATTTCTCAAGTTATTGCAACCATGGTGCGAGTCAAAGAAATGTGAATAACAGCGCCGTTTAAGCTTTTCGTCGCCAACTATAGAGAAAGGGCGAGATGGATCAGGAAATATATTGTTAGGTCCTACTTTCGCGTGCGCCAACTGGAGTAGCAGCTTTATGGTTAAAAATCTAGATCATTAGTCTTATCAAAATTTGGAGGCCTCCGAAGCCGGACATTGGCTGCTTTTCACTGACCTCACCAAAAAAGGCTTTAGCATTAGTGTAGTGCACACTCCTTTCTATCTATGTAATTCAGTTTTATTTAGGAAACAATTTAAGGGCTTGGCGGTCATACAATAAAACACTTATTGGCTAAGTTAAGTCGGTCCGAACGGGAAAATATTTGGCTCACATCAGGCTCGTCATGGTAAGTAAGTATAAACATTCCTTGAAAACATGGCGTTTATATCATAAATATATATTGAATGAAAAACAAGTAAACCTTTGTTATACCGTCGCTTTGATAGCTCCCTGTCCCATCCTTGGACCAATAAAGAATGGAGTCATCACACATGTAACACGGAAGGGTGGTGGTGAAGTTGAAATAAAGTGCCATGCTAATTATACGTTATTCGGATCCTCAAGATTGAGCTGTATAAATGGAGAATGGAGCAGCAGTATTCCTTCGTGTAAAGGTATTTTTCATTCAAGTAATTCCCACCAGTCTAGAAGTGAAAAAAAAGAAAAAGCAAATTTTCACGGCCTCCAACTGGCCGTCACCTCGTATCTTGCCAATTGCATATGTAGTCTTCCTTGCATCATAAAAGATTCGGTTCTCTGACAAGTAGTTTCTCTTTTGGCTCTTACAGCTTCATACAAAGATTCTGGCAATCCTTTGAATGGGAGAAAGATTGGCGTCTACTTCCATCGCAAAAATCAGTGTCTTTTAAAATTACTTGGAGGGAGCGCGAAAGGTTACATTTTTAAACGGCCAGTAGAGTGCTAAGATGCCAATTTGCCCGGGCGAATTTTTCAGCCAAACAATGATAATCGCAAGATTCTGCATGTTGTTCAAAGATCTTAGTTTCCCTAGTGCCATGATGCTCAGTTCGAACCGCATTCCAATCATAAGTAGATGGCATTCAGAAATTAACTTTAACACCCCTTCGCTACTGAACTATTATTATTCAAATGGCTGTGCAACACTGGGATAACTCTTTTTCATATTTTTTAATAACACACCTAAAAACTTACTCAAAAATCACTCAAAGGAAGGTACAGTATTCAGAGAATGACTGAAAAGAAACTTTACGAAACTTACATCACATAATCAACAGAAAAACAGGGGACTGTTGTTGGTTATTGTGACTGACGTTTCGAAAATCTTAACGGATGTTATCATCAGAGTCACGTGATGTGCTGTCTCCTGCCTGGTTCCTGATTGGCCAATTTTCACGAGGCGTGTTGACTTAAAGAATCAAGTTGTGTGAGTTGGTGGTTATGGGTTAGTTTCGATCCTTGGTCGTGGGTTTAGAGTTGAGTCGCTCCGTCCGGTTCTTCTGTCGAACGAATTGTTATTATTTTCTGCCCTTTTGTACACACTCAACTGGAAAAGCATTGCTCAAGAAAAGTATGAACCATGAAAACTGAACTCTGGAAAAACAATTCAGGGGAACGACCTTTCTTCTAAATGTGATCATTAAAGTACACAAACCAAGAAACTCCCACTGATTTCGAAGAAAAATTGGATGGAATCCCTTCCCTATTTTTTCTTATGGTGATAAGAATTCAAAATACTAGTCGTAAACGTGCTCAAAGTGATCATTTCATATGGTGCCAATTGCATTTGTAGTCTTCCTTGCGTCATAAAAAATCCTGTTCTCTTACAAGTAATTTATCTTTTGGGTTTTACAGCTCCCTGCAAAGATCCTGGCAATCCTTTGAATGGGAGAAAAGTTAACAATGACTTCCGTCACAAAAAAACAGTGTCTTTTACCTGTCAAAAAAATTACGCGTTAGAGGGAGCGCGAACGGTTACATGTTCAAACGGTCAGTGGAGTGCTAAGAGGCCACTTTGCCTTGGTGAGTTTTCCAGCAGAATCATGATAAATGCAAGATCCTGCATGTTGTTCAAAGGTCTCAGTTTCCTTAGTTTCATGAGACTAAGCTCAAAACGCATTCCAATCGTAAATAGATTGCATTCAGAAACTAACTTTAACAGCTTGTCGTTACTGAATTATTTAAGTGGACGTGGAAAGCCGGGATAATGTTTTTGCTCATTTTTTCTTAACAAACCTAAAAAACCACTCAAAAGACAATATTAAAAGTTACGAGCAAAAGGTGAAAAAGCTATCTATGAATTTGATGTGAATTTTCTTTTCCTTAGCACTTTGTCCTACGCCCATTGCACCAACGAATGGCAGAATACAGGGCACAGACTTCAGACATGGGCGGTCTATAAAGTTTTGGTGTTCCCGTGGTTACACAAGAGTTGGTGCTTTTTCAGTCACATGCAAGAAAGGAAAATGGGGCGCACGGTTTCCAGTGTGTAAAGGTCAGAATTGTTATCTTGTGCTTGTCATTACTGTAAATTGTGCAATTCAATACATTTCAACTACTTTCTCCTACGTGGGCGTTCAAGAACTAAGAAAATCTATTATGACAACAGCAATCTATAGCAATTTGATATAAAATAAGAGGGAAATCAAGAATAATAATATAAATAGAAACAAACTCAATAAACAGTGATAAATTAATTCAATTAGAATGAAAAAGACTGTTTTCATCGTTCAAAAGGCTTGATGACTGAAATTCTTATGTTCCAGCCCAAATCATTTCGACGCCAGTACTAGATAAAGTTTTACAGTTAAGATGGCCCATGATTTAAAAATTTTAGATCTTTCTGGAGCAGTTGCAAAGGAAAACGGTGTTCAGGCCTCCTAGTTTAATCGTATCGTGAAACTTTGGAATTACCCTTGTTCTATTGCTCCTAGTCTTCTAGTATTTTAGTCAGGCGTTGGAATGGGGTGCGTCAGCACACTGATTGTAAACCTTTGTGAAGGAAAAGTAGAATGCAAATTCAAACTTTTTCGATTAATGACAATTTAACCATGTAACGAAAAATAGAGAAATACCATACAACCTAATGTTAAGGGGAATATGTAGGCATGAAAAGCTTAAACGTTTTAACCCGCGAGAGTAAACTGAGAAAGAAATTAGTTATTTAGAGAACACAGTTTTCGTAATGAATACACCGGCGCTGACCTATAAATATCACAGTTCTTTTCTAGTTCTTAGATAATATCTTAATTGCTCACTGCCGAATGGTAACTAATAAAATAACAGTATTCTACTTGAAAATGTACGTCTAAAAGGCAAAGAGCAATTTAATGTTTACCTTTGAGCTAAATTTAGTAATTCTTTCCTGTTTGACTCCGTAGCATCATGTGGTAGGCCCAGCATACCTGCGAATGGCAGAATAGTGGGAAATATCTTCAGTCATGGAAAATCTGTATGGTTTTACTGTTCGTTTGGCTATTCAAGAGTTGGCGTCGGTTCGATTAAATGCGATGATGGCAAATGGGATAAGCCGTTTCCAGTCTGCAAAGGTGAGAAATGTGTTATTTTTCGCAACTACATGCAATCATGATGAGTTAAGTAACGTTTGCTTTACGATAAATTAAAGGCATCTGCCCAACGCCGAGCGATCCACGAAACGGAAAATTGGGTCAGAAGGTATCCCTTGACAAACGTTTCCTTGACGGAGATGAAGCAACATTCTCCTGCAACCGCGGGTATGACTTGGTTGGTAAAAAAAAACTTCGCTGTGTTGGAAAAGTATGGGATTTTGGAGAGCCTGAATGTAAAGGTGAGAATGTTCCAGCTCTTTTGAATAAAAGGTATCTTTTGAGAAATATTTTTGCTTCAATGACTGGTGACCGCTTGAATTAATAGCTTTTTAGTTTTCCTCTCCCGCCCCCTTCCCTTCTCCCTTTTAAGAACAGTTCTGATTATGAAACACAAGCCAATCAACGTATCCTCAAGAAAGAAAAAATCGTTATAGAGGTTGTAGGGAAGTTGATCTTTATGCAAAAATCGAGACTGACTCAAACTGTTCTGCCGGGAAACGTGATATTAACAGCATCTAATATACCAGTATCAATGTGCTTCCGCGATCACATACAGACGACATTTGAGTCATGGCTCCTCGAAAAGCAACTCCTGCGGAACCTCTCTTAATTAAGATGAGAAGTAAATAATTCCTTTGATCATAGAAGATACTTTCTAGGGTGTTAAGTTATCAATATGTATCATGAAGATACAATATTCAGTAAATGATTAAAAGAAACTTTACGTGATGACATAATACATTTGCGAAACTTACACCACAACATCAACATACTTTACAAATTCTTTTAGCTCCATGCAATGACCCAGGATTCCCAGCAAATGGCAATGGGCAATGGCGGGACCTTAAACACAACTCGTGGGTAACATTTTCTTGTAATAAAAAATATCAGCTTGAGGGAAGAAGACAAATACAATGTAAAGATGGCATTTGGAGTGGTAACCGTCCTAAATGTGTCGGTAAGAAAATTCGAAGATGTTCCTTTGAAAAAATTTCCGAGCGATATCAGTTATTTTGTTTTTACAGAGAAATTGTATCTCTCTTTTATCTGTTGGTCTCTTCCAAAGTATGGTTGTGGCGTTACACATTGTAGATATATTAATATTGTGACAACCCCATCCTACACTGTTCTTGTTTTTAAAGTTCTTCTTCTGTCTTTTCTGATCTTTGAAACTTTTTGTTTTGTCCTCTACCTATTTTACTAATACAGCCGTGTGTCCAGATCCTGGTAAACCATTGAAAGGCAAGCGCCATGGCAATAATTTTAAGAATGGTAGCATAATAACTTTTACGTGTAACACAGACCACGAGTTAATAGGAAACAACACCATACGGTGTGAGGATGACGTTTGGAGCGGTAGCGTCCCTCTCTGTAAAGGTATGGTATTATATTTGAGGTTTCGAGAGATAATTTAGATAACCCTTTTGATCCATTATTTGGTAATTCGTTCAACACACAATTACACTATTTAATTTGTGGGAAAGTAATATGCCTCTGAAATCATACCAGTTAAAAAAATATTCAAATTTGAAATTATGAATAATCACCTCTATAATAAGATAGCCAACTACCTGTTAAGTTTAAGTAATGAGGGAGTGAGGGAGAAAGCGAAATAAAGTTAAAGTATCGTGAAAGACAAACTTTAAGCGCGAAAATGTTCATGAACAGAGAGTAGCCCAGGAAACCTGATCTTCAAACTATGCCTCAGCCCTGAAACATAATATCAAGGAATTGAAAAATTTCGTCGATACGCTTTGAATGACACAGCGAGAAAGCAAGCTAGGACAATGCACACGAAACAAACTTACCGAAAAACATTTCTGCTATTGAAGGAAAATGCAAATTCCAAGGCAGTCCCAAAAATGGATACACATCAAACGGAATCTTCCTAAACGGAAAACTCTTTTCACATGGTAGCAACGTCGAGTACGCTTGTGATGTAAAGTACACTATGGATGGCACCAACATTCTGCACTGCAACGATGGCTTTTGGAACGCTAGCATTCCCTCGTGCAAGGGTATGTATTCATTCTGTGCTAACACGAAGTTGACCTCTAAATTACTATTATCACCTTGAAAAAGTTGGTGGTTTATTAATGTATTTTCATTGAACATCGCTGTTCTCTTTCGTAGCCACATGTACTGACCCTGGGTTAATAGACAGAGGAAAACGAAATGGTACAGATTTTTCTCACGGACAGGTGGTCACGTATGAATGCTCTACAAAAAACTACAGTTTGGTTGGAAATCCTCGTCTTACATGTAACAATGGAGTCTGGGATTCAGCTCTTCCAGTTTGCAAAAGTGAGTATCCTAAAATATACATATTTTAGTGTTTCTTAGTATTTTAAAAGACGAAGCACATAGTTGTCAATTATAACCGCGTAAGTTTGGTAAATTTCCTCAGCTAGAAAGCCAAAAACACCATGATCAAACATATGCTCGCAAAACATGTCACACAGACCTGTTTGGGCCACACACTTCGATGCAATAAAGTTCTTGCAATATTTCATAAAGTAATTTGGTGATACTCAATTGCCCAACCTCTCCTTCTCTAAACTCAAGACTTGTGGCATATTTTTGTTCTAAAATAGACATTATTTTGGTTGTCGGGGTACGAAAGAGGTCTCAGTGCCCAAGTATAATGATAGGCATATATTATCATGGCATTATCTGTTATATCTTTCAGAGTCCTGTAATCCACTCCCACCGTTATCTAATGGCAAAATCCATAACAATGGTGTCAGTCACGAGACCGTGGTCTCTTTCTCCTGTAATTCAGGATTCAAGCCCCTAGGGTCCCTGCAGATCAAATGCCTCGATGGGATATGGAATGAAAGTTCACCAAGTTGCATAGGTCCAGTTACTCTCTTCAATCCATTGCATTATCATAATATCTCTTATATCAGTATCACTATATCATTATCATTATGTATTATTTCTTTTAATTCAAATTATACTTGTCACCTTTGAGTAATAGTTAAGTGTCGTCTTTCTTTTCCTTTATTCAATAAGGGAAACGATATCGCGGCATATGAATGAATAACCACCAATCAATCAAAAGTCATACTAGCCTGCAAATCAGGCGTAATTTTGGCGGGCGAGTGCTTAGTATTTTCTATACAAAAATTATGGCCGCCATCTTTGATTTTATGGCAACGGAAGGCTGGGGAAGGACGACGATAAAAAATAAGGAGAGGCGTAGGGGAGTTAAGATTACTTCTCGCCCTCCTCCCGCCTCCTACCCTCACCGTCCACTCTAACTCCAAATCAAACATGGCCGGTTGAATGGACGATCCCGAGCTTATAACGTTTGATCGTTCAAGTGAGACACCTGCACAGCAGGCTGAAGTCATACAAATGTGTCGATATTTCTTAACTTCAATTTCCATCAATTATTGGTATTTGGCAATACGTTTTCCGGATTGTGTCATTGAATATGGCAGTTTTAACGAAAAGAATAGGATGGAACTTGGACCATCAGCCTGGTGTTTATTTTCGTTTCATTAATGTTCATTTATAGTGTTATGTTCATCTATAAGCCAGTCTTACTTAATTATCTGCTTACCTGTTTCTGTATTTATTGACAGCCTCTATTGTTTTCTTTTAGGTGTATGTGCTAAGCCGGGAAAACTCGGTAACGGGACAGTTGTCGGAAGCAATTACAGCTACGGTTCTGTGATCAAGTTTAAATGCAATAAAGGCTACAAGTTAAGAGGCTCAGCCAAGTTAAAGTGCAAAAAGGGTGTATGGGAGGGTCAATTTCCAGAGTGTGAAGGCAAGTTTATGTGTTATGTAAATAATAATGATACCATCAATATTTCAATGTGAATACAGCTGGTAATTCTGTTACGATTAAAGTGACAGAAAAATATATTAGAGCAAATCAAAAAGCAGTTTATTTAATTACCTATAAAGAAACGCTTTTAGGGTCTGTAAGGTTCCTGAAAAAAAGTTGAGCGCGTAATCTGACGTGTTGCATGCTGTATCTAAATGTATGTTCAAATTTTTATTTCATTATTCATTAATGCAGTTTGAATTAATGATAGTTTACTCATTTTCCTTTAGTATGTGTCCGGGTCGGAGCAGTGTTTTGGGGATTTTGGAATAATAATAGGAAAGCAGACAATTACTGGAAAGCTTCCATCACAAGGATAACTGCAACACATTTCGATTTCGCATTGCTAAACAACAACAAACAGACGCGTCGTTACCGAAGGACTGATCAAAAGCTCATCATCGATAAAGTACCATTCATAGGGAACTTATTACCTAACTCGTCTGTAATAGCCAATCAGTTTGTCCATCCAGGGTGGTATCGAACTGGAAAAGTTATTGGTACGTCAGGTGGCTCTTTGGTGCACGTGCAGTTTGATGATAGTGAAATAAAATGGGTTCCGCTTGGACGTGTACGTTTACTCTCTTACCCTGGCTTTTGCTCTGATGTTGAGTAAAAATTAGAAATTAATGAATAAAGGGGGTAAGTTTCTAAAGAAACTGTGGTGCTACGTCAGGGGGAAAGTATAGTAGGTAATTTAGTGTCAACAACCGAGTTGAAGACGTAAATTGACCACCGTATGAAGTTAAAAGGCTAACGTTTCGAGCGTAAGCCCTCCGTCAGAGCGATAGACGAAGGGCTAACGCTCGAAACGTCAGAATTTAAACTCTTTACAGTGGCCAATTTACGTCTTCAACTCGGTTGTTGACACTAAATTACCTGTTATAGAAAATAATGGACTGCTTAAATCTGAGAATAATTCAGATACTGTTTCCTGCTTAGAAAAAAATAATAACCTGCCGCCATGTAGGTTGTTGTTAGTGTGTATTGAGACAAGTTACTTACTCCTTTTTTGTTTCTGAAACTTCCTATAAAATTAAGGGTGAAGCAAATTAGTATTAGGAGTGCAATTGGGTAACGTCACCCTTTAAGATAAGGTAGAAATCAAGTGTAGCTTTTGTTTTTTGTTGCTGGGGCCCAGCCCCAGATTTTGTCAAGGCCAGATAATCAACACTAGAGTAACACAATCGCTTTAATGACGTGAATAAACTTGAGAGAAATTGAATTGCCACGATTTTTTCAATATTAGATCGGTGTCCATCGTCTAACGTTTGGCACATTTACTGGCTTTTTTTCCCCCAGAAGTTGGCCATGAGGGCCCAGTGGTCACCCTTCTTCAAATTTATAGGGCCCTAATTAAAGACAGGGGGCCCAATAAGGGAGGTACCTCCCCCCCCCCCTTCCTTATTTTGGGTTAAAAAAAAGAATCGAAGAAGGAAGAAAAGCCGGCAGGGTGCCCAACAATTATCAGCGAATCCTATCCGGGAGGCTCAGGTATGAATGTCATTGTAGCCTGAATTTTTCCCAAGTCATTTTTTTTTGCAGTTTCTGCACCTTCCCTTCCCCTGTAAGGAACATTTCTTTACTTATGATTTTTAAGTGTCAACTAGCTAAAATAGGCACACACATTCATTCAAATTTAAAATTATGCAGTATTGTGACACTGTTATGATAGTGTTAAACTAATGATTTCTCGAGTCTATTTTCAACTCTAAGCACTAACATACAGACCACCTTTTTCTCACATTAGCATGACCCATCGAGAATGTGCTCTCCTCTCAAACTGAAATGACCAGGGAGGTAAAAGGCAAGTTTGTTCAACGATTAAGTATGTACAGATAACATTTTTGCTATCTGCAGAATATTTCTTGTAACAGGTAAAATTAAACTCGCACTTCTGGTCCATTCAACGATTAAAAGTAAGAGGAGAATATTTATGCTACTGTGGCTATTTCCATGAGGAAATGAAACGAACGAATGTCCAGCACTTGACAGAAATGTTATATACAACTTTTCAAAATGGCGCCAAAGAAAATTTGTGTATAGCATGAAACCGCCGACCTGAAGGATCGATACTGTAACGGCATGAGCACAGCGGAGTTCTTTGCAAAGAAAAATTTGTTTGGAAATACCATTATATATGGGTTTAAAAACAGCTTTCTAATTTAAAAAATTGAAAAATATCGTGACCAGAGGTGGTTCAAAATACTTTAAAATATCTCTAATGGATCGTGCAGAGGCTGATGGATAGAAATTACTCGCCTTCATGCCTGTATGCTTTTAGTTTTCGTCACACGTGTAGTGAGAAAAAAAGTTGACAGGTGACTGTGACTTCCACGTGAATTTTCGGTCGTAAAAGAACTGTTAATTTTAGGAACAAGACAAAAACTGTGGTCGCGGGGCTGCCTAGGGGAGTAGAATAACTGCATGCTTAGCGTGTAGTGGTTAAGATCATGATCTCTTCTATCTTGCCAGTATGATACGTTAGAATTGAAGACATCAATAGTTAGCAACCGAATGAAAGAAATCTGGATATTTTTTTCAGGCATAGTCTTTCCCTTTCTCTATCGCTCTCGTTCTCGTTCACAACCACAAATGACACGAATTTTTTTATTGCGTTTTCTGGTTGATATTTGTATTTAAAATTTATAGTGATCGACCTTAGCGTGTAGCGTGTTCTCCGTGACCAGTTTTTTGCGCATAGAATGAACGATTTGGCGGCCAAAGAGGGGTTTGTTTTTCCAATCTCTACCTGAACACCGCAAGAGAGAAACTATATAAGTCAATCTTCGTCGAAGTCTTCCCTTGATGAGGAAGGTTCTCCTTCTTAGGGCTGAACCATACTCGCAACTTCTAGTTCTTCTTTACTACTTGAGCACGATGCATCACAACTCTCGGAAGAGCTAGCTGAAGGATGGTATATATCGCTATAGGACATAATTTTTATGGTATTTCAACGATAAGTATAACAAAAAATGTAAGAGATTTGTAATTGTCAACTGAGAGTTTTCACAGTTCTCAACTTTATCTCCCACCACCTGGTTACCATTTTACGAGTTTAACACTAAATTACAGCACTTTCGGGCCCAAAAAATCCAGAGTTTTTTTTTTAAATTTTCCTTTTATCGGAATTGGTCTATACCCAGAAAAATCTAAATAAAAACGCAAAAAACTTTCGTGTCTTAGGCACTGTAGATAATAATATGCAGCTAAAGTTCAATACGACGTACTTAAGAGAGGATGTCAGCATCCATCGGACAAATTTAGAAGTATTGTGGCAAGTCGCCCAAAATTCGTTTTCTCTCCTACTTTCATATTTTGTAGCCCAATATGTTCTTATAATTGTGGTATAGTATTTTTGTGAAAATATATTTTAGTTTTCGAGAAATGACTTTTTTCGTTCGATCGCTCAAATATGCAAATTTTCACCGTGAATATTACCCGAGTTGCGTGACCTCATGTGACTATTGTACTAGACCTACGGTATTTTTGTGAACATAATTCTTTGTTTTATCATCTAAACTTAATCCCCTGTCGTTATTGAAGCTGGAAAAGAAATATTTATTTTTTGGTGAATATTTTTGTCCGACATACTTTTCCTATGTCGAAAAGTAGCATCTAAACAAAGACAGTTTTAACAATGACCGATATGACAAAATCTACTGAGCTTCAAGCTTTTAAAAGACCAAAGGATGGTTATTAAGTTACTGTAAAAATTTCCTTGTGTATTTGTGTTGTTCTGTCTCGAGACGAACTCAAAGTCCGGCAAAATTTACTTGACAGCGACAATGAAATATACATGGTGCGCCTACTAGTCGCTACCGTAATTGGCATAAATCACTAAAATTTGTAAAAAAGTCTAAAGTAACACTTTTACCTTGTTTATTTATGATTTTATTAGCCGTTTCGTTTATTATATCACGCCTGGGTATTACTTTTTGACAGCAGCCCAGGTTTTGCGTTGTGCTTTCCCCTCCCTCGTTTATATCATAAGCTAGTCACGCAATAATTGATACCGACACAAGTGAATATTTACCATGTATAAAGATTTTTGTTTACGTTGAATTGAAAATATTAAAATCTGTGCTTTCTTCAGTAATTGTTGTTTCAGCGGCAGCGAAGCAGTTAAAAGCGGGTTGTTGCTTCAACGCTACTGAAATTTTTAGTATTCAGACAGGCGAGCAAAGCGTGATGCTCTGGGAATAAAAACTTTTAGGGGCCTTTCACATGATGTCCGAATGAGTTTTGTACAAGAACAAGCTCATACCGGTTGGTGCATAATAACCAGCGTAAAATTTATTCGAAACGAGTCATTACTGAGTGAGTTTATTGGGGTTTTCATTGGAGAACGAAACACTCATTCTGGACGACCTTTTCTACCTGTGCAATGTAAACGCGGCACGGCTCTCATATTTGTATGAATCCTCTGTAGGAGCGAGGGAAGCATTGAAAAAGACAGAAAAGGACATAAACACTTGTTTTTACAGGCTAATTGTTGCCACTCCCACACGGATAAGACTTAAGTACCTTTTATAATTTTATAGCGGTTGGTTTTTCGAAATTCCAGGCGCGCACCCCCGCCCTCTTATGTAAAGAGGTTCCCCGGGGGTGCTGATACGTGCAGCACACTTGACATTTATGGCGAAGAGAAACAAGTTTTGTCAGCGTCTAGTTGCTTGTGCGGAAGGGCCCTTTACCACCGTGTGCATTTGGCACCCTACATCTGCCATTAGAACCACGATTCCACCCAACACCGAGATTTGATCTGTGAGTGGGGCAATTTGTAAAATCATCGATATCTTTTGGCGTCTCGATGATGCCGGCACGCGACAAAACAAGATCAACTTCATGTTCTGGATCTGAAAACTTGCAACTCCGCAAGTGACTTGAAATGTCTTTTTAACAATCACACGAGAGAACGACTTGATCTTCTCGATAACTAAACCCACTAGCGAACGATTTAACTAAACAGCAAATCTCCAGTTTAGCATGCAAGATGAGACGCTTACAAAACAGATCAGTTAGCTAACCCAGTACGTAGCTTGTCAATCAAATTGACTATTGTTACCATACTTAGACTTCAGCCGGCAAAGGAATCATTGATGGATCTGGACATTTTAGTTTTCTGAATATAGTAATTCCTGAAAGGTTTTTCTAGATGTCATGCAAAGAGGAAAAAAAACCCATCTCTTGGTATTTCGGAGGTTGACTCATCTTTGAATTTCTGTGTCACGCTGGTCACGCAACTGATATAATAAGATAGAGAAGATATATAAACTGGAACTCAAATCTGGCTAGAATATGGTAGAGCATAATTAACGTGATCATCGAAACAGCTAATAAAATCATAAATAAAGAGCGTTATGTTAGATTTTTTTGTAAATTGTAGTGATTTATGCCAGTTAACGGTGGCGACAAGTTGGCGCACCATGTATATTTCATTGTCGCACCATGTATATTTCATAGTCGCACCATGTATATTTCATAGTCGCTATCAAGTAAATTTTGCCGGACTTCGAGTTTGTCTCAAGATAGAACAACATAAATACACAAGGAAATTTTTACAGCAACTGTATAACCATCTTTTTGTTTTAAAAAAGGTTGAAGCTCAGTAGATTTTGTCATATCGGTCATTGTTAAAACTGTCTTTGTTTAGATGCTACTTTTCGACATAGGAAAAGTATGTCGGACAAAAATATTCACCAAAAAATAAATATTTCTCTGCCAGCTTCAATAAAGACAGGGGATTAAGTTTAGATGATAAAACAAAGGATTATGTTCACAGAAATATCATAGGTCTAGTACATGCGCCACATGAGGTTACACAACTCGGGCGATATTCACGATGAAAATTTGCATATTTGAGCGGTCGAACGAAAAAAATTATTTCTCGAAAACTGAAATAAATTTTTACAAAAAAACTACACCACAATTGTTAGAACATATTGGGCTACAAAATATGAAAGAAGGAGTGAAAACAAATTTGGGTGACTTGCCGCTGTTTGTTTGATGCACACTGACATTAGCTCTTAAAATGATTTCAATGAATGTTAAAGAGAACAAAGGCGGCTATTTTACATGGGCAAGTAGCCTATGTGTAGCCGTTCTCTCCTCCGATGGTGAAACGGAGGCGAGGCAATTCACTTATTTCATCACTGCAGCTGCACGCGATCGCCTGCCAACGTTTCCTTGATGACGCGAGCGCCTAACGAAGAAAGTGGAGACTATTAGTAATTTATAATCTCACTGAGTAACATTCTAAAGCAATCTCAGTTGAAAGTAAGTCCACATGATTACAGCAACAGATATGCTAATGGAAGCTAAATGGCTTTGCGCATAAACTGAAGAAAATGTCTCTTTTATCATTCTTATCTGTAAGATTGGTTTCAGCGTCCTTTATATTTTCCTTTTTTGAGCGTCACGTATGGTGAGTACGAAAAATAATATCAACATATACCAAGTTTTGACAAAGGTGCAAGTAGTAAGTTCTCGATTTCAAAAGCACATATCTGAAGAAAAGTAACCTCTCATACATGTCATGCTCAATAAACTTCCCTTAGCGCTGAAGCTGGAAGATAAATAACGCGGTACTCCCCAAACGAAAGAATACGTCATGCGTCATCTTTCAGCATCCTTTTTTTTCGTAAATTATTGGTTTAATATGCAAAGGCACGTGCCACTGAACTCTGCCAGAGACTTCCTCCTTCTGTTAATTACAGAGTAGTAATTAAGGTAATGTGCCTTTACCCATCCCTTGCTCTATTCTTGATCAAACCAGTGGAATAGGTGGTTTCAGGGTATTCCTCAACGAAATGAACCGTGCATTGTTAGTGTCTGTTTTAAACTTTATCTCGCTCGTGGTCGTCACATGTGTTGAGTAAGAACTGTAACATACTTATATCACATTAAACGTTAACAAAGTAATCAGTGATACATTAAATGAAAAAAACCCACAGCTTCGAATCCTTTCCTGAAATCTCAGCGAGGAAAAGTAATCTTTACCGCATGCTAAGAGCAATATTTTGCGCAGAGTCAGGACAATAAAGAACAAGGTACTTTCAAAGCGAAAGAGCTTGCCTTAATTGTTACATGTGTAAGCATTTCATGAAAAACGTAAAATTATGACAGAAAAAAATGCTTTTGTCGTATTGTGGCTTTCACTTCGAATAATCTGCCTGATTTCTGCAAAGAAAAACAAGAATATCGACATTTGATCACGAAAAGAAAGTGACAGGGCTTCAAACATGGAATTGGCATAAGGTCAGCAGAAACTGTCAAAAACAATTAACAGTTTGTTTTCCTTCTCCTGATAAAGGTAAACAATACGGTGTATTCAATTACACACTGTAGGAGACTAACTTGCTTTTCAATTTAAATCAGTCAAATTAATACAAGCCAAATGGTAAGGATTAGTGACACCGAACGCTGCTTGAGATGCTGCCCCTTTTACACTATTATTCTTATGCTAAATTACAATGTTAAAGGAAGTTGGAGTACGTTGCATCTAAAAGGCTGTCTTTCCGCATCCTTATCTTACTTTGAGCAACTTATTTCAATAAGAAGGTCAGATTTTATGGGCTTCCTCATGAAACGTGTGGGGTTGGTTCCAGCGTCCTTTATAGTCCCGTTTGTGATCGTCACATATGGTGAGTACAAAAAATAATATCGACTGCATCATACCAGCTTTTGACAAAGCGGGTATGACTCGCGGCCACAAATTCTCTATAAAGCGCATACCCGAACAAAAGTAACCTGTCATACATGTTATGCTCAACTAGCTTCCCTTAACACTCAAGCTGGAAGATAAACAATCCGGTTCTCTCAAAACGAAGGAAGATGCCATACGTCAGCTTTCAGCATTGTTTCCATCTTAAAAAATGTAAAATTTTATTATGCAAAGCGCATGCCACTAAACTCTGCTAGAGACGTCGTTCCTTTAACAAATGTGAACTGAGTTAGTTTTAAGTCTGTGACACTGAAAAAGGAAACGTCCTTCTACATATCCTTATTCTTGAGCAACCCAATGTAAAGAAGGTTTTCATGGTTTTCCGTCACGAAATGAATTGTACACTGTTAGCTTCTGTTTTGAACTTTCTCTCGCATGTGATCGTCACATCTGATGACTGACGAAAACTACAATACTCAAATCACTCTAAAAGTTGACAAAGCTATCAGTTATAAATTTTGATGGAATCTCATTAAGGAAAAGAGATCTTTACCTCATGCAAAGAGCAATAAGCTTCCTTTGGCGCTGAAGCCGGAAAATAAGCGTTACTCTCAAATTAAGCGGAAGAAGTTTTCGTGTGTTATCCGTCAGCACTTCGTCATTTATTAGACAAAGATGCATATTTTATTCTGCATCGCTGCCTCCATTTCTAAGAGTCTGCTGAATTTCCCAAAAAATGAAACAAGACTATCCATAATCATGATAAGTTAAGGATAGGACTGTGGCTATGAGATGGGCATAAGGGTCAGCACAAATTGCCAAAAAGGGTTTGTTAACATAACGCTTGGTTCCAAGGCTCATTAGCCAGTTTCTTAAAGGCAGCTCTGTCTGTTTCAAAATTTACAAGATAATTCAAAGATAATTATAACACGTATGGAAAAGCGCATGCCCAACAAATCAGGAAACCCCAATATTGTTTCAAGAAACATTAGCACTCAACGTTGTACACCACGGGGTCGTTAAATTAGCCTTTCTTTGCAAATAATTTACTATTATAAGGCGGAACTATTTGTTTCTTAACCCAGGTCATTTGTTATAAAGGGATTGTACATTGTGACATTAATTCGCCATTCGTCTCGAAAGCTTGTCGTCAGCTGTCATTTTTTTCTCTTTTTTTTAGGCTCCACGTGTGATCAACCAACCTTTCCTCATGGCTCAGTTATCATTCATCCCACTCAGCGAGAAAAGTACCAAAACGGCCAAGTAATTCTCTTTGGCTGTAAACAGGGTTTTTATCTGGATGGAATGCCAATTATAACATGCAATGGGAACAAATGGACACAGACACAATTCCGATGTCTGGGTATGACGCAATTAAATTCTCTTTAGAATAAAACAAAACGTTCCGTAACTAAGGATCGGCATTGTTTAGTGGTTCTGCATTTCACAGTAACATTCGGTGATTCATGCATAAATGTTCGCGTGTCAAACTTTTCAATTCCAAAGTGCAGCTTTCTAGAAATGTCATAGATAATCACTATGGACACAAGGAGAGTTCTAAAATAACGATGAAAGAGGTTTGGTTCCCATTTTGGTCACTTGTCACCACCTATGGAATAGTGAAAAGATATAATGCTCTATGCTTAACACAAGATAGTTTTTCATTGTCAATTTATGGCAAACACTGAAGACAGTTTAATCAAAAGTATTATTTGCCTTCCTCCACCTAAAAATTCTATTGCTTCATCTAGGGTTTTGTCCGGAGGTGCGTAGCATTTTAAATGGTAAAGTATCTCATGTGACCCCACAAGTTGGCAAGGCTGCAATAGAATTTCGCTGTGCTAATAACAGTTTCCAGCTCATCGGTAGGAAAAGGCTGGAGTGCATAGATGGACGATGGAATGGAAAGCTACCCTATTGTCATAGTAAGTTATCAAAACGATCTTAAAACTAATTAACTTGCAATAAAATTGCATAAAACTTTGACAACTACTTGACATAAAACTGATTAAAACTGCTTGCGACGCAGCGTTTTTGCTCTTTTTTATCATTTACAAGAATTCGAGTATGGGTAGAATTGACTTGAAATAAATCTATTTTTCTTCTACAGAGTTGCCGTCGTGTGTTCGTCTGCAAAGTCCAGCTAACGGCATAGTACATGGCAATGACAACAGCCATAGTGCAGAAGCAAAATTCACATGTTTTACAGGCTTTGATCTATTTGGGGCTTCAACATTAATATGCAACAGGGGCGTTTGGAGTTTCCGTGTTCCAACTTGTAAAGGTCAGTCGTCTTATTTTCCATAACCCGTTGACCTCTTTATAAATGCCTCTTCCAAATCTTCAGCACCAAACTTTCCGGTTCTTTTATCCTTCTGATGCGCCATTTGCATCTAAGAGCCGAACAGGTTTGATGTTCATGTCCTAAATCATTGTTCAATGTTTATTTCTCAGCTTACTGCACGAAGATTAGGGATCTGCCAAATGGACACGTGTTTGGCACACGCTTCTCTCATGGACAAGTGGTTTCCTTTAACTGCAAACATGGCTATGAGTTGGTTGGAGATCGCAGCCTTCGTTGTATTAATGGAGGATGGAATTCTTCTGTCCCGCAATGTAAAGGTTAGTAATTCCTCGACATCCCAAGAAAAATGTTTAAGAATATGTTATGGCTTATAAACTGAGAGTAGCATATTCTTACAATATGAGAGGGTTTGTCACAAAACTGTAGAAACTCCGCCTACTTTTATTTTGGTTCTATTTATCTCTTTTGTATTTGTTGCCACTACGTGTACTGCGAAGACCGAGAAATACATCGGAATCAGTACAGGAGAGTACTTTCCATTCAGTTAGGTCACTTCGAGTTATTTATTTCTCTATGTGCTTGCAGGGTTCCTTTATTTTATTCACGTTATCTGATCTTTTAACTTTGGTCCAATTGCCACGCTAACTAACACGCTCCCCACGATTAAGGGCCCTCATTCTAATAAGTGTTTTAATACAAAACATGTCTTTATAGGGTTGGCTTAAAACGAATCTTTCATCCGTATATTTTTACTGGTTATTGGCAGAATCTTAACCATTTTTTTCCATTTAAAATAGATCATTAGGATAAAAGCATGAGTTTTTGTTGCTATACTTTCATTGGTTCTGTCTCTGCGTATTTTATCATATCGTTCCAAATGATTGCAATTTCAAACAAAAACAACCTCAATTTGCCTCTTATATATGTATTTTTTATTCTTTTATATCAATGAAGCATTATAACGCATGGGTAGCTTATATAAAAGGAGGCAAATGTAATTCCTGGCTAGATTACTCAGTCACAAAGGTAGATTCTAAGTTTTAAATTAATAGTTGTTTATGAACACTGCTTTTTGTTTTTTCTAGTTATGCAATGTGCAAAACCCTCCATTCCAAGTAATTCACGTATCATATATCCACGAACAGATCAAGTGAGATACACACACGGTACAACTCTTTATCTGGCCTGTCATCAGGGTCATCTTTTGGCGGGATCGCCGATTATGGTGTGTAACTATACCACGTGGCTGAAAAGAGAATTCAAGTGTATCGGTATGTTTTCTCCAGTTCAAAAAGTGAAAGTAAACTTGCAACAAGTGTGTGGTCTTCCTTTGTGCTCCTTTTCTTATTTAAGTAAGAGCCGGAACGTGCTAGCGAAGCTAATTCAAATATTTTCCAATTTTTCTCGAATCCAAAATTGGCAAAAAAAATTTTGGCGGTTGTCGCATCATAGTCACATCGTTTGACCACCACCACTGATTACCACATACATCAATCGCAAACCCATCTTGCTCTTAGAATAAACGAAAAAAGAAAAAAAAAACCTCGCGCAAATTATTACGTAAGAATGGATCATTTTACCACCTGATCTTAGCGTTTCGATTGCCAATTGCGCTTTGTGCGCTGGCGTCGATACCGGAGACGGACGGGGTATTTCTCAAGTGATTGCAACCATGGTACGAATCAAAGAAATGTAAATAACAGCGGCGCTTAAGCTCTTCGTCTCCCACGAAAGTAAACGGGTCAGATGGACCAGGCAAAAATTGTTTAGTCCTACCTTGGCATGCGCCAAAGTGGACTAGCGGCGGACCAAAGTATTTTATCCAAATATGCCTCGCGTAACAGCTTCATGATAAAAAAAATGATTATTAGTCTTACCAAAGTTTGGAAGCCTCCGAGGCAGGACATCGGCTACTGTAAATATTGGCGAATTTTTTTAACTAGGGGTCAATCTTACTTTACGCTACACACTCTTTCTTATCTATGTAATTGAGTCTTATTTACGTTAAAACATGCATGATTTCAACAATTTGAGAACTTGGCCGTCATGTGATAAAATACTTATTGACTAAGTTAAGTCGGTCCGAACGCGAAAATATTTGGCTCTCATTAGGCTCGTCATGGTAGGTAACTACATTTTCTTGAAAACATGATGTTTATATTATAAATGTATGAAGAAAAAATAAGTAAACTATGTTACACCATCGCTTTGATAGCTCCCTGTCCCATCCTTGGACCAATGAGGAACGGAGTCATCACATATGTAACACGGAAGGGTGGTGGTGAGGTTGAAATAAAGTGCCATGCTAATTATACGTTATCCGGATCCTCAAGATTGAGTTGCATAAATGGAGAGTGGAGCAATAGTATTCCTTCGTGTAAAGGTATGTCTCATACTCGTGATTGCCACCAGTCGAAAAGTAAGAAAAAAAATAAACCTTCACGGCCTCCACCTGGCCTTCCCCTCATATCGTGCCAATTGTATATGTAGTCTTCCTTGCAATATAAAAGATCCGATTCTCTCACAGGTAATTTCTCTTTTAGCTTTTAAAGCTTCCTGCAAAGATCCTGGAAATCCTTTGAATGGGAGAAAGATTGACGATTACTTCCGTCACAAAAAAACCGTGTCTTTTACCTGCTTACATGTTTAAATGGCCAGTGGAGTGCTAAGATGCCACTTTGCCTGGGGGAGTTTTTCAGCAAAATCATGATAAATGCAAGACCCTGCATGTTGTTCAAAGGTCTTAGTTTCCTTAGTTTCATAATACTAAGCTCGAAACGCATTCCAACAGTAAATAGATAGCATTCAGAAATCAACTTTAACAGCTTGTTGCCACTAAATTATTCAAATGGACGTGGGAAGCCAGGATAATTTTTTTGCTAGTTTTTTCTAAACCTAAAAAATCACTCAAAAGAAAACATTAAAAGTTACGAGCAAAAGGTGAAAAACCTATTTATGGTTTTGACGTGAATTTTCCACTCCTTAGCACTTTGTCCTACGCCCATCGCACCAACGAATGGCAGAATACAAGGCAGAGACTTCAGACATGGGCAGTCTATAAAGTTTTGGTGTTCCCGTGGCTACACAAGAGTTGGTGCCTACTCGGCCACATGCAATAAAGGAAAATGGAGCGGACCGTTTCCAGTGTGTAAAGGTCAGAATTGTTATCTTGTGCTTGCCATTACTGTAAATAGCATATATATATATATATATAACAATTTGATATAAGAGGGAAATCAAGAATAATTATATAAATAGAAACAAACTCTATAAACAGTGATAAATTAATTCAATCAGAATGAAAAAGACTGTTTTCATCGTTCAAAAGGCTTGATGACCGAAAATTCTTATGTGTCAGTTCAAATCAATTAACGTCAGCGCTGGATAAAGTTCTACAGTTAAGATGGCCTATGGGTTAAAAAATTTACACCTTTCAGGAGCAATCGCAAAGGAAAACAGTTTTCAGGCCCCCTACTTTGATCACATTGCGAAACTTTGGAATTACTCTTGTTCTATTGCTCCTAGTCTTCTAGTATTCTAGTCAGGCGTTGGAATGGGGTGCGCTAGCACACTGATTGTAAACCTTTGTGAAGGAAAAGTAGAATGCAATTTCGGACTTTTTCGATTAGTGACAATTTTATTATGTAACGAAAAGTAGAGAAGTACCATACAACCTAATATTAAGTGGAATATGTAGGCATGAAAAGCTTAAACCTTTTAACCCCCGAAAGTAAACTGAGAAAGAAATTAGTTATTTAGAGAACACAGTTTTCCTACTGATTACACCGGCGCTGACCTATAAATATCACAGTTCTTTTCCAGTTCTTAGATATATCTTGATTGCTCACTGCCGAATGGTAACTAGTAAAATAACAATATTCTATTTGAAAATGTACGTCTAAAAGGCAAAGAGCAATTTAATGATTAACTGTAAGCTAAATTAGTAATTCTTTCCTTTTTGACTCCGTAGCATCATGTGCTAGGCACAGTATACCAGCTAATGGCAAAATAGTGGGAAATATCTTCAGTCATGGAAAATCTGTATTGTTTTACTGTTCGTTTGGCTATAAAAAAGTTGGCGCCCGTTCGATTAAATGCGATGACGGTAAATGGGATAAGCCGTCTCCAGTCTGCAAAGGTTAGAAATGTTGTTTTGTTCGCAACTACTTGCATTCATGATGAGTTAAGTAACGTTTGTTTTACGATTAATTATAGGCATTTGCCCAACGCCGAATGATCCACGAAACGGAAAAGTGGGTCAGAAGGTATCCCTCGACAAACGTTTCTTTGACGGAGATGAAGCAACATTCTCCTGCAACCGCGGGTATGACTTGATTGGTAAAAAGAAACTTCGCTGTGTTGGAAAAGTATGGGATTTTGGAGAGCCTGAATGTAAAGGTGAGAATGTTCCAGATCTTTTGAATACAAGGTACCCCTTGAGAAATGTTTTTGCTTCAATGACTGGTGACCGCCTGAATTAATAGCTTTTTAGTTTTCCTTACCCGCCACCTTCCCTTCTCCCTTTTAAGAACAGTTCTGATTATAAAACACAAGCCAATCAATGTATCCTCAAGAATGGAAAAATCGTTGTAGAGGTTGGAGTGAAACTGTTTTTTATGCAAAAATCGAGATTGACTCCAACTGTTCTGCCGGGAAACGTGATATTAACAGCATCTAACCTACCAGTGTCAATATGCTTTCGCGATTACATATAGACGACATTTGAGTCGGAGCTCCTCGAAAACCAACTCCTGCGGAACCTCTCTTAATTAAGATGATGAGTAAATAATTCCTTTGATCATAGAAGATACTTTCTAGGGTGTTTCTTCCACGATTTCTCATTATAAGTTATCAATATGTATCATGAAGATACAATATTCAGTAAATGACTAAAAGAAACTTTACGTGATGACATAATACATTTGCGAAACTTACATCACATAATCAACATACTTTTCAAATTCTTTTAGCTCCATGCGGTGATCCAGGATTCCCAGCAAATGGCAATGGGCAATGGCGGGACCTTAAACACAACTCATGGGTAACATTTTCGTGTAATAAAAAATATCAGCTTGAGGGAAGAAGACAAATACAATGTAAAGATGGCATTTGGAGTGGTAACCGTCCTAAATGTGTCGGTAAGAAAATTCGAATAAGATGTTCCTTTGAGTTTTAATTCATATGAAAAAGAATTTCCGAGCGATATCAGTTGTTTTGTTTTTACGTAGAAATTGTATCTCTCTTTTATCATTTGGTCTTCTCCAAAGTGTGGTTATAGCGTTGTACATTGTAGATATAGTGTGACAACCCCATCCTACACTGCGCTTGTTTTTAAAGTTCTTTTTCCGTCTAATGGAATGAAAGTTCACCGAGGTGCATAGGTCCAATGATTCTCTTCAATCCATTGCATTATCATTATACCTCTTTTATCAGTATCACTATATCATTATCATTATGTATTATTTCTTTTAATTCAAATTATATTTGTCACCGTTGAATGACAGTTAAGTGTCGTCTTTCTTTTCCCTTATTCGACAAGGGAAACGATATCGCAACATATGGATGAATCACTACCAATCAATTTAAAGTCATACTAGCCTGCTGAGTAGACGTAATTTTGGCGAGCGTGTGCTCAGTATTTTCTTCACGAAAATTATAGCCACCATCTTTGATTTAATGGAAGCGGAAGGCTGAGGAGGGAAATAAATTTGTACCAGAGGGGCGGTCGACGATCAAAATAAGGAGATTGATGGGGGTGAAGTTTACTTGTCGCCCTTCCCCCCCTCCTACCCTAGTCGTCAACTCTAACTCCAATCAGACATGGCCGGTCGGATAAACAATCGCGAGCTTATAACGTATGCTCGCCCAAATTAGACACCCACCCCTGCATTGCAGGCTTAGTCATACAAATGTATGGCAATGTTTCTTTACTTCAATTTCCATCAGTAATTGGTATTGGGCAATACTTTTCCCGTATTGTGACATTGAGAATGGCAGTTTTAAGGAAAAGAATAATATGAAACTTGGACCATCAGCCCATTATTTTGCTTATTTTCTTTTCATTAATGTTCATTTATCGTGTTTTGTTCATTTACAAATCATTCTTACTTAGTTATCTCCTTATTTGTTCCTGTATTTACTTACGCCCGCTCTTGTTTTCTTTTAGGTGTATGTGCTGAGCCGGGAAAACTCATTAACGGAAAAGTTGTTGGAAGCAATTACAGCCACGGTGCTGTAATCAAGTTTGAATGCACTAAAGGCTACGAGTTAAGAGGCTCAGCCAATTTAATGTGCAAAGGGAGTGTATGGGAAGGTCAATTTCCAGAGTGTGAAGGCAAGTTTATGTTAAATATAAATAACAACGATAATATCAATATTTCAATATGAGTACATTTTATTATTGTTACAGTTAAAGTGACAGAAATAGATATTAGAGCAAATGAAAAAGCAGTTTATTCAATTATCTGAACAGGAACGCTCTTAGGGTCCGCAGGGTTCCTGAAAAAAGGTCGAGCGCGTAATCTGACGTGTTGCATGTTGTATCTACATCTATGTTCTAAATTTTCATTCCATTATTCATTAATGCAGTTTGAATTTATGATAGTCTACTCATGTCCCTTTAGAATGTGTCCGAGTTGGTGCAGTGTTTTGGGGGTTTTGGAAGACGAACCGAAACGCAGACAATTACTGGAAAGCTTCCATCACAAGGATAAATGCAACACATTTCGACTTCGCATTGGTAAACGATAAGAAACTGACACGTTGTTACCGAAGGACTGATCAAAAGCTCATCATCGATAAAGTACCATCCATAGGGAACTTATTACCTAACTTGCCCGTTATAGCCAATCAGTTTGTCTATCCAGGGTGGTATCGCTCGGGAAAAGTTATTGGTACTTCAGGAGGCTCTTGGGTGCACGTGCAGTTTGATGACGGTAAAAAAAAAGGGTTCCGCTTGGACGTGTTCGTTTACGTTCTTACCCTGGCTTTTGTTCTGACGTTGATTAAATCATAACAAATAATGGACTGCTTAAATTTGAGAATAACTCAGATACTGTTTCCTGCTTGAAAAAAAAAGTTATCTGCAGCCATGTAGGTTGTTGTTAGTGTGTATTGAGACAAGTTGCTTGACCCTTCTTTTTCATAAATAGCGCTTCCTGTAAAATTTAGAGTGAAGCAAATCAGTACTAGGAGTGCAATCAGGTGAAACCAACCTCTTAGATAGGATAGAAACCAAGTTTAGCGTTTGTTTTGTTTTTTTGCTCAGCCCCAGCCCCAGATTGTGTCACACGGGTAATAAACATACTTCTCCTGAGGTTCCTAAGCTCATGTAAATTCAGACTAGTCTAGTCAAATATGGAGCAAGTTAAAGGATACAGCGAGCTCCAAAGATAATCAACCTAAAAGTAACAAAACCACTTGAACGACATGAATAAACTTTTAAGAAATTGAGTGGCCACGATTTTTTTTGACATTAGATTAGAGTCCATTGTCTAAGTTTTTACACATCAAGGCTGGTTTTTTCCTCCAGAAGTTGGCCCAAAGGACCCAGTGGGCAACCTTCTTCATGGGGCCTAATAAAGGAGGTACCCCTCTGCGTCCTGAGGCATACATGTGTACTGCAGTTCTCCCGTAAGGAAAACATTTAAAATTACTTACTCAACAAACCATCTCACACGATTGTTTCACAAGCGACATATAAATGAAACCAAGCCAAACTTGAAACTTACTTGCAAGATCTGTCAACGAAAGGACGAATAGATATATCATAATAAAAGATCCATTCGTCGCGGCTTTTGAAAAGCAAGATCCAGTTTTTGTTGCGCACGAGCGGTAAATTTACAGAAAGAGGCCATGTTCGACTCATATGATGACTCCAGCTGAGATTGCAAAAACGAGTGTCACTAAAGCTAACTTCAAACAACACTCCTACAAAGGAAAACTCTCATCCGGACTATAAGACAACACGATCAAATAGCACCTGTGAGTTCACACCATTCGCACTGAAAGGCCAGTTTAATTGATAATGCAGATGACAATATCATCTACCGTATTAATGGTACAATTGATGTGGTTGCTATAGACCAAGTAATGTCCTAGTCTCTGAGAAGTGGGTTGATTGCACATGAGGGGAAATTCAAAGCACTAATTTTGAGAACACACCCTTATGATGACACCTTGAAGCCCTTTATGTTGGGAGACAAAATTATTCAATACACATCTTTTCTTATTTGCCTTCAGGTAACAATTGATGAAAAAACTCTCCTGGGACAAGGATATAAAACAGCTGCTACATCACTCACTGCCTTAAAAATTTTAATATGAAAAAAAATACATAACAAATACATACTCAAAATAAACATTCAAATGTGTCATATTAGATTGGTTTTCTGAGGTTCCACCACTGAACATTCAAATAAGGACTTAGAGCTATCCTAGCATACCAATATCAACCCCTTAACCAGCAAGGGACATTGCAGATGCTAATTTTTACTTACAAATGTAAAATGGGTGTCCCTCAAGTACTTTGATTGTTTTGTGTCTTCTAACTATTTCCCATAAATTGTTTTTTAATTGCTAACTTAATGGATATATTTTTCAGTAATTCTACATTGTAGGTCTTTGTCAGCAATGATGTTGCCAATTTTATTCTGATCTACTTTCATGAATTCACAAATAAATCCGTTTAGTATATGTGTGCATGGACAGTAGAATGAATGAGAACCCTCTCTAGTAGTGTATAAATAGTAGACACTACATCTGAGCCCCAGAGAACAAATATAGTATACAATGCACACTAAATATCTTTGACATGGACAATCAGGTGATGAGATGCATGTGATGCAATTTCTTTGTTGTTTACAGTAAAAAAACCAATGATGCTTTATTTAAACTGAAGGTAAATAAAATATATAAAAGAAAATCCTGCAGCAATAGCTGCTTCAAAAAGCTGTTTTTAAATCTACCTAATCACTGGCAAATTAAAAGGGTACTTGCCACATTACTCATACAATAAACCTTTAAAATATCATTCCTCTATTTAAAACAATGACTAGCAAAAGCTTTACAGAGGACTCTAGTTACAGATCATTTCTCATATAAGCTATTAAAAGATGACATTTAAATTGTACTTCTGTGGTAATACTTTTTAGATGTAACAAGTCATTAGTGTTTGTTTGTTTCTTCTACAAAACAGTGTCACAATACTGCATTATATTAAATTTGGATGAATGTGTGAGCCTATTTTTATTATACTAGACACTTAAAATCATAAGTAAAGATATGTTGCTCACAGGGGAAGGGAAGGTGCAGAAACTGCAGAAAAAGCTTGAGAAATATTCAGGGTTCAAGGGGATTCATACTTTATTTTATCTTATTTATTTATTTGCCACTTACACACACAAACACACACACATAAATTACAGTTGTTTACATCAATCTAAAATTATAATAACTATAATAATATCTTTACACAAAAATCAACTCTTAATCCAGATGAAATTACAATTTAGGGTCATCTATAAGTAGTGTGGCGAGGAAGCCCAGCAGAAGCTAGAGGCTTATTAAACCTGGGTTCCTCACACGATGTAGAAGATGGATTTGCTAATTATGGATGGGCGAGTTTAATCTAGTTTTCTGTGAATGAGGAATTTTTTAAGTGAAGTCTTACAGACGGAGAATCTGCAGGATAGGATAAGATCATGGGGCGGGGAATTCCAAACCTTTGGACCTCGGTGCACCTTTGGTGCATGATTTTAAACTGCTTGATATTAGATCTGCAATAGTGTGTGTGCTAGTTTCTATTATTCCATGTATCATACATAAATTTGATGACGAGTAGAAAAAAGAGAATAAAAAGCATTAGGAAGGAGGCTTTTATGATAGGAATACATAAAACAAGCTACAAGGAAAGCATTAATGTTATAAATATCAAGGATATTAAGATTGTAGAACAAGGGCACAATATGAGCTAAGTGTTCGGCTCCTCGTATAATTCTGACTATACATTTATGCAGGAGGAAAATCCTGTTTAAATAAGGGATAAATTGAGGACCATAAGATATTACAATAGCTGAGATAAGAATATTCTAGAGTATGGTAGAGAGTTAGTAAAGATTTTGAAGAAAGAAAGAAACGAGATTTACTTATTAATTCAAAAGTTTTTTATATCTTTTTAGTAATGTGGGATATATGTTGCTTTCACGAGAGGTGCTGATCAACAAGAACTCCAAGAAACTTTGTTACCTCAACCTGCTTGATACCTATATTGTTGAGAGTGATGTTATCATTATGTTTTTGCAATTTTAAGTGATAGTTTATTAGCATTAAGCCAGCACATTAAGCCGTATTATTTTCCCTGACAAAGCCCTGTTGGGCACCGCTTCTTAACTACACTGTATAAAGCCACGCACCCATGGAGTCTTAAAAGTGACGTTTACAAAGTGACTCTGGTACAAAACAAAGGTTTGACTGTATGTCAACACTGATCATGAGATACTGAATATGTGAGGTTTCACCTGTGCACCTGTACAGGTGTTCAGTGTGATAGGTATCGAGAATCTCTCACGAAGATATGTAAACATACCTACATTTCCACTAAATACTCATTCTCAGTGTACTATACTGTTAAACTAATGGTTTCTCGAGTCTATTTTCAATCTGAGCAATACAATTCACCTTTGAGTCATTATCAAATTAACACAAAGACAGGATACCGTTGTTGAATGCCTCATTAAAAGGAAACTTCAAACTTACCTTTTCTCTTGTCTCTATTAAACGTGCTCTCCTCTCGGGCTGAAATGGCCAGGTAACGAAAAGCCAGGTTTGTTAAACGATAGGTATGTACAGTTAACATTTATGTTATCTGCAGAATATTCCCATAACAAGTACAAAAACCCGCACTTCTGGTCTATCCAACGCTCAAAACTAAGAGGAGACTATTTATGCTTCTGCTGTTGTGTTCTTGAGGAAATGAAACGAACGAATGTCCAGAAATTAACGGAAATGTCATACACTATTTTTCAAAATGGCGCCAAAAGAAATTAGTGTGTAGCATGAAACCGCTGACCTGAAGAACGCATCTATAACGGCATAGGTGACTTTCACATGAAACTTCGGCTGTACAAGAACTGTTTATTTTAGGAACAAGACAAAAACTGTGGTCACAGGGCTGCTCAGGGGAGTAGAATAACTGCATGCTAGCGTGTAATGGCTAAGATCACGACCTCGTATACTTTGCCAAAATAATATGTTAGAATTGAAGACATCAATAGTAAGCAAGCAAATGAAAGAAACCTGGATCTTTTTCAGGCGCAGTCGCTCACAACCACCAATAACAAGAAATTTTTTATCGCGTTTTCTGATTGATATTTGTATTTAAAATCTATAGTAATAGACCGTAGCGCTTAGCGAGTTCTCCGTGACCAGTTTTTGCGCATCGAATGAACGATTTGGCGGCCAAAACGTAGTTCGTTTTTCAAATCTCAGCCTGAACAACGCAGGAGAGAAACCGCATCAGTCAATCTTCGTCGAAGTCTTCTCTTGATGAGGAAGGTTCTCCTTCTTAGGGCTGAACCGTGCTCACAACATCCATTTCTTCTTTATTACTTGAGTACCATGCATTACAATTCTCGGAAAAGCTAACTTAAGGATGGTATATATCGCGATTGGACATTATTTTTACCTCGCTATTACAAAATTACAGTTGCAGAGATGTAAGTGATTTTTAAGTGTCAACCGAGAGTTTTCACAGTTTTTGACGTTATCTCGTTACCAGTTTAAGCAACCACTTAAGACAATTGCAAAATTAAAGCTCTTTTGGGCCTGATAGAAAACCGAGTTTTATTTTTTAATTTTTTTATATCAGAACATCCCTTAGCTCTGAAGCTGGAAGATAAACAACGCAGTACTCCTCAAACGAAAGATGTCATGCGTCGTCATCTTTCAGCATTCTTTTTTTTTTCCCTTGAATTATTACCTTAATATGCAAAGGCGATAAGACAACAGGATCAAATAGTACCTATGAGTTCACACCATTCGCACTGAAAGGCCGGTTTAATTGATAATGCAGATGACAATATCATCTACCTTATTAATGGCACAGTTGATGTAGTTGCCATAGACCAAGTAATGTCCTAGTCTCTGAGAAGTGGGTTGATTGCACATGAGGGGAAATTCAAAGCAGTGATTTTGAGAACACACCCTTATGATGACACCTTGAAGCCCTTTATGTTGGGAGACAAAATTATTCAATACACATCTTTTCTTATTTGCCTTCGGGTAACAATTGATAAAAAACTCTCCTGGGACAAGGATGTACAAACAGCTGCTACATCATTCCCTGTCACCGAGTTTTATTTTTTAATTTTCTTATATCAGAACTTCCCTTAGCTCTGAAGCTGGAAGATAAACAAAGCAGTACTCCTCAAACGAAAGATGTCATGCGTCATCTTTCAGCATTCTTTTTTTTTCCTTGAATTATTACCTTAATATGCAAAGGCACGTGCCTCTGAACTCTGTCGGAGATACTGCTCCTTCGGCAAATTGAAAGTGATGTTAATTACAGGTGGTAATGCAGGAAGAGGCTATTTATATTAGTTGCGCCATCATTTCCCTGTCGTTTTGATAAAAATTGTTACATCTGATATGGTTTCCTGCTGCTTAAGACGGTAAACTATTTATGATAAAGGAAATAAGGAGAAGTTGAAAATATGCACAGTTGAGTGTAAAATTAAGTAGGTCTGATTGAAACACCATACTGCCTAATTCTGATAAAAAGTTAAACGGCAGGGGTTGGATGACTTCCAAAACACATACCTTTCGATGGAAAGAAAATGACAGTACAGTTTCAGCCTCAGTGATTTGGCTGAAGGGGAAAAAAATTCCGCATCAAAAATAACACTTTGCTGACAGATAACTTCTCATTTCCTGCCCTTTAAACCCTGAGAAATAACAACGCTCAAAAGTAAGAAAACAAAGATAACGTTACTGTTTGCAGCTTGACCGAACGCGTGTGCTGAAAGGGAAAATCCTTTGACACGTTCGTGCGTGATTCTTATTTAATGCCTTTGCGTCTGAAACGCAGAAGTAATACCTTCAAATTACATTTCGTTATCGTAAACACTGCGAACGGTGTTGCGTGCGTTGCCTTCAAAGCTTTATTTTCGATCTTTTCTTGCTTAAACTGGCAAGAGGCGAAGACAATATACAAAACAAGTCATTAAGTATTGGGCAGTAAACCCGATTATCTATGCTTCAAGTTTAAATAGTTTAGCGACACTTGTCATCGTAGATAAAAAAGAGAGAAAAGAATGAGACGGAAGATAACTGGCATTGAGATTTTCTTTTTGAAATTTTGATTACGTAATTCACACATTTAACAAAGAAATCGGAAGCTAATTGCAGTGCGAGCCGGGACGCTATATCAACCAGTTGGTTTCTTGTTAGCGCAAGGAGCGGTTGCCTGACTGGATCGCTTGTTTGTTTCGCTTCCTTTTTCGATAACTTGAGGTGAACGACATGATGTATGCAATCACATACCAAACGAGACAACCTACTATACGAGACTAATTTGCCGATGTAAACAGTCAAAGCAAGACAATTCAGATTGTAAAGATTCGTGACAAATAACGCTGCTGGAGATGCTGACCCCTTTGACATTTATATTCTTATCTTAAATTACAGTGCTAAAGGAAGTTGAAGTACACTGCATTTAAAAGGCTGTCTTCCACATCCTTATCTCAATTTGAGCAACCTATTTCAGTAAGAGGGTTAGATTCTACGGGCTTCCTCATGAAACGTGTGGGGTTGGTTTCAGCGTCATTTATATTCTCGTTTGTGATCGTCACATATGGTGAGTACGAAAAATAATATCGACTGCATCATACAAACTTTTGACAAAGCGGGTACGAGCGACAGATTCTCGATTAAGCACATATCTGAACAAAAGTAACCTCTCATACATGTTATGCTCAATTAGCTTCCCTTAACGCTCAAGCTGGAAGATACACAACCCTGTTCTCTCAAAACGAAAGCGCAGTTAGTTTTAAGTTTGTGACACTGAAAAGGAAACGTTCCTTTACATATACTTATTCTTGAGTAAGCCAATGGAAAGGGGGTTTTCAGGGTTTTCCTTAACGAAATGAACTTTACACTGTTAGTTTCTGTCTTGAAACTCTTGAACATTCCCTCGCTTGTGATCTTCACATCTGGTGACTGACGAAAACTATAATACTCAAATCACTTTAAAAGTTGACAAAGCTAGCAGTTGTAAATTTTGATGGCGCACACACGGTTTCGGATCTGTGTCAGACATCTCATTGAGGAAAAGAGATATTTACCTTATGCAAAGAGCAGTAAGCTTTCTTTGGCGCTGAGGCCGGAAAATAAGCCACGCGTTACTCTCAAATAAAGCGGAAGAGGGTGTTATCCGTCAGCATTTTGTCATTTTCTGCATCGCTGCCTTCATTTCTAAGAGTCAGCCTAATTTCTGAAAAGTGAAACAAGACTATCCATATTCATGACAAGTTAAGGATATCACTATAAAAAATTGCGATAAAACATTTCTTAAAATCATTTCAAGATTAAAAAAATTGCTAAAAAGCGACGACGTTTCGACGTTGGCTGAGGTACGTCGATGATACTCTGGCTAGAATGCCTAGCGTTGATGTTGCTGCTGAGTTTCTTAGTACCCTGAATGGCCTACACCCCAGTCTAACATTTACGATGGAGCTTCCTGTGGATAACAAGATCCCTTTTATTGGCATTGAAATCGTCAAGAACGGAACTAAACTTGAAATTCAAGTTTACAGAAAACCAACAAACACCGGATTGCTCCTACATTTCCAAAGTCACACGGATAAACGCTATAAAGACTCTTTATTACAGACAATGATACATCGTGCCTATTCCTTGTCGTCTACAACAGAGGCTTTCAATGCAGAATGTGCCAAGTTGCGCTCTATATTTAGTCGCCTTGACTATCCAATGAGTGTTATTGATTCTGCTATCAAAAACTTTCTTTTTCTAAATTCCTCAGCTAACAAAGCAGAAAGAAACAATGATGATAGTAGCACAGTAAGAATTAGTGTTCCTTTTAAAGATCAAGTGGCCGCTAATGCGGTTCGTAAGCGGTTACGCGATCTTAGCCATAAGATTGGCCCTACTTTGCAACCAGTTTTCGTGAGCAAGAAATTGGGGCAAGACCTCAGACCCAAAGAAATCAAGCCGTCAATTGTTAATAAGCAGTGTGTTGTTTACAATTTTTCATGTGATCTGTGCGATGCAGATTATGTCGAGTATACAGCCCGACACCTTCATCAACGCATTGCTGAGCACAAAAATTCGGCAATCGGTAGACATTTCTTAGAAGCTCATGGTAACAACAACCTTTTGAGAGAAAGCCAATTCACGGTTTTAAGAAAGTGCCAGAGCAAATTTGATTATTTCATTATTTGAAATGCTCTTCATCAAGAAACTTAAGCCTAATTTAAATATTCAGACGGACTCCATACGTGCGAAACTCTTTGTTTGATATTTTCTCACGTTACAATTTTTTTATCAGCTATTGTTGTTTTTTTAGTATTTATAGACCAAAAATCACTACTTATTTTGACTTGATAATGACGTTCAGCCAACGTCGAAATGTCGTCGCTTTTTAGCAATTCTTTTAATCTTGAAATGATTTTAAGAAATGTTTTATCGCAATTTTTTATAGTGAAATGCTTTTCAAAATCACTTCTTGTAAGTTAAGGATAGGTGACCATAAGATAGGCATAAGGGTCAGCATCATTAGCCAGATTCTCAAGGACAGCTCTGTCTGTTCCGATTGAGCCATTTGATATCTACTCATCCAATATTTAGATATTTTTTTTATTATTTACAAGATAATTCAAAGAGAATTAAAATACATATGGAAAAGCACATGCCCAACAAATCAGGAAACCCCAAGATTGTTCAAGGAATATTAGGACCTAACGTTATACACCACAGGATCATTAAATTAGCCTTTCTTTGCAAATAATTTACCATTATAAGGCGGAAACTATTTGTTTCTTAACTCAGGTCATTTGTTGTAAAGGGATTGTACAATGTGACATTAACTCGCCGTTCGTCTCGGAAGCTTGACGTCAGCTGTCTATTTTTTTTTTTAAGGCTCCACGTGTGATCAACCAACCTCTCCTAATGGCTCAGTCATCATTCATCCCCCTCAGCGAGAAAAGTACCAAAACGGCCAAGTAATTCTCTTTGGCTGTAGTCAGGGTTTTTATCTGGATGGAATGCCAATTATAACATGCAATGGGAACAAATGGACACGGACACAATTCCGATGTCTTGGTATGACGTAAATTATCTTTAGAATAAAACAAAATGTTCTATAACTTTAGATCGGCATCGTTTAGTGGTTCCGCATTTTACAACAACATTCCCTAATTCGTGCAAAAATGTTTGCATGTCAAACTTTTCAATTCCAAGATGTAGCTCTCTAGAAATATCATAGATAATCACTACAGAGACAAAGAGAGCTCTAAAATGAAGATGAAAGAGGTTTGGTTCCTATTTTGGTCTCTTGTCACCACCTGTGTACCGGTGAAAAGATATAATGCTTTATGCTCAACGCAAGATAGTTTTTCATTGTCAATTTATGACAAACACTGAAGACAGCTTAATCAGAATTATTTTTTAATTTTCTCAACCTAAAAATGTTATTGTTTCATTTAAGGTTTTGTCCGAAGGTGGGTAACCTTTTAAATGGTAAAGTATCTCATGTGACCCCACAAGTTGGCAAGGCTGCCATAGAATTTCGCTGTGCTAATAACAGTTTCCAGCTGATCGGTAAGACAAGGTTGGAGTGCATAGATGGACAATGGAATGGAAAGTTACCCTATTGTCAAAGTAAGTCATCGAAACGATCGTAAAACTTATATCAAGTTATCGAGACGATTGTAAAACTTGTATTAAATTATCCAGACGATCGTAAAACTAATAAACTTGTATTTTAATGCAAGCTAATTAGCTGTCAAAGTTTTGATGCAATTTTAAAAATTTGTATCAAAACTTTGACAACTACTCGACATTTATTTTTCTTCTACATTTATTTTTCTTCTACAGAGTTGCCGTCGTGTGTTCGTCTGCAAAGTCCGGCTAACGGTACACTACATGGCAATGACGACAGCCATGGTGCAGAAGCAAACTTCACTTGTTTTACAGGCTTTGATCTATTTGGGGCTTCGGCATTAACATGCAACAAGGGCGTTTGGAGTTCACGTGTTCCAACTTGTAAAGGTAAGCCGTCTTATTTTCCCTGACCAATCGACCTCTTTATAAAGGGCCTATTCCAAATCTTCAGCACTAAAATTTCTGGTTCTTTTATCCTTCTGATGCGTCATTTGCATCTGAGAGCCGAACAGGTTTGATGTTCATGTACTAAAGCATTGTTCTATGTTTATTTCTCAGCTAACTGCATGAAGATTATGGATCTCCCAAATGGTCACGTGTTTGGCACACGCTTCTCCCATGGACAAGTGGTTTCTTTTAACTGCAAATATGGCCATGAGTTGGTTGGAGATCGCAGTCTTCGTTGTATTAATGGAAGGTGGAACTCTTCTGTTCCGCAATGTAAAGGTTAGTAATTCCTTGACATCCCAGGGAAGATTTTTACAAATATATCTTAGCTAATAGATTGTGCGTAGCATATTCTTTCATCGAATTTGAAAGCGAATCTTTCATCCATAAATTTTTACCAGGAGAAAATGGCTACAGGAAGAATCTTAACCATTTTCTCATAAAACAGATATTTAGGATCAAAGCATGAGTTTTAGTTGCCACACTCACATTGGTTCTGTCTATGCGTATTTTATCGCACCATTCTAAATGATTGTAATATCAAGCAAAACAAACCCAAAATAGGCTCTATTATATCTTTTATATCAATGAAGCAATATAACGCATGGCTAACGTACATGAAAGAGGGCAAATAAAATACCTGGCTAGATTACTCAGTCACAAAGGTAATCTACATTTGTGACTGAGTTTAGATTTTAACTAGGTTTTAACTAGGTTTTAACTAGGTTTTAACTAGGTTTTAAATAGGTTTTAAGAGAGTGTCTCTGTAAGAGCGGTCCGGTCGATTTTGCTTGAGACACGGATTTCGCTCGTTTCTCGTGTGTTGTAAGACATTCATGTACCTATACTAAAACCACAATCAGTTTGAGCGGATCTCTTTATTTTTCAGAGTTCTACGGAAATTAAATTTCACTCGAGCGAAGGCTTGTCGTGACACTTTTCAAGACTTTAATTTCATACAACTTTGGAGGACAATTTACAAAAAACTACGAAACTCAGCAAAAAACAAATACCGCAGCCATGTATATTAACTCTATCTTATCTATCGAGGCGACTTTCGTAAACATCACGTGTCAATCAAGGAAACAGGAAGACTTGAATGACACCTTATCGGTTCGCCTAAATCAAACACGCCAAAACCGATCAAATTCAAGGTAAATTTTTGAAAAAGTGAGGCGTTCTTAACTGATCCAACTAACATAGCTAGGAAGTAGGTGCCATAGAAAAGATAACTACAGAAAAAAACTTTGCGGCCCGACCTTTACGAGAACTTTACAACTCCGTGAACTTACCTTGGCCGCCATTTTGAGGGACTTGTCAACATGAAGCGTAACCGATATAAATCAAGCAGGTTAATCTAAAACCGTCAGAAATATATAAGAAAGCAATTCAAATGAACCTTACTTTCAATTCAAGCGGCAAAATTTGAAATTGTTTGTTAAACTTACCATCCCCATGCGACCATTTATTCCAACAATACAAACACTACAACTTTCTGAATTCCCCTCGTCGATTCCACCGCAAGAAATAACCTGTGCCACC